GATAATAAATTAATTGAGTGTAATATGACAGAGAGCCCTTCAATTATTTCGTACGTTGTATTGCACTTAAAAATATTTCTAAACATTGGTTTTCAGCCTTTACAGCTGTACTATGAAATTTATTCACTCCTATCAATTTAACCTTTTAAATTTAATTTACAATTATTGTCGTTTGTCGGGAAAAAAGTCTCTTTTGTATTTTGAGCGGCCTTAAACTTGGATAGGCATAGTGGCACAGACCTTGAGACGAACTGCTTTCTGACAAAACTGTCCCATATTTACACAAATTTATTTACTTTTTTAAAAAGATTTTACAATTTTTTTAATACACAAAAGTGAAACAATTGAGCACGATTCATCTAGATCTGACTGGGAACAGTTATGAATCTGCAACCTGGTAAACCAATTTTGCGAATGTATTTTTTTGGTTAAATTTTAAAATGATTAAAATACATATATTACAAACGTTACATTACTATTAATAGTAGGGGACCTTGATATTTTGTTTGCTCTTCTCAGCTGTTTTACTTTTTATTTTTGTATTATATAACGCTTTTGAGCTGAAGAGGACACTTTGGTAAAGTGGCGAAACGAGACACGTGAAAAAACTAAAACAGCTAAGAAGAATTTTAAATAATAAAATACCATTATCCTCTACGATTGATAGATAAGGTCTCAGCACAAAGAAAAATATTCAATGTTAAATTACTATACAGTTTTATTATGTTAACATTTAAAACATAACTACAAATTGTGTGAAATGCTGAGGGTCTGAAATTCAGAATGAGAACTCGTTATCAATAATCAATATTTAAGTTTTAAATTGAAGTAAAGCACAGAAGTTGCAAAAAGCTTAAAAATTAAAATATCTTACAAGAGAAAAACCAAAGTTGTACAATATTTTAAGCAATAATTTGTTCCTAAGGTTGTTAGGACGAACTAGGTAGATTTAACCAGCAGGACAGTTCAGCCTTGATGGTCCTAAACCTTTTTTTGATCTTTTCTTGGTATTTCAGAATGTATTGGGTTGTTTTTATTATTTTAGAAATTGAAACATTTTCCTGCTGTTCATTACCAACATGTTTACAGATTATAATAAGCTGTTATTGATACTATGATTTTTCTTATATTGAATCATTCTCTAAACTAAACTCTTCTGTTCTTCAAATAAGAACATGGAGACATGCTATTTTCGTTCTATATTATTTTATGAGTTTAAACTCCGTCATGTGCAAGAAACATCCCTTTGTCGTTTGGGGAAAGGAGTGTTAATAAACTGACCATTTGCATTGAATTTTGTAATTGTAATTGAAACATTTGTAATTGAAAACTTTCTCCGAGAAAGACCTCATCAATAGACGTTGAGGTTCTCAAGCTTGTTGTGGAAGAAAAACGTTATCAAACTGTTAGAAGACTCTCAGCACAACCAAATACAAGTACATCCACAGAATCAAAGCACTTATGCACATTGGAAAACTCAAAAAGCGTCATTTACGAATACCTCATGCGGTAAGCAGCAGCAATAGAACCGCAGAAGTTCGTTTTGTCATGCTTGGCAAAAATATCGACCCTTTTCAGGAATAATAAGTTGCAACAAAAACTGTATTGAGTATGACAATCAGGGTCTGACAGGTCAGTATGGTTAAATGTCTCACGTTCAAAAAACAAATTAACGCAAAGAAAAACTGATGGTACCGTATATATAGACTATGTATAGGTCTATAAGTCTATGGCTGGAGCGCCTAAGGTGAGACCATCACCTCTACAATATACTGCATTGAAATTGACCAAATACATCAAAAACTTGCAAAAACCTGCATTGCTAAATCGGAAGAGGCCTCCCCGCCTCCAGAATTGTCTCCAACCCACCTCTTATTCTTCAGACTTGTCTCCACATGTTCAGGAATTTAGACATCATTAAAGAAATACGTGCACAGCGCGCGCGTGTGTGTCTGTGTGTTTGTGTGATTGTATGCGCTACACACTAGAAAAGAATTTCTATTTAGTTAGTAGTTTAGTTCTATGTAGTAGTCGTAGTTTAGTTGGGAGTTTGTTCAAAAATCTTCTAGGAGGTATTCCCCAGAGAAAAACCAGACGTTCTGCCAAATCTGACAGCTATCGTTGGTGCGGTTTGTACATTGTGGTGGGTGTGATATTAGCAAACCATTTTTGCAAGTCACAAACAAAACATGAAGTTGCTTCACTAGTGAAAAAATCTTCATTCACTAATGTAAAGCGAAAGTCAATCGTTCAACAATATTATATATTTTATGATCGGCAGCATTATAATCTGCAGCTAAGTTTACAATCATGCGACATTCAACTAATGTGTGTTTCAAATAATGTTCCTCAAAGACTTTTGTTAAATCTCTATGAGAGTAATCCAATCCCACCATGGTACCACGATTCCTTCAGATGTGAAAAGATGGACACGACCATTTATTTTAAAGTCGAGGATGTTTGGCACCTTAGAAATCCGCCGATGCCGTAGGTGTACGCAACATGAGGGCTATTGCTCAGTGTTGTTTGGACTTCACTTCTTTTATTTCTAATGTGGAACGCATACGTTTGAACATTTTTATGTGTTACGTACGTGTTTTCTCAGCTATCGTCTTATAGGAACCCATCTCAAACCTTACATTGACCAAATTTCCTGAATTCCTTGCTAAATAACATTTTACAAATTATGATATTCCAAATTTGATAATCATATCCAAATTTTGAGTATATTGTTATTTAATTTATTTGAACAAAAATGGAGTTCTAGCTCTAGCACATTCAGCCGTTACATTATATTCATATTTTCACCTTTTTTAAATTTTTTTTATATTTATTCTAATGCTTCATACAAAATATTACATGTAATACAATAACCATAAATATAAAATATATAAAATGTATATATATACTGGGATATCAGATTCATATTATGGCGAAAAGACAATTACTGAAACTGTTAAATAATAATAAATAACGTTAATAAGTAGAAAATAATTAAAAACTAAATAAACAAATAACATAACATTTAACTAAATTACACAAATCTATTGCTTTAATGAATGTGTCAAAATGTTCATAATATTCTATCTTCATGAGCTCCTTCTCATCAGGTGGCCACTTCTTGTCTTGCAGTAGGCACTTTCGTATCCAAACACTACGCAGTGGTTCTATTAGTGGGCACTCATATATTAGGTGTTTAATGCTTTGTTCTACTGGGAAATTAGGCAGGCATGAGCATGATGAAGATTCTTTTAGATGAAAGCGGAAAAAATAGGTGTTGTTTGGGCCGTGTTCGGTTAAGATGTGGGTTAGTGGTGCGGATAGTTGGATGTGCGGCTGGAATCTATCGGCAACTTTGGGAAAGAACTTTCTTGTCTGCCTTCCATTATTTGTACTTGACCAAGCATTTTCCCATTTTTCCAGACTCTCATCGAAAAGTTTATTTATAATTGATGACTTTGGAAGTTTGGTGTATGCCAAGTTCAAACTCTCGTCAGTAGATGCTAATTTGGCCAGTCCGTCAGCTTCTTCATTTCCCTATATTCCGCAATGATCCTTAACCCAGCCCAGTTGTACATTAACATTCTGTTTCACTAGAGTTTGAATAATTTTCCTTATTTGCTCAGGCAAAAAGCCATGATTATCATAATTAATAATTGATTCTAAGGACACTTGACTGTCACTTAAAATGATAAATTTGGCAATATTCCCTTCTGATTTTTTATTCTAAGCCCATTGCAAGCTCTTCAGAATGGCCAAAAGTTCGGCTTGATTATTGGAACATGCCTGATGCAGTCTGTATTTTGCTTCATAAATTTTTGAACCATTCTGGAAACAAACAAAAGCACTACCTACGCCAACCTCTGATTTGCTTCCGTCAGGATATATAGATATATAATCACCATCGGCCATTTCGGTAGTATGTAGATACTGGATGTCAATAGCATCTGCCGGGTGTTTCCACTCTTTATATTGCAATGGTCTATCATATGTTGTGCCTTGAAGCTCATCATTACCATTATTCACTATTTCGTGTAATTTTTTAAGTTGAGTTATCTTTATTCCTATAGGCATTATATTCGCAACAAACAAGCCGCTTTATATGAATACAATAGATGATTGCTAGGATTTTTTAATTAATTTTTAAAATTTTAAGGAATTCAGCTTAAGTTAATTAATGTAATGTTGTCATTCTTAATTATTTTGTCTCTTATATTTTTGTCAAACTACTTCTGACTTTTCTGATCTAGAGATCGATTCTTTTTGTTAATAATAGTTAAGAATTATAATTGACTTTTTTTAAAAAGAATTCTGCTTTGGAAATTTGTTATTTAGCCTTCCTAGTCATTCTACTTTTCCGAAGAATTTTCTACTGTATTTTTGTCTCACTACCTCTCGTATTCCTGATGTAGAAGGATGTTAAAATTATTTTTGATAAAATACTTTGAATTTTTCAAATTTAAATCGTATCTAAATTCAATGAATATCATTGTTGATTTTTTTAAGAAGTCTGCTTTGAAATGCGATTTATTTTGGCTTTACTAGTTCAGTTCCATCACTTTCAATGAATTTCCTTCTCTATTATTAATTTTATTGAATAGAACCAAAATACAACAGGTAATTATTACTGATTTTTTTTAAAGCCAATCTGCTTTCAAAAGGGGTTAATTAATGTTATTTGGGCTTAATTTTAGCCTACTCGACTTTGGGCTTGACTTTTTCTTTTTTTAAACGAAGATGAACGACAATAAAACAAAGAGCATAAGAATTAATTAATACAAACTATTGACTGAAAAATAAAATTTTCCTAGAATAGTATAAATATTCGAATTTTCATAAAAGTACTGATCAGTAAGTGCAAACAAAATTTGATTAACTGCAAGAGATCGGAAGTTCTTAGCTATTTCGACCTAAAAACTGTCCGATTTTAACACTTTTAAAGGTTAAAAAAAGTTCGAATCGACTGGAAACCGTGTAGCGGATTGCAGGGTGGAAAAATAACAATCTTTGCACGCGTAGTGGGGGTGTTACTTCCTGAGAACTGCCCTTGAAGTTGCCCAGCTATATATCTGTAGAGTGGCACCCTTATTGCAACCAAACTAAAAATGTCCAGTCTAGTCTCAACCCTACTCCTCGTAACTTCGCTCCTCATTACCGCTCAAGCACGTGTCACTAACTGTGAGTTCAAACTTCCAATTTTTACAATTGCCCAAAAAAAGAAAGACCAAAACACAAATAGTACTTCTTGGTTTATTATTTGTATTTTTGTACCACTGTAAGAGTTTTTGTGAATTTTCTTTCCGTGCTTATTTAACCTTACAATGGTGTGCACTCAGATTTTCTTTTTATTTATAAATCATTATTATTATATTGTTATTATTTTGGATTGATCTCTGCGACAACAAGGTGAGCTTAATGATTATTTTTATTTGCATGACTTCAGGGACTGCCAGTAAATTTTGAATTTTTAAAACGTAAGTTTTAATATTCACAAATTATAGATTAGAGTATTATATAAAAAAATTGTTGATATGAGAAGCTTGGTTCTTTATTTTCAACATAAAATTATCAGTTAGTTAGTAGTAATCAGTTATAAAAATATCTCCAGAAAGAGACTTTAATGCCTAAGTAATGCCAGATTTAGTTAACATTTCATTACAACGTTTCTCACCAAAAAAATTTCGTTCATTTTTTTAAATCTTTACGGTTAAAGGCGTCGGTGGCCGGAACAGCGTTACACGGCGCTCATCGCTGTAAGGTAAAGGTCCCGGGTTCGAATCCAGCGGCTATGCATTCGAAACCAACATACAAATGGGCTTTTTGTTCAAAACCACCAGCTCCTCGAGAGTTCATATAACCTCATAGTTTAAATACATTCATAAAAAAAAAAATTTACGGATTATTAATGATCTCTGAATGAAAAATGTAACAATCCGCGTACTTTTCTATTTTGTTTTTGAGCATATTTTGTAAGAAGATAAATTTTGTCCTTTGGAAAATTTCTCGAATTTTTCAATTTTACAAGATCAAAGCAGTGTTTTTGTGTTACAGTCGGAGCGATTTAATGTCTGACAAGAAGTCAGAATGTTTAATTCGTGTAACAAGAGCAGCCGTCCTTCAACTGTGGCTGCATCCCGGCCGATATAGAACTGGGTCAATCGACGCAAGTTTTCGTCCTCCAGTACGAGAAATCGTCAAAACGAAAGTATTTATAGACGTGTTTTTGTTTACAATCCTTTGCGTATTGAACGTGGTCAGTAAAAGCGCGCTGCGTTATTATGTAAGCTTTGTCGATGTTTCAGTAATGAACGGAGAAAAGTTCAGCGAGGTTTATAGATCAATGCGTACGTCCCATGTACAAAAATTGATCAGTAATTGATGATCATTGAATTCGGTTATTTTTTCTTTTTGAGAACTGACTAAATTGCAGTTTTAGTGAACCAAAAATCCGAAAATCGTGGAGTCTAGTTGCGGTAATATATTTGCACACTCCGAATATTTATATAAAATGAATTTTTTTATCTTTCGCACATGCTAATTATTTAAAACAACGACAATACAATTATTGCTTTTTTTTACTAGAAAACGTTTATAGTCAAACGAATAGTTGATTTGTAGAGATTTGTGACTGCGGAGTTGATTCATTAAAGCGTGATATAATTAACGATTTAATTTCACATTTATTAATACAACTGTTTAAAAAGACATTCTACGTGGTAATAACATTAAATTCTTTTTGTCTTAAGGAAGTACACAAAAAGTGCAAGTTTAGTGAAATAAAAATCATAAAACCCTGGCCTTTTGGAGGTATTATTTTCGTATACCAGGTATTTTTTTATAACTACATACTTTTCATAATAATAAATCATCACATAAGTACATCTCAATAGGTTTAAAACTAGACGAATTTGGCAGTCGAAAAAATAGATGATTCCGTAAAGAAGCTGTGGCTTCATTAGCACAGGAGATTCTTGAAAACGTTATGTACTTAGAAATTTAATTTAATAATTATTAATTAAACTGATTATGTATAATTAAATTTTGTTATTTTTAGGCCTTTTCTAGGTGTTTAAAAAAAATTGTTCGAATGTACATCATTTTGACAATCTCGTGCCATCCTCAAATACAATATTTTATTAATTTATTACTAAAAAAAGCCAATTTAAAAACATTTTTTTAACTCGTGAAAATGGAAAATTACCCTATCTCTGCCTGTTTTGATTTATTTATTTCTTTACCATCCTTAACTAGCTTTGACCATCCCTAAATTGTTTACTATTTTTCTACGTGAAACGAATATTACAGCCTCTTTGCGCTTTTTCCGTTGCACTTTTACAAATTGCAATTTTAACGAACGTAAAATAAAAAAACCTTGAAGATCGTCGCCATTATTCACACTTTCCAAGGAATTATTTAAAATAAGACAATACTGATGTAAGTAATGATCGGATTTTTAAAAATAAAAATATTAAACAGGTTTAAAATTATTTACTGACAATTTTTGTAGCCAAATGTAGTGGATGCACTCTTAGAGAAGCATTAATCTTTGAGAGATTTCCTTTTGGTATCTGCGGTATGAAGTACCAGTATTTTGGTCGTTTCCGATCATTTTGGTCTGGCTATCCTCCATGTTTCGTTGGTTGACTTTGTTAACATTGATGATTCTTTATGTGCAAAGAACATTACAGTTACATCAGAATATATCAGAATTTAATTTTTATATTTATTCATATCAGAATTGTATAGGTCAGGAAAGTTGGTTGCTTTACTGTTAACGATTTATGTCTGTGTTTGTTTACACTCCGATTGGAAATTAAAATATCAAAACTATGTTAACATCGCTGAGTGCATCATTTGTGTACTCAGTAGATTTTTTTTGTTTGTTTTCTTTTGTAATTTAGTGTTCATTCAGATATTTTAAGAGAATATCTGTATGTCGACAGTTGCGGACATTGCATGTGGAAGGAGCAGACGTTCAGGTCGGATCGTCGGAGGAAGCGACGCGTCTCCCGGTGAATTCCCATGGATCGTGTCTATCACGAGGAGAGGAGGCCACTTCTGCGGTGGGACTCTGATAAACAACAGATGGGTCCTCACCGCCGCCCACTGTCTCTGCAGGTAATTTTTTTCCAACGATAAAAACAAAAGTACCGATTGCCATCTCAACCGACACGATTCGACAGGAAGTCGAAGATCTGATCTGGTGCGTTTAAAAATAAATCTAAGGTCAAAGGGCAGGACGTGGCAATGACGAGAACACTGGGAGACCGCTGGAACTTGACCCGTTTTCCCTCCGAACAATGGGAAACTGTGTCAGATCCAAGGATCGCCTCGTCTTCACACATTTCGCATACTAAACGCTACACATTCTTTTATTCAAGGTTTCTTAATTGTCTCATTCATTCAAGTTCTCTTTTTTTCAATGTGGATGCATTTATTTTGACCCTCAAGACACCTTACTAATCAACGAACTTCATTAAGTCTAAAGAAAGAACAGTTGAGGAATAAATGAGTTAAAACAAGAATATAATGTAAATGATTCCCAAAGATTTATTTTAGCGAGTTCTCCTATGAAATTTCCATTTCAGGCTCTTAAAAACAGTTCACGCAATTCAATATTTAAATCATTCTGAAAGATCTGTGTGGTATTTAGATCTCCAATTTCTGAAAGATTTTAATCAACTTTTGATCTAATGGATCTAATCTAACAATTTCAATTTTCAACCAGAAGTACGAAAGGTTCATTTAAATGAACCTTTGTCCACGTTATACATTAATTCATTATAAATAAAGTTAAATTTTGTATGGAAATATTGAAGATAGTTTTGTCAAAATTGATTGAGCTAGAAAAATGTGTTACATTGTTACACTTTGGAGCTTTTGCCTGTATAATCGGGGTAAAAATTGCAATGTTACAAAGTTTACATTTATAACAATTTATAAGTTTTCATTTTTGTATTTTCAATTGAGACATTATTGATTGTCGTGGCAGCATTACGAGTTTTCTGTAAATCTAGCTAGTCTTTTTCCATGCATGATTCGCCGATTTACAGCGTTGCATAAGCCAGTTGGTTATAGAATTCGTCGATTAAACATTACACACGAGAGCATAAACTGACAGTCGCGTATCTGGGGCAATGCCAGTACATGGCACCTGTTGATCCCCTTATTTCAAGGTTCAATGGCGAGCCCCTCGCTCCACTAGCCTTGTAGCAGACGCTGTAGCCACTCCTCTGCATTTCTTTCTCAAGCACATTCCTGACCCAGGTCACACAAACTAAAATTGTGCAATTCCGAAGAATTTGATATTCATGAAAATATGTTCTCTGTAATATGTCTGGAAGAATTTATGTGGCTTTTTGTCATTTTGCGTTCAACCGACCTGTGCTTACGCGTGTATTTTGTATCAACACTAAAATATTAAATTTTAAAATTTAGTAATAATGACCTGTACCTTGATCATCTCTGAACTGGTCAGTTTTCAAAACTCACTATCGCAGTACATCTTGGAAAGTAGATGTGCACAAAACCCAATGATCAAAACCACTTCACAGATACATTACATTTTTGTTTAAACTAATAATTTTACAATATCATTTTTTTTTCAGCGGAAGTCGCATTTTGAGCGCTGTTGAATTGAAAGTAACAGTCGGTGGCCACGATTTAAGGGAACAAACTGGTGCCCATCTGCCTGTTTCAAAGCTACTCTTACATCCAAAATATGAATGTTCTAGGTATGAGCTACACTTACCCACCTTAACAATAAAAAATATTTAATTTTTTTTTAAATTCTAGATATGTCAATGATATAGCTTTGATCGAGCTGTCAGCTCCACTGTCATGGTCTGACGCAGTGCGTCCTGCTTGTTTTCCAACGCAGACAACAGATACTTTTACAAATTACGGTGCAGTCGTTGCAGGATGGGGTTGGACTAGTGAAGTCACAGGAAGTGGTAAATGACTTAATTTAAAATACAAATTACAACTGTTTTTAATATGTAAATTCAAAAGGAGGACGTGCTAATGTATTGCAAAAAGTTGCACTGACAGTCGTCGACAACGAGAGGTGCAGGGACTGGTACAGGTCCCAGGGGAAAAAGGTGAACATTTTGGATTCACAGATGTGCGCTGGGTTCGAAGACGGTGGAAAAGACTCGTGCTGGGTAAGCGTAGTGTTGAATTTGTACAAATGTCAAGTGCTTATCCTTTACCACTTTTAGGCTGACAGCGGCGGCCCGTTGATGATTGGCGACGGTGATGGCACCATGGTTGTCGGAATTGTATCAACTGGAATAGGCTGTGCGAGACCCAAGCTTCCTGGATTGTACACTCGTATTTCCGACTACGTCAACTGGATTGGGCAGACCCTCCGGAGATAAAATTAATTCGTTTAAAAATTCTTCAAAGAGAAATGACTGAAGTTACTAGATTTTATATGTTTCAATCATTTCAAAACCAAAACCAAAAAATTGTTATTTTTTATTGATACTAAATTGTTATATTATTAATGTTTTAGTTAACACTTTAAATTATTAATGTGTTCAATATTATTATTGTTGTAAGTTTATTTTAGTACAATATTCTAGTCATTATGTTACCATTAATTTAATTGTTATACAGTAAATAAGAATCTGTTTTTGTTATTTGCTCTTTTTCATTTTAAAAACCCTTTGCACCCCCCTAAGTACTGATGGAATACAGCCAATAAGTAATACAGCCACAGTTCATTCTATGCATATTCAAAGGTTTTGAACTTTCAGCAACAAAGGGCCATTCTAGTCAAAATGGTCGTCATCATATAAATTATCATAGGCTGAAATGAAAATTCCTTTCTAAAAATTTAACTTTATCAGTTTAAAAATATTTATTCGCAGAACATTAGGTGTTTATTGCTTAAATATTTTACAAAGAATACTGTGTAAGAATGAAAAAATACGTGCTGATTCCCTTTCAGAGACAAGAGGGAGAAATTACAACTATGCTGTCCTATAGTACTAGGCTGTACTGCCCGTGCCATGATAATTAAACATTAATTTGTATTATATTTGTACATAATCATCATCATCAACATCGAGACTCAAGATGCTTCCGCCAGTTCTCCCGATCCATTCCAGCTGCTCTCCAGTTCCTCATAGTCAGCAATTTCTTGGCATCTTCCCTTCTGCCGTCCAGCTTTTGACGCCCTAATGGATAAGTATCATGTAAATTTTCATTTAGAATTTTTTTGAGGATCTTTTCATCGAAGAGAATAGAGTACCTCTGCCACGATTGGTCGTTCGCTTTCAGAGACTCAAATACACGACGAAGAATGCAATTTCAATGATGAAGAGATTCTTCGTTTACTTTAAAAATTGACCAAGCCTGGGACCCATACTTAAGTAGCCTCAGCTAAGCCTAAATGTCTTTAAGATGTATTGCGAAAATAAAATATGGCGCCCATCCCAGCATATTTACTATAGTATATAAATCCCTTATTCGATCAATTAGATATTATGGAAGTTTTTCTATGGTGGCGCAGCAAAAAACCAATTAAAAAGATTGGTCTTAAAGCAATTGAGATCTTCAAGATGTTGCTTGTAGGCAATGAGATCAACCCCCACCAATGTAAAGTAAATATGGTCACTTCTTTTTATGTTAGGAGAACGGAAGTTGCAGGTAGGGGCATCGCCCAACTAGTGATCCCAAATTCCCGGCCATCCCTGTCCCTTTTGGCCTATCCCAGACCATAATACCAGGAACTACCACTGGGACGTCATAAAGTGCCCGGTCTGCTGACCGACTTGCCACAGGTCATTGATAGGCTAATTTTTTGGAAGGGGTCTGGAACATGGCCCTTTTTTCACGCTTAGATTATTGTTGAGAATTTGAGATGTCCGTTTTCCGTGGACGTCGTCTTGGTTTTAGTGTAAGACTAAGACCTACCTTTGCACTAAGTTTCACGTTTCTAACGGAAAGTGCCTTATAATTTTGATTTCCCTCCCTCCTAAAACGACACTATTATTGGGAAAATTGCAATTTTCAGATTTTTACCTTTTTTTACAAAATAAAACCTATCTGTTTTTTTAATCGAATTTCACTTTCTAGCTATTCGGGAAGTATCTTATAATTTTGATGATCAGTGAGTCACGATGTTTTCTTATATTTTGACCTCAACAGTTAATCTTATGATTCTTCAAGAAGGAAGACATAAGATCAGTGAGTCAGTAACAAAAATTCAAATCTTGAAATTCTCCCTTTTCGAAAAGGCTGCTGAGTGCTCAAATATTTATAATGTCCTAAGCGACCTAATCTTAATTTACGTTTCAAATACCAAAAGCCCAACTTAAGATTGAGGAAGCGTAGATATGAGTGTTAGAAAAACCAGGTGAATTGGTTCAAGAAAAGATACACATAGCAGCTTGCTGAAACTTGGCCGTGCACTCAGATATTGATATGTTTTATTTGGGTCAAAGCCCATCGCTAGAATAAATTTAATTGTGACACCAATTTATACACGAAAGAAACCACAATAAATGGGCAGTTACATAAAATCGGGGAAACCGGCGATACCAATGCTCATCGGAAAAAAATGGCCAGAACAAATTGGTAAAAAGTGTATGACACCTCCAAACGGTCGAGGGGTCGGCACTACGGGATGCTTCAGCCAACAATACAAAGGCAGTCCTATCATAAAGATTTATAGGCCAAGACAATTTTTCACCTCCATTTTTTGACTTCAGTTCAACTGTAACTCTTTCATCTGGCCAAAAATTGGTACTATAAACCACCCTAATTGTTAGTGTAATGCAACAGTATGTGCTGACCTGGACACGGCATCTTAGGGCATGCCCTAGAAACATAGTAGACAGCTAAATATTTGTACTCCAACCTAATATAACTGAGGAATACAATATTCAAAGTATAATGTCGGGTACAAAAAATATTTCAGCTTTGCAACTCTTACATTGACTGTTGGTAAAACGATATACCTATCTAACCTACCTAATTTTTGGTGTGACAACCAAATTAATAATAAAAAGAAAATACTTTCTCTGGCCCAGGATGACCTGGAGGTTAGTCTGAGTTGTGTCGATTCCTCGAGATCAGTGCTGTGGGTAGCTTGGGCATGTGTGTCCTGTATCTCATGTGATGTGAATTTTTCCGTAGCATTGTAAACAGTTTTTATTCACATCCCAGGAAATGGGATCTGTTACTTTCATACCTTTAAGAATTTAATCGTTTTTAAATCCCCTTAAGTCTGCCCACAAAGAACCTAAACTATATTACATATATTTCCTGGGGGTTTGAATATCTGAATCACAAAAGGCTTCCTCTAAAGCCAGATTGAACACTATGCATGCTAATCTATCTACAGATATTTAACCCCTCTCTCATGAGAAACCCTCAGCCCCCTTATGTACGGACGTTACATTCCACATTAACCTTAGTTTCCATTAATTAATCTTTAATTAAGGTTTTGGTTGAGATAAAAAAGTCAGTGTCACAACCGGGATTCAAACCCATGACCTTCAGCTAAATATGCTGCTGCTCTACCACTTGAGCTATCGTGACTTCACTTATTGAGGCTGGCTTTTTTATCTCAACCAAAACCTTAATTAAAGAATAATTAAGTGAAAAGAATTTATTTGGTTAAGCGGACCACGAAACCTAATAAATGTATTAACCTTAGTTAGTTGAGAAATTACAACTTTGCTTTTCTCATGATGGTAATGGTGATGATTGATCATAATTAAATATTAACTTAATTAAATTTGTATGATATACTCAGACAGGAAGACTAAATGGATATGAGACTCAAAATTTGGGAAGTGAGTGACTAAAAATTGTTGCAGAAGTGACGATAAAAATGAAAACTACATTTTATTTTCTATTGTTCTGTTTCTATTATATTGTTTATTATAATTAATTATAATACACACTGATAGCTTAATTTTGAGTGATGAATATTAGTAATACATAGTAAAGAAAAATGATACAATTGTTTAATTCATACTAACAAATAACTATTTCAAAAATTAATTTGTTTCAAAATCGTTCAAATGAATTGAAAATGATATTTTTCATTTTCTTCATATCGACCGATAAAATAATATTTGCAGTTTTTCCTTCTAATATGATCATTCTTCCCGTGTCAGGATCTACAAACGGCTTTCCTATTGTAGACGAGGTTACGATGTCTGGCTGAAACCAATAGGCAGCCGCCAATTCATCAGGAGTCCTCCACTCATTGGTTTTTGTGAAAGATATTCGTTCAGCATTGTTGAACAGTTGAACGATTTTATTGTCAATCTTTCCCAATACATTTTTCCTATATTCCTAAAAAAGAAATCTGTTAAATTAGAAGCCAAGCAGTGGGGCATTATGATAAAGTACCAAAGGGAAGGTGTTTTTGCCAGTAAACAGCTCATATGGGATTACAACTGCAGAACAATTATCATTTAAATGGTCAAAGACGAAATTCGCTGCTTTTGTATCTGCTTTCATATTGAATTCAATGCTAGATTCTGGACCTGTAAAAAATATAAACTGTGATTCAAAAATGTTGCACAAAACTTACTTATTATTTATTTAGTACAGTAGTTAATTTAACTTACTACTATTTCCACCTAGTATGATCAATTTATTAACAAGATTATAAAAGTCACTGAACCTTTTCCCTGCTTCTGCTATATTTGTGAGAGGAGCTATGCAAATTATTGTCACTTGTTCTGAAACAGACACCAATCATACCAAAACAGATCTCCACCAAATTTACTTATAATTACTTGGGTGCTTTTTGACGAGGTCAATCATAAAGTCAACGGCATGAACTTTTTGAATCAATGATTTATTCAGTGGACCATCATAATCAAAATCCCCAAAACCGTCATTACCAAAATAACCATCTGAGTAAATGTGGCCACTCCAAGGAGTTCTCATCCCCTTATAAATAGGAACCTAAAAGAGTCAGCAAGTTATGTTTCTCAATTGTAATATTTTTCTAATTGTTTTACCTCAAAACCAGCAGTGCCTAATGTTTTTATCAAATTAACCACCACATCGTCCACCTGTGCATTTCCTGTTACAGCAGTTAAAGCTTTTACATTTTGTGCAAGTTTTGATTTCAAAGCAAGGTACACAGCAATTGCATCATCAGCCCCAGCATCAGTATCTATGATGACAATTTCATTGCTGCAAAAATGACATTAACATCAAACATGGATAGAAACCTTGATGATTCCAAACCTACACCCTGGAAGCTGGTGTAAAACCATACGTTACTTTTCTTTTCAGACTTTATTTTCTCTTTTATTCGGACATAGTAAATTTGGACCCTGTGGCCTGTACCGAGAACGAGCATAAGGGCAATTTGAGGGTACTCAGAGTGAGTAGTGAGCACAAAACTACTCTAGGCTCATCAAGCCTTTGTCTAAGGTATGTCAGGTTGCTCGGCCTGACGGGTAAGCACCCACCACTTTTTAACTCTGTAGAGTGAGGTTTAGAAGAAGTGTAACTATTCGGGTAGAACATCCAAGTCCCTTTAATTAACAAGGCTGAACAATCCCTGACTAATACAAATTAATTCCTGAATGAATCCCTACCCTACTTATAACTAACAATTCTCTATTCCTATTACACAATTCACAACTTAATTCTAAATAATTAACCAAAACTACTTATAAATTAAATAAATACTTCTATATACAAATAGATATCTCCAAGCTTTCCAACAAATCGGCTTAATTATTGAGGAACGTATTATTCAAGATTTGGCTGCAGCCTCAAAATCACCCCAAGTGATCACTAACTCTCCTGCCATCTGATTGAAAATCTGGTACTTACAGTACTAGAATGCTGGCATTGGTCCTACTGACTCCTGATACTCCTGGAAGATTCTTGGCCTGCTGATTGTCGACTCATCCTGACTCCTGACTTCTAGCCAACTCCCGGCCGACTTCGACTCCTCATTGACTCCAGACCAACTCCCTGTCGACTCCTACTGACTTCTCACCGACTCTTGCTGCCCACGATGGACAAAACAGCTCTACTCCAACTGCCTCCTCTCTTCGCCGGCCTTCTTTACTTACTCTTTTTCTTAACTTATTTTTCTTCACTTGCTCTTCTTGACTCCTGGCCTGCTCCTATTGCCTGCAATGGCCTGATTGCGAAAGATCTCCGACCTCCTTTATCTATGCTGGCCTTCTTAACTCCTAACTGACCCCCTGTTCTTTAGGGATAGTATTTAAGCCAATCAGCTTGTTAAGCTTAGGAAATACTGATATGCTTCCTGGTGATTGCCCCTTTTTCCTCCTCAGGTCGTTGAGCTTTTCTGAGTGAATCTGGGCATTAGCTAATCCTAGGGGTTGAAAAATAAGGCCACTTGTCAGCACACAGTAACTATTTCTGGGGCAATTGCCCAGGATAGACCCATATTTCTCAATCGAAAAAATCCAGCTGTTATCATTTCACCAGCTTTATTTAGCTGTGTCTGGGGTTTTCATGAAAGACTAGGTCAGCTCCCAGGATTCCAGGGCACTTCCAATTGCCCTCTCTTACACAATACGCTTCCCCAACAATTAGCTGAAAAATTCATACCTCCTATTTTAATATTTACAATTAATTTAATTTCTAAATAAATCTGTTTAAGATTCCTTTTTGGATCACTGCTCAATCTGATTTATCTGTTTATTATTTTTTGTTTTTACCACAAAGGCGTTTCTCCAAATTAAAATATTTAAATTTGTAAATACCTACTCAAAGTTAGTAAATAGGATTATAGAATTAGAAAATGCTCTTCCTTATACATATAGTGCTTAGCAACATGAAAATGTCTAATATTAATTGTCAAGGGGGGAGAAGATTTTAAAAAAAAAAAAAAAACTAACTGAACTATGGGTGAACTTAGCAGAAGCATCCACAGTGAGAACTTAGTGTGCCACTGATCCATTTGATTTTCATTAAACAACCGACTCATTCTGGTCCCTGTGAGTTTAATCCTTAATCAGTCTTTAAAATCCTGCGTACACTGTTCAAATTACTACGAACATACATAAATTTATGCTGTGCCTTGTGTTCAGAACAAATTTTTATAGTGTTAAGCCGGCCTTAAAATAAATAGAAAGTTAACACAATTGTCATTATAATTATTATCACTTTTACAATAGAAAGGAATTATCGGTTTTATCCTATATTTAAAAACAACCTTTTGTCCTGCATGTCACACAATCTTCAGTAATCAATAACTTGCAATTTTATAATCACAATACAATTGAAAAGTGAATTTTGAACTGTTGTATGAGTTTAATATATGCCAAGAGTATGAAAACTTTGTAAATACTGTTTGATAAGATAAACTTGTTTGCTAACTTGAGAATAAAATCAATGTAGCATAAAACACAAAAATATAGTATACTGATAGTAAAAATATTTTTTAACTTGTTGACATAAAAATAAGGTATATATAAATTATTTATATAAAATAATATAATAAATAAGTCAACATCAAAGCTGTTTAAAAATATATGCATATTATAATAGTAATAAAATATTATTATATTTGGTATTTTGGTGAATTTTCTTTCAAACTATCATAATTAAATTATTTTTATTAAAACTCGTGAATTTCTGATTAATTTGGTTTACATTAAAATAAGTATCTTGTAATGAATATAACAATAAAAATACATACAGTTTGATTTTTGTTTGAGTATAGGTATATGAAAAGTTCTTCTTTAATTTTGCAGGAGTTTTTCTTTTTTTAACTAACTATAAATGTTCAATTTATGAAGAATATTGATGGATGTGAACCTAATTCAGGTAATGCCCATAGTATAGAATTAATAATTATATTTATCATTTTATTTTAAAACTAAAATCTTTGCAAATAGTTGTGATTTTATTTTTTCATATATTTTTTAACTGCAATTAATAAAATTGACAAAAAAGAAATTTTCCATTTTTAAAACTTCCAGCCCAATGTACCATCAGTAAAATAACTAAATATTGGAGTACCAATTAGAAGGCAAGATTTTAACTTTGTCAGATTGTATATTTAGTTTTAAAAATATACACTAGAAAAGAAACATTTTATTTAAATGATGTTAATTATTAATCATGATGAAAGATTTTGATGGAGTTAAAGGTTAAGTCCAACCCATAAATAAGTTTGAGTAAGTAAAGTTAAAAGAAAACATATGATGAAATATAAAATAAATAATAATCTAATTTGTAATCTTGTAGAATAATAAAATAATTTTTTGGATTATGTTAGAAAACAAAAATTTCAATATTATAAATGAGTCCTAAAAATTTCAGGTTTAAAATAAAACACAAACATAATAATTTAAATTATTCAAATGTGTGAATATTTAACCACATGATTTTTATTACAAAGCTGGATTTGATATTGTGTATTTAGCCCTATAACTTTCAAGGCACTTTTCATGTACTTTTGTCCTAGCACAAGTTTTGTTTGTTTTCAAAATGTCTTCTAGGGCTACTTTCACTCTTTCATCTCTGAGTTCTTCCATAAACTGAGAATATTTAAACTTTTTCAAGTACTTTTCGATTTCAGACAGTTCTGAGCTTCCCTTCTTTGAATATATGCCGGGAGTGACTTTCGTTCTTAAGAGGTGGTGCAGTTTTGTCGCCATGAACTCTATCCAATCCTGTAAAACAAAAATTAGATGAGAAGAATGTTTGACCTTAAAAATCCTCTGAGTATTACATTATAATCTTGAATCATTTCTTTTTCTTTTCTTGCCATCTCATTTGATTTGAACATTATCATATCGACTGTCACACTCTTGTTCTTCATGATTATTTCATCCAACCACTTTTTGAATTTATAGTAATTGAAATTCTTCCTTGCATTGTAACCTCGCCACAAAGACTGGATCTTTGTCGCACACATGTGATGGTACTGTTCCACCATGAGATCATACCTGCCAAAGAAAAACGTTTAAAAGCAGGCCAGAAACAAGCGAACATGTACGCACTTAAATTTTGCCACAACTGCAACCACTTTTCTTGTTTTGTACCCTCGAAAATATTTTTGGATGACTATGGCACACTCGTGCAAAAATTGGAGATGCCGTCTTGTGATGAACCCTCTCACATATTTCTGTATCTTAATTGCAGCTTTGTTTTGTTCCCTCTTTTTCAGCTCATTTTGAGCTTTCAGATCTCTTATCTTATTAATAATCCTCTCAACCAGAAGTGGTATGTGCGTCCTGTTCTCCAATGCCATATCTTACTTTCCAAGTACAAAGGGTCAAAAAAGAACTAGTAATTATTCCAATTTGTTTAAATCATGTGATTTTCATTCATTTCATTATTATTACACTTTAAGCTATCAAATAAATTTAGATAAACTACGATTAAACATGACACGTTCAAATTAGTCATGGTCATAACACAAAACTAGTGACTATATTAAACTTTATAAATAATATTGTCTTGGGTTTATCGAGATATGGCAAATTGGAGTACAACTTAAGAACCAAGGAAAAATCAGCATTAAATCTTGATGCAAGTGGTTTTAATACATTACTTAGAATGTATGTTTTCTTGTCTGTTTGACATGTATATTGTTGTACACGTACAACATATTTGGAAACAAATTCTTTGTAAAATCATACAGCTACACTATACTCTAGTGATGGTAAAACAACAAGTCTGAAAACAAGAAATGGCTGTATGAATGAAAAGTATTTTTAGTTGTGCACATTGCCTTTTCTTATGTGAACAATGATACACTCATAGCAATCTTCGCATGTCAAATATTTTTTCTCTTATCAAAAACCATTATTCTTTTATCGCAGTAAGACGAAGAATCTCACTAACACTAAATACAATTTGAGGTGGGAAAGTTTTCGAAAATTCAAATAAAACCGGATTTTTGTAACGGTCATTTATTTCAAGGTTGCGTCTTCTTGCCGCTACAGCTTGTCCTTCGAATCGAACGGCGCCGACTTTCAGGCGGAGATCGATGTCGATCTGTTAATCGCCGGAGGGACGGCTGTTTGTTTATCTTTTCGAGTTTCGACCGCCGGTTTGGAGTTTGGACGGACGACCGAGTCCGGGTTCTGCAATCCGCTCGTCTGGATCTCTCGGCTGGTTGCCCGTTTGGCGGGAGAATACGTTGGATAACCTTAAGTTCCATTTTCTGTTTACTGTACCGTTCGACGCCTCCGTCCGTTTATCCATCGTAAGTAGATTTATTCTGATGTCCTTGCCTGTTCATCCTCTGATGTCAGCCTTAAATGAATCCTTTACAATTATAATGGCTAGGCGCGCCTGGGTTATTGAAACGAGGCCGATTTTAAAAAACCAGCAAGTCCGGCTTGGAGGCCGACGTGAATTCTTATCGCCTAGATCTGGATAAACAAACGTGTTTAAAACTGAAAGAAAATTACTTTTCGCCGAAATTAAAAGCTCTTTTTCATATATATTGCAACAGTAAACATTCCAAAATAATAGCAGAGTTCGTTATCGTTGACGTAAACAAAGTGATAAAGTACACAAACACCTCATTTGACTCAGTGACATTGTAAAATAACTCTTTTGTGCTTATTACCGATGGTTTGATAACTCTTTGTTAACAAAAAATGTAAATTCTGTTATAAAAGCAAGTTTAAAATTTTATAGACAGCAAGAACTTAATGGAGGGAAAACGAGAAAACAAACAATCGAGAAATACTTTCCAGATATATTTCTAAATAATTGTGTTCTATTTTGTACAAAAATTCATTTATCATATCAGCATCAGTAATATTCTGATTAGATCACTGTGTGAATTTTGCCCATGATATATTTATCATGACAATATTGGTGATTCCAACGTTTGTTTTACATATTGCTGGGTGAATTTTGAATTTTGATACATCGGTTGTGTTTGAAAAATTGGGTTGACGTGTGTTTGTACCCTGTAGATTCATAATTTGTTTAAGTTGTGAGGAGCAGTCAAGTCTTGGCTACTTCTCACGACTTCAACAAATTGTATTAACTATGATCTCTCAAAATTATTTACTTATGTCTCATATTGTGCAGTGTTTTATATAAAAATTTATTTATCATGACAATATTGGCGTTCCGACATTTGTTTTAAATATTGCTGGGTTAATTTTGCCCATGGATACATTGGTTGTGTTTGAAAAATTTGCTTAACAGCTTAAGTCATGAGGAGCAATCAAGAGTCTTGGCTACTCCTCACAATTTCATCAAATTGGCTTAACTATGATCTCTCAAAATTGTATGGTCATTCCAAATTTAGTTTACCGATGTTTCATGCAAAATTTTATTTCTCATGTATGAATTTGTGATTCCGATGTTTCTGTTATAAACTACTGATTAATTTTGCTTAAGGATAAAGATACGACCTTAGCAATGAATTTATTTCAAAACTGTTACTCATTAGTAATAATTAATCCATATTTGTTTAGTGACCATAATTGACCATATTATTAATATATATATANATATACTAATTAACATATTATTAGCATGTCCCGCTCATGACGCATTTTTCATCTCAACCAAAAACCTTAGGTAAAAATAATAATTAATTGGAATAAGTAATAATAATATTTTAGTGAGAAAATAGTAGTATCCTTAGTCATTAGTTTTTAAATTTATTTATGTAATTATATTTGGGGATTTTGGAACTAATTACTTTATTCACGAATATGTATCAAGTTTTTATCAGAAATTTAAGGCCTGATTATCCTACTATTACTTCTGCAGTTATTCATTCATGTATACTTAGTAAAATCTGGTAGATCAAGGAAAAGGCCATGATTCATGCCTGATCTCCTAGCTTTTACTATTTATCATCAAAAGCCCATTGTGTTTTTACAGGTGAAATAACTGCACAAATTCATTTGTTACCCAACAGGAAAAACCTCTCAAGTCACACCTAGGCAAATATTCATTTCATAAATATGAGTATTTGAGTTTACAAATATACTTATTGAAATGTTAACATAATTTTTTGAGTTGTCTAAAAAGGCACATTGCGTTTAAAAGTAAGTGGATTTCTTCTCAATATTATCTGTTTTAAGTTCCGCCAAGCTTAAAGACCTACCTACTGGATTACGCATCGGTTTTGCCTCAAGGATCCAGGTATATGCATAAGGATAATGATATGACCTTAATGATGAATATCTTTCACAATCGTTAATAATTTTATTGCGAAGTTTTTATATAAAAGTAATTTATCATGTCAGCATCAGTTGTATTTTGCCGATGGATACTTTGTTTGTTCTTGAAAGATTGGCCACCCCACCCAGCGTAGTACAATTTAATCTATTTAATGAGCTGTATGAACAAATAAGAATTTGAAAAGGAAAAAGGTCTGCAGAAGAATTTGGTATAGATGGTTGGCAGAAGGGACCATGTGCCATTTATGCACAACTCCTTTCGGCAATATTTGTTTTTAAAAAAATGCTAAAGATCATTAATTAAGTGAGAATCATTTTGTAATAAAATGAAAACTTTTTATTGTGTCACACTGTAATTTTAATTTATTGCCATTATTTATATTCAGATGTGAATAATAATGTTGGTTTTGTCTGCCTGGAAAATATTTATGTAGGCAATTTTGATAATTGTCAATTACACAAAAAAATTTAATTTTCTCTGTACTAAAATTACATGCATTATGCACATTATGTTTTTGTAGCTGTTTCCTGGAATACAAAACCATGGATTTAAACTCCAGCGAATTTGGGCTGCTCCTCAAACCCATTAATGACCTAACAACTACAAACTGGGGTGTCCTACTCGCACCCGTACGTTTATAAAACTTGTTATTTAACACAATTGCATATTTTACACAATGATTATCTATCTTTTTTTAGTTTCTTGATAAATACATAAACTACTTGCACAACAATGGCGTTATATTGAACTTTCCACAAGCGGCTCTCCTCCTGCAAAATTCTACACACTTCTATTGCAAGCGTGTTGACATGCTCTTCAAACAAATCGAACAACTTGTTCTGATGATAAGAAATAAGTATGTAAACTCACTAATCAAATATTAACAAATTAATAGAAAAGAATTTGTGGTTTGAAAACTTCTTTATGAACATTTTATATGTTTACAGAGAATCATGTTGAGTTTTCATTATATTGTAGTTGTGAATAATTTAATTAGATATTTAGAATAAATTGTTTTTAATAAATTGCAGCAAAGCCAATGCTCAAGAAGAAAACGATGAGGAGCATGCTCAGCTAAATAGAAAAGAGAGAAAAAAAGTAAAATCCTTGGAGTCAGAAGATCTTGAGGTTCTTGACTTTGTTTGTACAAGTAGGTTTATATTTTAAAATATTTACATTAGTTTGTGTGAGTCAATCAATGTTGTTTAGATTACAACATAAACATGAACTGGAACAAGGTGAAACTTCACACGGAAGATGACTTGAAATGTTCATTTCTCAATAACACAATTAAAGTCCCTACTAAGTCTAACACGTCAACTATGATTTATCAGATTAACGGTACCGAGCTTGGGCTTAAGAATGAATTCAGGTATGTTATTTTTGTTTTATAATTTTTAAAAATTATTTTAATAAAACCTGGTTGAAATTTGCAGATTGCAGTGGTATTTATTTTCTGATGGGACTTTGAATGAAGACTTTGCCTTTGAAAGTCAAACCAAAGTTACATTCAGTTCTGCTGATGATGGATTCAGTAAGTTTATAATGTTGAATAAAATGCACATCTTTTTTAAACTTTAAATTGTAGATGCTTCCCATGACGATAATGATTTTGATAATGAGGTGAGGGACGCTTCAGAAATGGACATTCATCCAGAGCCAGAATTACCTGAAATCCCGCCTTCGTGCGAGCCGACGTTAAACCTTCCTCAACAGCCAGAACGCATAATTTCGCCAGTGCCTTTACCTGAAGCAATGTAAGACTGAATGATTTTTAATCATTTCAGAAGATTTATTGTTGTTTTTCTTTCTAAGACATACAATGACTTTGAGAGAGAGGAGATCGCCGATCAAGGATGCCTGGGCTACAATTGTCAGCCCATCTTTATGCCCCATTTATAAGATAAAGTTGAGGAAGGTCTTCAAATTGCCTAAAGATTTAATAGTAGAAGGTCAAGAGGTAAAGCTAAATTCCTTATAACCGGAAACATTTCTTTTCATAGTTCTTTGTTTAGATCAGGAGGAAAAAAATCAATGATTTTTCAGTACCCTGCATATCCTACCACTGTCTTCTAGTCAATGGCAATGTCGACAATTTGGTTACTAATTTATATAATATAAATGAAGAAAAAAAGAAAAGAAAACTGCTTAAACTAAAGAACCGACTCAATAATGGTAATTTTATTGATCTTATTTATGAAATGCTTAATTCTAATTTAATTTTTTTTTTTCTAGCTAAGGAAGCTGAAAAATTAGAGTCAGATGGTAAGATTTGTACATATACACATATTTACATGGATTGTCGCAGAGTGGTGAAAAAAGTTTCACTGTTAAATTTCTTTCAAATTCCAACAATTGTTCTATGCAACAGACACTACATCAATCATTGGTCTAAGCATCGGCCCATGCATGATCTTGACTTAAAACCATGCTTTTATGAAAAAAAAAATTAATAATTCATTTTTTCTGAAATTTATTTTTTCATCAAAGAAAACAATTAACTCACTCATGACAAGTTGGCTGGAAAGGATAAAATTGAATTGATTTTATTTTGTTATTGCTATTTAAAAAAATTAATTTATTCGTTAATAAGAGAATAACATTTTTTTTAAGACATGAGAATAACATTTTTTTTAAATTAAAGAGTTCATTCTGTAATTGTGTTGTTCCTTTCATAGCTATGGGCCCCTTAAATGAAAGTGGAGATATGCAAGACTGTGAGGTTAATGGGTTCGAAGTAGATGATGATCATTATGTCGATGACAATGAAGGGCCCAATAGAGATGTGCTGTCACTGGCGGAAAGGCATGATATGCTCGAACAGGCAATAGAAGACGGGTACAGATCTGCAAATAACGCTATCCTATCCAAATTCACCAAAGCCAAAAAGGAATATGTAGGTGAACTGCTTTATTTTTGTGTAATATTTGTGTTCATATTTATTTTTGTCCAGGCGTTGAGGGCGACAGAAGTCGCAAAGAGAGTGGCCGAGTGGCATGAATCAATAATGCCTGCCTTAGAAGCTTCAGAGAGGAGGAGCCATTTCGATATGAACGAGTACGGTACAAAGATTTTGGAAAGGTTTCCAGATGAGGATGTGACATCATTTAGGCCATTCGGTGAAATAGTTGCCGGGCAGCCCAAGGAAGAAATCTGCCGATACTTCCTTTCAACTCTATTGCTGGTAAACTTTTGAAATTTTACATCTTTCTAGTCCATTATTTTAATCATGTTTGTTATCTATCAAGGCGAACACGTACAGCTTAGAAATCAGGAATTCAGACCCTTCTGAACTGGCATCTGACTGTTTAGAAATGAGGCTAATAACCAAGACCCGACACCACGAAGAGCTTGATGCTAATTTGCAGGCGACTTCGTCGAACGGGCTACCATCAAAAAGAATTTCACACTCAGAAGCGAGGCCAAAGAAAATCAAAAGGAAGTGATTTCTGTTTTGAACTTTTAATTGTAGATGTGTATAATTGTACATAAATTCTCTATTACATCACTAACGGCAAAAATGTGCAATAGAGATGTTTTTTATTTTATTTATTTTTTTCTAATTTTAAGTATGGAATAAAATTGAATAATTTGTGAATAAGTATTGTAAATATGGTGTCAATTGTAAATTTTTATAAAAAGTGTACAGTTCAAATCAAAACATGATTTGTAATTTTGAATAATATAGCATTCTCATTCTTTCTTTTAAATATAAATTGAAAGACAAGATGTGTACGTCACAGATCCATTACTACTTCTAGAACGATGCACTAACCCCCCTCCTGGGGGGCCATGGTAGCCGAGTGGTTAAGGCGTCAGACTCTCGGCTAGTAGATCCCGCGGTCATGGGTTCGATCCCCACCGTCGCCTCTGGACTTTTACTGACGGTTAGGGATGGTTGTAATGATTGATGGATGTTGTAAATGCAAATTACAAGCACATACTCTTAGCTGTTCTACTTCTATTTTTTTAAAAGCTGTTTTCATTGTATAGTTTGATTTTCCATTATTGTCCCTAATCAGTCCTTCCTCTTTGAATCTAAATTTTCTACAATTCTTTATTGTAGAAAGTTGCAATTGCAAAGTTGTTGCATAAGTTTTATAGCAAGAAGCATCAGGAATGAAGTATTTTAGAAAAATACCTTTTTCATTTTTAGCTCAAATTCTATGTACTTTTCCGTTAATTTGAAAGTTATTGCACACATTTTATCAAATTGATATTGTTTTGTATGTTTAACTACTGTATGGCGTGTATTTAATGCGATTTAATGATAATTTATTAAGTAGAGTAGTCTGTCTTTCTGAGGTGTGTAGTGGTTTTTGTTTAGTTTTTTAATTGTTCTTTTTAGAATTGTTTTTAATTGAAAGTACTTTTCAATATTTTGCACTAATTATTAATTCTCACTGGCCATCTTAGGTACTTCATGCGGACATGATGGCAATTTGTTTTCTGTGTCCAAACTATCGAAAAAAACTTTTAACTACAATTTGTTGATGAAGGAGCATCAGGAAATGAAGTCTTTTAGAAAAATACTTTTTTCATTTTTAGCTCAAAAATGCTGGACAAAAAAAAATGAAGACATCTTTCTTCATTCCTGACCTTCAACTACAAAAATTTTCGAACAACCAGTCGCTAAATAACACCCTCTTAACAGAATATTTATTTTTTAAATAGGAATGTAAAAACAAATTTCTAAGGGATTAGGTGTACAAAAATAAGAAATTGCTACATTTTAAAAATGTATTTCAAACTTTTCTCTAAACAAGGAAAATTTGAATATTTTTCAGAAACTAAAAAAACAAATCTGCAATAAAAATATAAAGTTTGTCCTTTTAAAATCTATGGTAGTGAGTTATTTTTTCTACATTTTTCTTTCAATTATATGAATACCAAGTTTACAATCTTGTGCCTTTTTTTTACAAACATGAAAAATAATGTATGATGTGTAAAGTAAAAAATTGAACACAGTTTGAAAACCAAAACAATAATACAGGAGTATATACAATATATACAACTTTTATGTCTTAAATTAACAGCTGTACAACACTTTTCTTATTTATTTACAATGATTGAAATAAAATATTTAGAAAATTTAAAATGTCAGGTTCACTTCTTGTAGTCGGCGGTCTCTTCTGGAGGTACGACTTCAACTTCAAGGCATTCCATGTTGAGATATTGACTTTCGTCAAACGAGCTCGATTGATCGCGTACAGAATGCGACGTGTGCCCAACATCATCCTCTTGTTGGATAAAGTACAAATCGCTGTTTTGGACATGCTCTTTTGAATCGTTCGAAAGCTCGCCCCACTGGACGTTATGAGGATCTTCAAGATGGTTCAAAACAATGACCTTGGAGTAGTCGACTTCATTTTGGGGGACCATGTTAAGCAGATCCTGTATCTCACTCGGCTTCTCGATTTCATCGTTAGTACCAAAAATGTTGTCAGATGAAGAATTATTTAAAAAGAAAGAATCAAGAATGCCCTTTTCGGTCCTTGAACTGCTATGCTCTGTTGCAGGGATCTTGATCTTGTTCGGTATTATTTCATTGGCACGTTTCCTCTGTATGCTTATCGTTTGAGGTCTATGCTCCAAGTCCTTCCGTCGTTCACTTGGCTGTAAAGACTCGTGAATGGGAGGCTCATAGTGCAAGCTTTTGTCTTTTTCTTCATCATCTTCATCCCTACAAACTATTAATATTTGGTTGTCATCGTCCATCTCTTCCATGAAGGATAGTTCAGATTTTTCCTTCTCTTCAGCACTCGCCTCCTCTATAATTATATCTTCGGATGAAACAAATTCTATTGAATCCTTTTTAATAGCATCAGTAGTGGGCATTTCTAAATGAGGATTTGAGACATCAGTTTCGACGAGTATTGATTTCTTCGGCTGGTGTTCTACAATATCAGGCTTCACCATGGTCATATTCTCTTTAGTCTCATTCAATATGGTGTTTCGTGATCTGATGGGCGCTGTGATTTTAATAGTAGGTGATGCCATATCTTTTCTCTTTTCTTCAGCTTGAGGTACTAGAATTTCAGGAAGAGGCCGATTTTCTTTCTTATCAATATGTTTGATAATACCTTTGGGTAAAGACAATGAGTCGGCTTTTCCATTTTTCACTATATATTGCACCACATTGTCATTTTTCATTTCAGGTGTTTTAAAAGAAAGATTCGGGACAATGCGGTTGTTGAGAATCTCGTAATTTTCACAAATCTTCTGTTCAATTATTTTAATAATTGTTTCCCTGTCAGGCTTGCTTTTAGCTTGAAGTAATTTGGCCAGAGACTGAGTTGGGGCAGAACTACTTGGTGGGGGTGTCACCGATTTTTCAGCTTCTTTGACTTCAAACACAACTGAATTTTCATTTTGTTCTTTTGGAGTGATATTCAAATGGACAGATTTAAGACCTGTGGGTGTGCTTTGATTGATCTTTATGTTGTTCTGGCTGGTCTTCAATTCGTGCAAACCGTTTTGATTGACTTTCGCGATTTTAGTGGGTGGACGGGGTGTAAAAGACTTGGAATTATTCAAATGCAGGTCGAGCGTTTTTTTCATTTCCCTCACATCAGCGTCAGAATCATCAGAGTTCAACTCTATTTCTAAAGTTTCTATTTCATAATCTTTAGTTTCCTCTATTTGAGGTTGCTTCCTTTTTAAGACTTTCCGTCTTCTCCTCATCACTTCGTCACTCTCGCTGTCCTCAGCACTCGATGTTGCACTCAAGTTTGTTATTCTCACTTGAATGACCTCTTCATACGCGTCCGACTCCTCCGAACTCTCATCAGACAGCTCGACTGTTACAACAGGTGTGTTGACAATTTCTGGAGAGTCGTTTATAACGTTTGTGTTGTCAAGCTCCGAAGAGCTCACAGATAGAGGTGTCCTTGGTGGGGAAATATCAGAATTCTCATCTGCTGGCTCAGGTGTCAATCTTTTAATTGACTTAGTTTCAACTATTTTAATATCTAGATCGTTTTTTACAGAATTCCTAGGCTTCCTCGGTTTTCTCTTTTTCTGTGGTGGTGGTTTGTGTTCTCTCTTGGAAGAAAGGTACAAGGTAGGAATAGCTGGAAAAAAATATTTTTAATTAAATAAATAAATAAATAAAAAACGTAACTAATAATTATAACTATTACTATGATAAAAACTTTCTCAAAAAGATTAGTTTGTTGTATTTTAATTTAACAAAATGCCCAATAAAAAATGACAAATTGCCCTTTTTTTAATAATTAAAACAAATTTTTTCGAGTAAGAATTGTATTATCATAAATTGGATAATTACCATTAGACTTTAGGTTCCTTTTTGGCTGTGCCATGTGCACACCTGGAGTCTCAGCCCCTTCGAAATCCTCCCTTTTAAAATGATCCGAGCAGACCCTAGCCGACTTCGGCATACGCCCTTCGATCTTGCACTTCTCCTTCCATTTTTCAGCAAGCCGATCGTCCATAGGGAACCTGTAGTAGTATATATTCAGATTTGATCTTCTCGTATCAAGCATTGAGTTCTGGCAGCACTCGACAACACATCGCACACCAAATGAAGTCAGCGATTCTTCCTGAAATTAATTGATAATTTAAGACTCAATCACAAATTGGCATTTTTATTGTGATCTTTTAACTTTTATTTAGAAAAAGATATGAGAAAATTTTAAGAAAGACTATTACAACAATTTATTGTTTTTAAGTTATGAGAAATAATGAATGAAAAATGTGAATGTCAAATAAAAATAAGATATAATTTTTAAAAGTGTATAAAAAAGTAAGGCATTAATTAAAAATAATTACCCGTTCCCATTTTGGCCTCTGCCTAGAAAATCTAGGCGTGAAATCTTCTCTCCTAACAGTTGGAGTAGAAATGGAATTTTTTTTTGTACTCTCTTTTAAAAGCTTTGCTTGTTTCTGCATTGGTTTTGGTTTGTCAGTTTTGGACTGTTTTGGTGTATCAGCATCCTTGTTATGAGTTGAATTGTCTTCTTCGTTGTCATCAGATTCTTCTTCCTCCTCCTCTTCTTCCTCACTTTCTTCTTTTTCCTCAATTTCCTGTTTGATCTTTACCCGCGGTGTCCTGGGAGTTTTATCCCTCTGTACTTTGGTGTTCTTCTCAGACTGCCTCATCGACCTCAGATTTCTACGAGCTCTAGGAGGAGAGACGGATTTTTTGTCCCGGTTCCTGAGCACCCGTTTCTCGGGCATTGTCAATTTTTGGTGCGTGCTCGTTAATTTCACATTCGACGATGTTTTTAGCCTTGTGGACCTCAATACCTTCTTATTATCGACAGAAATATCATCGAATTCCAATTTAATGGATTTTGGTGGCCGTCCTCTCCTTTTTCTCTTTCTTCCTCTAGGCAACTTGGTTATGGCATCAATTCCTCTTAAAAGGCACTCCAAGTGCGATTTGCTTCTCACTTCAGGTAAATCAATGTCATGTCCTCTCACTTTAACTTTTGGAACGCAAGATTTTACAAACTCAACTGTCTTATCAATGACCATTTCTTCATTGATATGTATAAAAGCCGTCTTACCACCAGGCTTTTGGTGAACCCCCCACATGCTGCCCGGGAGCTGGACTGATTGTGAAATTTCATGGAGCTTATCTATAGTGAACATGTCATCCATTTCTGAAAGATCGCTGGCAGAAACCCTCGTGCTGCCAGACTTCACAGACGAAGAATCACGTTCTTCATCTGTCTCCGAATTGCTTCCCTTTTGGGAATTGGGCTTTGATTTCTGCCTTGACCTAGACGACATTGTCAGGTTTTCAGTGGGGAATATTGTAGGGACTGCTCCTCGCTTCAAGCAAGTCTTCCCCCTTCTGAACTTCTCCTTTTGGCCATTTGGCAAAGTGAACTCGTAATGCGTTAAAATATCTTCTTCTGCAAAGTGTTTCGAGCAGACTGTATCATTCAGCGTCAGTCTCCTGTCTGTCCTACCAATCCTTTTATTCCATTCCAAAAGAAAATCCTGAAAAAGAAAAAGAAATCAAAAAACAAAATTATAACAAAGTAATTATAGATTTCACTTAAATTTCTTAGCAAAAAAGGGAATTAAAAGGAAACATTCCCAAATACTAAAATTGATATAGGAATACCTCCGGAGGATGGAACATAGAAGGAGTGTTCAATCCGAGGCTTTGCGTTTGCAAGTTCTCTGAACCATAGCCGGATTTGCAAAACGGGACATAGCATTTTTTTGGCATTGCCTAAGATATAATCAAAGAATGTCTGTCACCAATAAAGTGAAAATTAAATTCCTTCCATCTGCAAACAATAGAAATATGTCCTGATTTAACTTCGGCGGCCCTTAAAAAACTAGAGAACATCAAGAAATTACACTACACAATTGAAAAATTAAATGAACAAAATGCAAAAAAAAAATAAAGTCAAATTTCAAGCTCTATTTTTTAATGCCCAAAAGGTGCTATATAATATTTGTGCAGAAAAATTACAATTAGTATTCAATTTATGCATAATTTAACGATCTCTTTACACCTGCAGTTCTTTTTATCAATTTATCTATTTTACAAAAAGGAGGTCAACATAAATAATTAAAAATAAACAACAATATAATACCGGCATATTTAAGAAAATGTATGAACTAATGCAATAACAAAAAGTTAAATAATAATTAATCCTAAACAAAGTCTATTGTACAAGAAACATGAATAAAGAAGTAGTTTTAGTTGTAACTGTATTTATGAACATTCGCTAATGTAATTTAATGTTCCAATTTATTGAACTACAAAAAGAAAAAATTAAATAAAATTGTGAAGAAATTAGTCACTAAATCATTAATAAATCAATAGAGAAAACAAACCTTGACTTATTGTAACTATAGATGGAATGGTGATCTTGTGAACGAGTGATACGGCATTCACAAACGACCAAAGATCCTGTACAAGAAAAACAAAATGTTAGTAAATGATACCTTGTTTTAAACAAAGCAGAATGAATTTTTGTTTTAGTAAAGATCAATATTATCAATCTAGAGATAACTATATATTTGGCAGACAAACCACCAAAGATGTCAAAATGAACCTCACAGAACAAAACAGTAAAGATAGGCAAGCTATCATGACCCAAAATGATGCTCATTGCTATGAATATGACCGCAAATACAAAGCAACGATTACTTAAAGTATTTTAGCAAGAAATTGGTATATTCAATGATTAGGAAGATGATAATCATGAGTAATTTAAAAAATATATTTTTCTTTCAGTTTTCTTCTACAAATGCACCTTTCATTAATCTATTTGATTTTCTGAGAAATAGGAATTATAGAGCCTTTCTACTCCAGAGAGGCGCTGATTCGCAGGGGGCTGACCACAATGCACAGATCGCAGACGACCGGTTGTTGGCGAGCCAAGATCTGGATCAACAGCTCGTTTGTTTATAAAAAAAAATCTTATATTTGAATAATTAACTTGTTTTTAACATCTTAAAATTGTATCAGATTTTAAATTGTTTCAGATTTCAAATTTAAAAATTTGTTTTAATTTTTTTTCAAAGAAAAAAAAACTTATAGACAATAAATGAGAATAAATTTGTTTAAATTTCAGTTGTCCAGTGAAGCGAACTTTTCAAGTATTCACACTATCAACTTACTACAAGGCTTATTCACACTGCCAGACACATTTACAGTCAAAATTTAATTGTATACCATATAAAAATAAGTATTTTTGACCTAGTATATCTCAGAAGAGAATGGTCAAAGCGTACAGAGATTATTTCTATGAATAAAATATCATTTTCTACTAATATTTTGTGATTTGCCACTTCAAAATAACAACTCTACTTTCTGTCATATCTAGCAGAATGCACATTAAAACATATTCAACAACAAAAAAAAAAAAAAAAAATGGTTTATTCAGTGATTAGAAAGATGCAAGTCAAGTGTGATAAAAAAAAATTATATATATATGTGGTGATTAGTGAGGGGCACTCTCGACACGGCACGCAAGAATGGCACAATTACACAGAAGACAAACACTTTGAGCCCTGAAGATGATCTCAATAAAGCTGGCACGATAAAGAAAATGTTTTTCTGAAACCTACATCACACCAGACCGCAACTCATGATTTATAAATAAATATAAGTTTTCCCTCAACAATTGAGCAAACTGTTATTTATATACAATGAATTGGGATTGTTATAAATTTAGAAAACTTGTTTAAATTGCACTTTCCCAGTGAAGCCGAACTTTTCAAGTATACACACTAACAACATACTATGAGGCTTATACATACTGCCAGACACATTTACAGTCAAAATTTAATTTTATAGCACATAAAAATAAGTATTTTTAACCTACCATATCTCAAGAGAGTATGATCAAAGCCAACAGAGATTATGTCTATGAATAAAACAGCATTTTCTATTAATATTTTGTGATTTGCCACTTCAAAAAACTAACAACTACTTTCTGTCATGTATAGTAGAATGCACATCCCAGCGCTATCTTCTCATATTTATATGACAGCAAATAAACATAGGACAGTTACTTAAAATGTATTCAGCAAGAAATTGGTTTATTCAGTGTCTAGCTTTCAACCACGAATTCATCCATGCAGGACTCTGTTTTAATGTACGTTCCTAATGCGACGCAGAGTACTAATATGACTGTAGTAATATGTCTCTTTTCTCAAATTTTCTCTTCTTCAGTTCACTTCCGTGTCTGTACATGGTGTGTAAAAGTGTCCATGGATCCCCTCAGGGTTGGAATTCCAACCAAATCCTTTCTTAGCAGCTATCCATGTATATAAATGATATGTATATAAATGCACTGTCGAAATTTCAGACCTTTAGATCCAGGGGACTGGTTTGTGCTGTCAGTCAGTCACGGAACTATTTTATATATAGATTAGAAAGAGGCTAATCAACTGTGATAAAAAATATACTGTTTTATTGATAATAAACAACCATTGTTTATAATAATAAATTGGGATTGTTACAAATAAAGAAAATTTGTTTGAATTTCTGTTGTCCAGAGGAGTCAAACTTTTCAAGTATGCACACCTCAAGGGTTAAAGTCAGTGCCAGAAATATGTAATAAAAAATATTTATAATAATTTCTGACCTAGTTTTTTCAAGATAGGATGATCTTAGCAGTAGAAATTATTCCAATGAATGAAATATTTTCTAGTGATTTTATTTTATTATTTTTTTATTGGCAACTTTAAAAAAGCTAGACTGGACATTCTGTCGTATAACGTACGATGCACATCTTGACTCTCTTCTCATATGGATATGACCGTGACACATTTGACGAGAAACTGGTTTATTCGGTGATTAGGAAGATTAATCTTGCGATAATTTTTTTTCTCCCTCAAATGCAGTTCTTGTTTATATAGTCGATTTTACGAGAAATAGGGTATACATTTACATTATTGATATAAAAAAAGTGCATATATACATGATAAACTGATTTTTGCCTTACTAATTGCACTGAACCTAAAATAATAGATTTGAATAATTTTTTTCTCATATTTGAAGTTTAAAAATAATTTTAAATATTGGCAAGATGAAAGATTTTTATTTTCTTTTGAAAAGCAAACTGTAATTTATAGGAAATGAATTAAAATTGTTGAAATTTTCAAAATTGTTTTAAACTTCTGTTGTCCAGTGAAGCCAAGCATTTCAAGTACGTATATTAAGAACGTATTACGAGGCTTATCTCAAATCAGACTCGTTTAGAGTAAGAAACCAAGAAAAATAAAGTCAATTTAAAGTCTTTGGTCTGATTTTCACGATGGGATTTGAATTTTCCGAAAAAATGCATTAGAGCCAATTTCGATAGAAAATATTGATAAAAATAACGGGCTAAAAAGGGTCAGGGCGTCGTTTCGAATAGGTAAATCAGGAAAATAGACGGGAAAACGTGAACTTCCAATGTTATCCGCGGATCGAGTCGAGGACCCCGCTCTTTTCTAGGAATAACGTCAAAAGTTTTTATCACGATAAGTTGCGATCTTGCCAGCGTTAGAAAAGTGGATAAACATAACCCCAAAATTTGGAAAAGATCGGGAGAGTTGGGCCGAAGGCCGTGCAAATCCTGCCTACTTACGTTCGTGCCGAAATCCGCCGGGTCGTCTCCAAGTCGCCGGGCTGGTTCAACACGCCGTCTCGCCACTTTTCACTTTGTCATGAAAACTCAATTTCAAATTTTCACGATGGCACGATTCACGAGCTGGGCCGAAAACGAAGTTGACGGGCTTTCGTTCGACGCCGGCGCCGTTGGCGGTAAACGGCGTCCGCTGAAACCACAGTGGGTTGGAAATGGAAAAAACGACACAATTGCGAGACGCACATCAAATCCGCCCCTTTTTCCATTCTATTATCAAACTTCAAATTTAAAAATAAAACAGGCCACTGAAAATCTCAACTATAGCAAATCAATACTACTGACGTCAATAAAGAAAGGTGTAGATTCTAGAGTACCAATTATAATTCACATTGACGTCATAAATATTAAGTACTTACAAATACTTTTAAGTTCCAAACGCAAACTTTCTACAAACCAGAGCCCAATACGTACGACCAAAACAACAATTTTTTCCTCCCATTAATAAAAAAAACTTAAAAAAGTAAAATTATAACTATTTAATCCAAAATAACGTTTCAAATTTAAAAACGCTTTTACTTGGTCTATCATGAGCATTCGTGATGAGATTTAAATTCAGATGTTCCGGTGACAAGTTTGCTGGAGTTTCGACCCGAATCAAAGGACGAAGCGTTCGATGCGGTGGCGGCGGCAAACAGGACGGATTTTTCCGTAAGCCGTAGCCTTCCGCTGATCATCAATGATCACTCTGACCGCGCGGTCAAATTTGGAAAAATTGACAAAAGACAAAACTTAATTACTGTGACGTTTTGAATTTAGAAAGTTCACGTCTGAACAACAACAAAGAAATATATAAATTTATGTCTGAAACTGTTAAATTACATAAAAATTAGTAATAATAATGGATGTTGGTAGCATACAAGAACTTATGAATGAAGCCTTTTTTTTTTACTAGCACTGAAATTTCTAACCATAAGTATAAAAATTCTAATGTGGCGACTTACAATGTTAAAGCATATAGTTATGCAATCTAGATTTTGGTATAGTCTGTATGAAAAAACAAATTCAATTGTTACTGCCAAGCTTTCGACTTATATTAATGTCATTATCAGAGGAAAACCATCTTAAAGGGTGTCACTTTGTTGACAATTAAGTTTTTAATAGACTGTTGCAAGTCTCATTGAAGACTGACTCCATCCCAACGGTGCCAAGGACTGATTACAGCAAATACAGAAAAAAGAGGAAAAGTCCGAAATGTTGTAGGTTGAGATGAGTTGGTGTCCGAGGGGATCGAAGATCGATCGTGTGGTTAAAGCAGCAGCAAATTGAGCGAAGGTCGTGGGTTCGAATCCTGCTTGTAACGCTAATTTTTCATCTCAGCCAAAAACCTTAGACAAAAAGAATATTTATTTGGAACAGTAAATAACATTCATTGTTAGTCCTTGGACTTAAGGACTGAGTTGGTAATTGCCCTCAGGAAGTTTAAATAAATATGCCAAAAGCTTGGTAAACATATATGTTTTTTTTATTGACTTCATCCCTAATTCTACATCTATAATTGTGTAAATATGTAATTTATAATTAATTATGTAATGATTTTTAGCATACATTTATGCTACGTAAATATATGTTGTAACTTATGTATATCAACTCATTATTAGTTTAATGGGGTATGAGTCTACCAGGCATTTAACATAATGTAATATATAATCATTATGTTTTACATAACTGGATGTAAAAACCATATAAAGTTGTGATTTTGAATTAATAAACCAAAATTTGTTTTCCAAATCTTATGAAAACATAGTTTTGGTTGATTAAGCCTATATTGAAGATTGACTAAATAATTAAATTTTACTTCTTTTTGGCCTAATAAAAAAGAACCTATACCATAAGACATATATTTACATAATAAGAAAACGAAGATTACAGTTAAAAGACTTAAATAGTAATAAGATAGTTACAAGATCGTTCAACATAGAAAATACTGAACAAAGAGAAAACAAACAACAAAACTCTTTTGTCCCAATTTTTATATCTAATTAGTTTTGACATTTCCTTATTGGGGTCTGTGGATAAACTTATAGTTTGGTTGCTTCTCATTATTTTACGATGTCGCCTACATTTACAAAATTTGAAATTTTTTTCAATATTGAATTTTTTTTTTTTTTTTTGGTATTGGCTTTATAGCCATAAACCATGTGTAGCCATGCCGCAGTCTCGTAAAGTTGGAAATGGCAAAAAGAGGGAAAATTTGTAAGTCTTATGATTCTTCCTTCTTGAAGGTGGGATAATAGGTCATCTCAATTGAAGGAAGAATCATAAGATTAACTGTTGAGGTCAAAATATAAAAATTTGTAAGGTTGAGATGGAGAGTTGGTGTCCGAGAAGATCAAAGTCACGATAGCTCAATGGTAGAGCAGTGGTGTATTTAGCCGAAGGTCATGGGTTCAAATCCCGCTCGTGGCACTGACTTTTTTAACTCAACCAAGACCTTACATAAAGAGAATAATCATTGAAAAAACTTGGACACAGCTGAATAAATAACCATTGCAGTAGACCTGTCTTATTTTTGTTCGTGATAAACTACCAAAATATACTAATTTTTCAAAGAGAGATCAAACAAAGAACTCATTTTGCCCAAACTTTTGAAAAACTTGTATGCAACAAATGAGTTTTTGCAGTCCAGACCTGTGCCTGATTCATTACATTAAACCCTTAACTACCAAAAAAATATTGTTATTACAATTAAACCAAAATTTTCTTCTATATTTATTTTAGTTCTTCAAATCATTTCTGGATCCATAACATTTCTGAAAAAAGGCTTGTAAAGTTTTTAAAATGCATTAAATTGAATAAATAAGCCAGTTGTTTTTGTTAAACCCTACACACAAAATTTTATTTTTCATAACACCGAAAAAATAAACTTTTTCTATGGCTTTCCAATAAGGCAGTACACAGAATGTTGCACATCATAAAAATATTTGGAAAAAAAAGTGGCTGAACTACTAGCAAGACAAAATTCTTTAACCACATGGCCACTGTGGTCCACTAGAAAGTCCAAATTTGAAAAACATTTTTAAAATATAATTCAAAACAATTAAAATCCACAAATAAACGTACCATTCACATGTGTGCTTTTTTATACTGATTGGTCATTTCTGATCATTTCCTCAATATACTTACCGGTTTGGTTTCTCAGTTGCATTTCAGCATTTCACCATGTTTAGTCATCAGTTTATACTGACAGAACAAAAATGGTGTCAGTAGACTCCTTTTACAGCCCACTGACGATGAGTGTGAAAATAATGCTTTATCACCCCAACAGACACCAACAAGAAATATCACAATGTACGGATAATAAATGTAAAAGAAGTGGCCGTAGGCTTTGGCAACAGAAAAACCAATACAAATTTTCTAATCTAGACTTTTTTTTATTTAGAAAGGTCAAGTTGTCAAACAATGGAAAAAAATAAGTTGGAACAAAAAGTAATAAAACATGAACAAAAAATAAACCTTTTACAGTTTAAACTAGACCTGTGCTTGTTTTTTATATAAGTATTTAAATGGCTGAAGTTGTTAAAAAAATTACAATAATTGTATTTAAAATAATAAATGAATCAGCAAAAATCTCACTTTTACAGTAAACTTGTAAAAAGGTTTTTCAATCAAGTAAATTTAACATAAGTCCACTGAACTTGGAAAAGAAAACTCAGATTGAGTTTCAACAGCTGTGGTATATAATTTCTTTTTCATTATAAAATTGGTGAAAAGGGGGATAACTAAAATTATACCACAATAATTACTACAAAAATACATTTTTAATTAAAATAAGGGTTTAAATGTACAATCCCCAGACACCGAGTCACAATTTGTAAATGATGTAACTGGGATTTCACATCAACAATCTCATTTTAAGGAATCTATCTATAAAAAAATAAAATAAAAATATATATACGACTTACACTAACAATGCATTCATGTCAGTGTAACAATCGACTAAAGTAGAAGTGAAACAATGCTAAAAGTAAACTTACAATTATTTCTTTACATCCATCCTTCTCATCATGTACTGATTGCTTTGAAATAAACGGTGGTAACTTTCATAAATTTTTGCCTGCATGAAAAACATGCACAGTATGCAAACAAATGGCTTTTTCAATTTATACGTTATTATTTACATAGCTTTTAAAAAAAGAGAAGTTCCTTAATTACAAAAATTGTACATTATATACATCTATTTCACGAATAATTATCTTCAAAACTTGCAAAAGTATACAAAAAGAACTTAACAAACTATACCTTAACATTGCGAATTAAACAAAATAATTAATATTTTAAGAGACTTAAATGTAACCAATTTAATTACAATTTATGAAAAGAACTTATTTTAAGAACTTCCAAATGTTTAAATTATATCACTGATCAAATAAAATGAGAGAAAAAACAAACAGTAAAGTCAAAACAATAAATTTCACATTAGCAATGTGGTTGTTCGTCATTATTTCCTGTAAAAATTGGCGGCTTGGCATCGATCTGATAATCCATTTCCGTTTGATCAGAGGAATAAGTTTCATTGATGGTATAATTAGGTACAGCGATGGCATTTTTCCCATCGAACGGCTGTCCGATTATACCTTTAATAAAATTGTCAGATTGTTGATACTCTCCTTGTTCGACACAGTTGTAGGTTTTTGACTGGTCAGGGAGCGTGATGTAATAATGGCCACTTTTATTCTCGTTATAAACGTTGCTGGCTTGTCCTTCATCAACTAACACTACGTTTGAAGTATAGTTGACCTCCTGGGGTTCGTCTCCTATCACCTCTTGTACTATTCTCATGTATTCTTTATTTTCCTTTCTCTCTTGAACTCCTTCTAGTATATTGGTGAACCTGTCTGTACTGTAATTCTGCATCGAATTTAAAACAATTATGTCAGGGTCTTTTTGTTTGTGTTGTTGGTACAGGATACTTTCCGTCCTTGGAACCTCTGGAGTTTCATCTGTGGCTTCCTTGACGGTGATATCAAAGTTCGCTTCTTCGACGGCGTCCTCATTGCTTTGTACAGAATTTTCCACAGTGTTTATCAATCGCCTACACTGGTCTTTTGAAATAGAACTGACCCAGTTTTGCACGGTCGAAATCCCTGGAAGAGGATAGTTCAATTTGTGACGTAAGAAGTGATAACATTTCCTACTCTGAAACCTTATTGCAAACGCCATTAGCAACTCCTTGGTAGTCCAAGAAACATGTTCATCACCGAAGAGAAGCTTTATCTGGTTCGGTGTTAGCATTTTTTGCAATCCTGCTTCAACACGTCTTAATTCAATCTCCAGATCGTCCCTAGAAGCTCGAATATACTCGTATTCTTTTTCTTTCTTCTCCATAGTCCTCTTCATCGACTCAATTATTTGTGAATTGAACATCTCTGAGTTGCGCTTTTCAATCATGAGTTTTTCATGTTTCTTCAAAAGAGCATCATATTTTTCTTTTGGAACAAATAAATCGTTAGGCTGAGGTGTAGAGTGAAGCGTGACAGTTTGCGAGTGACATGATTGTTTTTGAGGTTGAAGTTGGGTTGAAAGAGATATAATTGGTTCAGAAGATATTTGAGGTTTGTCAGAGTGAGACACAGATTGTCCTGACGACTGTTGTGCCACATTAGGCTGTTGCTGAGACTGAGTAGCAGGTTTTGGTGTAGATTTGACTAGCCCATTTGATTTCAAACTGTTGTCTTCTCTCATTGCTTTTGCAAGAATGTTGTTTTCAGGGTTCATTTTAGTCCCATTACACACTTTCTTTCTCTCGAATGGATCTCGAGTTGCAGGCGATTTTATTACAGGTTTAATGGTATCGGTGAGCCTCTGCTTTTTTATTAATGGCTCATCAAGGGAAAGACTCCTTTTTATTGGTATAATGGATTCATCATTTTTTCTAACAACCCTAAGAGAGACAACGTTTACTTTTCCTTGTGGCTTTATTTGTACTGTTCCTGGTGAATGGACATTTTCTCCTTTGTTTTCTAAGTTCATTGAAATCATTGTTGTATGATCATTGCCAGTTTTGATTTTTAATTCTTCATTATTTGATTCTTGTTTTTCAGCGTTCCACTCTTGCTTGATCTCTGCCACTTGTTTTATTGCTTTATTTTCTTCTTGAGACAATGTTTCATCATTAATTTCATTTCCATTTACTTCTTTAACATTTTTGTCTTCTTTTGTGAGATCATCAGAGATTTCTTTACTCTCATTTGAAATCTCTTGCAGTTCAATGTGGATGCCATTGTTTGTAGTTATAATTTTTAAATCTTCCTCAATCTTAAGCCTAATATCATTCAAATCTGTTATTTTTAATCTATCACAATATTTCTGGAATAGAAAATCCACAATTTCTTCTATTTTCTTTTTTGTCATCACCTCCTTGTTTTCACAGCGCATGAGTTTTTCATATATGCTGTCGGCTATGGAATGTCTTTCCAAAGGTTCTGACTTCACTGTTTCGACTTCTTTGGTCAAGTCGATGTCATTCACTTCTGGTTTGACATCTTCACTTTGATCATCAGAAAATATATCCAAAGGAGCGATACCGTTTTTTCCTTCATCATCTGAATAAGTGTCTGTGTCATCTTTAAGTTGATCAGAACTGATTTCACCTTGAGATGTGTTGCCATTTTCAGATTTCCAATTCGCCTTTTTAACTTTTCTGGTTGGAGATGAAGGCTGGATATTTAGATTAATTGAAGGAATGGCTGAAATTAGAGTGCCGTATTAAAATTTCCTTTAAATATACAAAAATATTATATACATACAAATAATAACTACCATTTTCCTTCAATATCTTCTTTCCTGGTATTATGATCCTGTCAAAATCTTTTTCCTTAAAATGATTAGAACATATTCTAGCCGATTTGACCAATTGGTTGTCTTTCAGCCCACTCCGTTCTTTCCACTTCTTCATGAGCTTCCCATCTGTCGGAAACCGGTAAAATTTGATTTTTGCCAATGCAGCTTTATTTGCTTTTGAATTGGGACAGTTTTTGATAACGCACTGTCTCGGTTGCTTCATTTTTGCCCTTTCAACCTGAAACAGACCAATCTATCCACATAAAAAATCTACAAACTCTTAACAATAAACTCACAATGTATGATTCATTGATGAAAAGACAAGGAACTGCACCCTCTTTCAATTTGGTGCACCAGCTTGATGTCCTGTCAATTTCGTTCTCCTGAAAATGAAGAGAACATACGACACTTCTGGAGTTGATTTCCTGGTCGTTTCCAATCACATCCACCCACGCTTGGTGTCTTTCTGGATCCTTTGGAAATCTGTTTTTAAAGGAGGAAAAATTATGTGATTTATTGTTGAGAGAAGTGATGAACCTACTTTTTGGTCGTTTATGATCATCATTGGTCTGCCTATCCTCACTGCTTTAATCTGTTATGTGTTATCATTTTCTTTATGATAGGTGTGATATTAAGTGGAGGTGACCTTTTACTTGAGAAATTGATCAATCACCAAATCTTTGAGAAATACCTTTTCCCGCCAATTGAATTATTATAAATAATAAACTTATAGTCTATCTTCACTTGTACTGTTATCATTTGACCTTGGTATTTTGAGTAAACTTGCGTGTAATTAAATTTTCAAGATGACGTTCTAAATTATTTCCAATCAGAAATTCCATCCAATCGCACGCGCGCACACCCACACACGCGCGCATACACACATTGCCTTGTTGTTTGCCTCAAGTCTTTTCTCTCAGACTAGTTACAACAAGTAATTTTATTCACAATGAATCATTTAAGTCACGATGATTCAGTCAGAATCATCGCTCTCTCTGAAGAAGGCAAATCATTGCGTTATATTGCTAATCGCCTTGGGATTCATTATTATTCTGTTTCAAGGACCATATAAAGGTACAGGGAGACTGGGAGTCATTCGAGGCGACCAACGTCAGGGCGTCCCAGAATTATTAATCCCATAGATGACTGCTTCGTTAAAATGCAAGAACTTCGGAAGCATAATTCTACAGCTTCTTCCATTAAAAACTCAATCGCTGGTGTTCGAGGGATATCAATCTCGGAGTCAACGGTTATTAGAAGACTGAGAGAGTCAAACCTCAGCTCAAGAAGGCCAGTGAAAGGCCCCTTCTCACACAGAACACCGCATGAAGAGATTGAGATTTGCAAGGGAACACCGATCTTGGATTGTGGAGGAATGGAAAAAAGTTTTATTCACTGATGAGATGAGAGGGGCCCTGTACAGTCCAGATAGCCGTGAAAGAGTTTGGAGAAGGCCTGGAGAACGGTATAGTCTCTGCTGCATGTTAGAAACAGCCATTTGGAGGGGGTTCTATCATGTTCTGGGCGGTATATCTTGGGAGGCACATACCGAGTTAGTGTCAATCCAAGGAGGGGCCTTGAATGCTTTAAGGTATGTAGAAATGATTCTTCAAGATCATGTTCAAGATTATGTTCTAAATTATTTCCAATCAGAAATTCTATCCAATCGCAAGCACGCACACCCACACACGCACGCATACACACATTGCCTTGTTGTTTGCCTCAAGTCTTTTCTCTCAGACTAGTTACAATAAGTAATTTTATTTACAATGAATCGTTTAAGTCACGAGCGATCAGAATCATCGCTCTCTCTGAAGAAGGCAAATCATTGCGTTACATCGCCTTGGGATTCATTATTATTCCGTTTCAAGGACCTTTTATGCCATTCATAGGCTCTGAATCGTTGCTCACGCATGATAATGCCTGTCCTCACAAGGCAAGATGTGTTTCTGAGTACCTGAACACAACAGATATCCAAACCATTGATTGGCCGGCAAGAAGTCCTGACCTTACTCAATCGGGCAAGTTGGGGATTATCTCAAAAGAAAGGTTCGGTCATGAGATCCACCTCCTACTACCCTTGAAATGCTAAAGGCAGCTGTATTGGAGGAGTGGGACAATATACCTCAAGATTTTCTTCGAAACCTTTTTACAAGTATGCCAAGACAAGTGGAAGCAGTCATTTAAGCCAGAGGGGGCAATACGTCTTATTAAACGTAAATTAAAAATTTAAATTGTAATTTAAAAGTTAAAATTGTAAAAACAAAGAAAATTTTAAACAGTAAGTTTTCTAACTTTTTTGTTTATTGGTAGAAATATCGTAATTTATTTTAATAAAACTTGTTTATGTTAAGTTTAAAAATGTTTATTATAAACTCAGAACCTTTTTTTATTATGAAAAACAGATGTTTTCATAAAATTCAAATATTTCAAAGTATTGCGATACTTTTGATGGGGAGTGTATTAGTAACAACAAATTAAAATTTTGTTAAATTATAATTGAATATCTGTCTAATTTATTATTTTTATCACACCTTAATGACCTTTTAATGTAACAGCTAACTACTTAATTACAACTTGTAACTATACATGTGTTGTACAGTACATAAAAATCAGAAATATTTGTGTTTCTAAAATTTCTTTTTTGAATCACTGAACTTACAATTTGAAAATGGAAGTTTTTCATCATCAATAAAAATTAAAATTAAATTTAGAAATTTGGTCATCCTTGATTGTTATACGTTCAGACATTAACCTAGGCAGGATGTTAATTCATCCAGTCTATGCAAGTGTGAGTGTACTAAGGGGATTGGTGTTAAATGTCAAAATTGGTGTACAAAGGATAACATAAGTTGAAAGGAATAATCTAATAAAAACTAATTTACAGTTTAAGTGCATCAATCATAATGCTTTAACTTATAAAAGAAATTACAGACTGAAGATGGTGAAAATTTGGAATCATGGAAATAATGGAACTGACATGATCAGAAATGACAAAAATACAGTATTTGGATTTTAATTGTGATGAATTTGTACAATAATTTAAGGCAATTATTTCAATGGTTTTTCCATAAAGAAGAACCAAGGAAATTTACTATGCCCTATGTTAATTTGTAGAAAGGTATAATATTTTATTATTATTATTTTTTTTTTAGTGTCCAAGGTATTTATGAACTACTAGCTTTTGCCTACAAGCCAAACCATAGCACGAGGGACAAAAACATTCTGGGCCGGTGTCACTAAAGAACTTACAACATACCAAATTCAATTGTAAACACAAGTGGGAGATTTTATCTGTTTCATTTCCCACTAATCCTTTAAAACGGGCCAAATATTTTTATAATGTATTCAATAGAGGATTGTCTAAGAGATAATTAAAAATATTAAGGGCGGACACTTTTTTTGCCTCTCGGTGTACGAGAGAGTGGGAAAGAGCAGTCATCTTAGCTGACTTAAACGATTTTTAAGATATTGGCTAGGGCAGTCATGGCCAACTGTATTTGCCCCCGGGCTGGATTGAGGAAAAAAAAAATCACGGGCTGGACGAAATATTAATGTCGAGGATTATCCTGGTCTATAAGCTAATAGGTTAATCCTCTAACAAATAGTTTCCTTGCTGATCACCAACCTTCTGTTGTGTATCAAAAATTCTGACTGGTTCTCTGTAGAGCAAAAAAGCTTCTGAGGCATGATCTGGGTGAAGGGATGCTTCGAAACAATAAAAGTTTTGACAATGAAAATTGAAAAATGTTAAGCGAAACACTTATTTCTTTAAGGAAACAAAATTTTAGTATAGAATTTGTTTATGAATAATTGTAAGTAAATCAATATAATAAATTAATGTAATAACTAATGAGATGTGTTGAGGTGGTTTGCATCGCTTATTATTTTTTTAAATATCTGGTTCTATACTTGTAGTAGGCTATTCTTAACGCAGCCTCCAAATGTAAATCATTCAATCTTGATTTTGTTATACTTTTATTTAAATTCATTAAAGAAAAGGTTTGTTCACAAATATAAGCTGAGCTAAAGATTACTATATGTCTTGGCAAGATTTTTTTAAATTTCCATATTTTTCATTATTCAATTGCTTATAAAAATTGCACACAAATTTTCTTGCTCTTCTTGATATTTCTCATGTAATAATTCACCAATGTATGCATGTAATAATGTACATTAATTATTTATAATTATATATAAACAGGAACGTCATCAACTTGTACAGCAAGTGGATTCCGGATAATAGATAAAATTTTACAATTTTTTTGAATAAATGAAATCTGCTTGAAATCTGTCATTAGTGCAAGGATATTTTTATTAAATGTTTGAATCTTTTCTTTTAAAATACAAAAAGATGCAGGGTCTGTAATGCTGGAAAATGATAAAATTTGCATTCAGCCAGATTTATAGAAAAAAGGCTAAGCTTAATTTTACAAGCTCTTAATTTCTGTTTGAAATCATCAGTAAATCAATTTTTCCCTTGTAAACATGTTTTAAATTCATTCAAATGAGTGAGAATATCTAAAGAAAAAGCTAAATCACAAATCAAATTTGGATCTAATAATTCAGGAAGATCCTCAATTTCTTTAAGCATTACAAATATTAATTATTATTTTTATGTAAGATGTTGGCTGAGATGAAAAAGTTAGGTCTCGAGCGGATTTCGAACCCACGACCTTCGGCTCAATACGCCGCTGCTCTAACCACTTGAGCTATGACTTCGACCTACTCGGACACCAACTCCCCAGCTCAACCTACAACCTGTCGTATTTTAACACTTTATGCCATTTTTCAAATGTCATGTAATCCGGATTCAATTCACAGCGACTTATGAAAATGGCCACGGCGAGCTGTTAGTGATGTGATTACTTCTTTACTTATTATATTAATCCATTAATGAATGAAATAGCTGATGGTATTGAGCCGAAGGTCGTAGGTTCGAATACCGCACATCCTTACATAAAAAGAATAATTAATATGGTCAATTAGATCACTAAAAAGAAATGGATTAACATTAAAACTATTTTTATTTTCTTTTTAAAGTACCACACACGTCTTAAAACGTTTCCCCAAACTTAACCAAAGAATTTTATTGGTTTTTTTATTATCTAAAATACTGCTATTTAGTTCTTCACAAATATCAATAACTGCAATGTCATTTAATCCTTTTGATCATAGGAAATTCACTAATCTCACAACTACATTTGTAACATGATCGATTTTTAAAATACTCTTGCACAGTGCTTGTTGATGAATAATTGTATGGGTATAAATTTATGATTTGGATCAATTTAGAAAACTTTATTTTCAGTGCGTTTGATGATCCACTGTTGCAACATTCACCAATTTTTTTTCCAGTCAACATTGTACTTAAAAAAAACAAAAAAACACTTCAATCTCTTGGAAAAGATCTCCCTTTGTTCTGCCTTTCATAGAAACAATTGATACAAGAATTCTTTATAACGCAATATTAAAAAAAAATAAATATAGAAGTATCGAGAATTCATTCGATTAATTACTAGAAGTTAAAATGCTAATATTGAAAAATCGTTCGCGGGTCACATAAATTCATTATGCCTACGTTGGCTATGTTGTTTTTCCACTTTTTTTTTTTTAATTTTTTTTTTGGTACAGTCCAAAAACAGACCAGAATAGGTTTATAAACTCAATGACAGGATTTCCTGGAAGACATTTTTCTGTCATCTTCCACATTTTAATAAAACAAGTTTGGCTGACGTATTGTATAATTTTTAAGTTTTTTTTTTATTGTCTGCAACTGGTATAATTGAATAATAATCGCGTCAAATAGGAAGGGGCACATGAATTGGCCGTAAATTAAAAAGAAAACAAGTCAAATCAATGAGGGCGATTGCACACGCTCTGGGACCTTGAGACCCTTCGAGTGGGAATCAAAACGTACGAAAACTAATTACGTCCAGCTTGTACGAGACCATTTAAGAAAAAACGAAATATTAAAAAACAGTTTTGTCGGGAGAATCGTTCGGCGAAATTGTTTTGTCGGCGAATTGACACAATTTTGCAGGTTATTGCGTAACATGATAATTTTGATAAGGGTCCTTCTTTTAGGCGGGAATTCTCTATCAAAATTTATCACTTTTTTATTGTTTATACAATCGGCTGGGGAAACCGACAGTGGACAAAAGACGACCTCGGGGAAAAAAAGCATGTCGGCTTTTCTGATCCGTCAAAAAAATTTTGTCAAAACAGGAAAAACCTAGACTAGTCGGCAAGACATTTCATGGGAAGCGTTTCCACTGGGTTTTAAACAAAAACATAATTCAACGGGTCGACCTTGACCCCGAAAGCATAACAAAACGAATTCGAACATTTAAATAAGACGAAATACCTGTGAAATGTGATTTTCGTAGTTTGTTCGAGTGCGAGCTGGCTTTCGCTCTTTAGATAAGGCTTATTCGGGCAACTTGGGATGGAGCACTTGACGGTCATAACGTCCGCGGTCCCCTCGGGCTCCGCTCACGGGCGAACTCTTATCCGCTTTGTCGGCTCGTCGGAACGAATTTACCTGAGAGTCTCCTGCAAAACAAACTGGACGTCGTGTTTTGAAGATCTGCAAAGCCGACATAACCAATGCAGGCCGGACAGGGTTGTCTTTTGTTTTCAGCCGACGAAATTCCCCGCCAGTCGGCACATGGGACGCCCCTTCCTGTCTCCTTAATTCATCGTTTGACAAAATCAGATCCAAACTCCTTATTTACTTTCAAAATTAAAATTTAATGTTCCCCAGCTCTCATCCCAGAAATATAAAATATTCCTATATGACTATTTATATAAAAGAGACCCCCATCAGTAGGTTAATGCACACAACTAATTCTTATTCACACCACTCATACCAAGATAATATTAGCTTTTTAAAAATCAATTAATTTCTGCACTCAAGATATGAATATTGATCAGTTTATGTACTATTTTCATATTCATTTTATGTATGTCTCATTATCGTTCTTTAAACACATCGCTCTGTTTAATATTCACAATTATATATTACTATGTTAGGTTAGTTAGCTTGGACTTTACTAATAATTCCATTATGTTTAGTGGTCTAATTGACCAAATTACTTCTTTATATGTAATGTTTTGGTTGAAATGAAAAAGTTAGTGTCACAAGCGAGATTCGAACCCAGTTGAAGGTCATGGGTTTGAATCCTGCTTGTGTCACTAACTTTTTCATTTCAACCAAAACATTATATAAAAAGAATAATTAATTACTAATAATTATTTTTCAGTTGTTTCTTTTGTATTGTATCATTTAAGTTAATTGCATTATATTTACAGATGTTTTATTTAATAATTCATACTTCCAATTATTTCTTATTAAATTGTAATTTTAATTCAGTTGTTTCTTTAATTAACTAAGATCAAAATGTCCCAGTATCCACATGAATGAAAAAAAAATATATATATATATATATATTTTGCATTGTATAAATTCACTTTTCCACATCCAAAATGTAACTGTTATATGTAAACAATGTTTGTAAATCCTAGGCCCTGAAGATGATCTCAGTAAAGATTGAAACGTTGGCACGATAAAGAAAATGTTTTTCTGAAACCTACATCACACCAGACCGCGTCTCACGATTTCTAAATAAATATCGATTAATGGTCACTAATAACCACACATATCCACATGAATATTGAATTACTGGTAAATTGGTTAGTAAAGCCAACAACACAGTCAAAGAATCCATGCATATTATTTTAAAATAATGATAGGGTATACAATATTTAGACTTTTATTAATTGCAATGAGCTCTGTTGGTAAAAGTGTTTTTATTTGTCATTTGTTAATAATATTTTAATATCTGAATAAGTTGTTGAAGTCTGAACATTATTTACAAACAGTTGTTTACTTTTTGTACCTGTTTTAAGTTCTAGATTAATTATTTTAATAGTTTAACTTTATTAATGTACAATTTAGCATTGAACATCATCACCTATTGCAAATAATTAAAATCAATTGCATACACTATTTTTGGAATCGATGGATTGAATCCACAATAAATGAAATAAATTTATTACACTCAAAACATATTTTACAAGGGTACAAAACATAATTTATGATTCTTATTTAAAATTTTACATGAAACAAATGAAACACTGATATATACAAAAATTATTGAAAATATTCTATTTACATATATAAATCTTACAATTGCGATAATACAGTTTCAAATTTTCTATTTACACATTTCTTATCAACCTGAAGGCTTATGGCCTTTTAGCAGGTCTTCTGTTTTTGTGCCTTTCTTTAGTCCTTATGTACTTGTCGATTGTTGCAATTGCATAACTGTGGTCAGCTGAGTTGTTGGTCGTGAGAGGACTGACTTCGTTTATTCTGTAAAGGTAGTGGAGGATCCGATCGTTGTTTTCCCCTTGTTCAAAGTTTTCTGGTGTCATGCTGAAAGTCGGAGTTTCTGCATTTGTCGGATCATCCTGCTTACAATTTTCTATAACACCTTCTTCGGTTAGAACATGGATATTGTCACCTTCTTCAAACCGTGCTAATACATTTTCGTCTGTTATGTAATAGTGACCACCTTCTTCTGCGTTTTCAACCTGCCACTGGATGGTTTCAGGATCTACACCATCTATGGCCTCCACGAGAATGACATTATGGGGGAACTCTTCTGCATTTTCATTTGTGTCAACTGTTTGCATGGCTGATAATGGGTCTTGTTGTTCCCCACTCTCACCTGCTTGTTGATCCTCCAATTTTCCAATGAGAAGAGCTTTGAGCAAAGGTCCATCAGTTCTGTCATCATCTGTTCTTTCTTCTTGATAAGTTACACATTCTGGATCTTCTGAATATTCGCCTATGACATTTTCGTTGACTAGGTTTGCTTCTTCCCAATTTTCTTCTCGTTTAATGTATATAACATGTTCCTTTAATTCTCCATCGTGTTCAATTTGTTCTTGTTCATCAGTAAAATTAGTTGTAGTTTCCATGTTTCCGCTTTCAGTTTCCTGTTGATTGTCGCCTTTTTCTTCTAACAGTTCAGTGTGTTCGATCAACTCCTGGCCATCATTTTGGTTTGGTTCATCAGAACCTTCTATGACCACATCATCGGTTGCATTTGGAAAAAACATTACTTCTTCCTCTTCTTCATCACAATCACCAGATATCATGTAAACAGCTTCCTCTACTTCTTTGAGATTGCCACCATGCTGTTTTGTCATAACGGCAGCCCATCGCTGAACTGATGAAATCCCTGGTAAGGGATAATTGAGCTTCTGGCGCAGGTAATAGTAACAGCGTTTACTCAGGTAGCGTATTGTGAAAGCTGACAGCATTTCTTGAGGTGTCCAAGAAACCTTTTTAACATCATTGAGCAAAAGTTTTATCTGATTGGGTGTCAGCATTTTGGACAAACACGTTTCTATTTTTGTCAGTTTAGCCACAACGTTGTCATGCATCACAGTAGAGACTTGAAGTTCCTGACACTTTGTTTTAAGCTCTTCATTACACGCTTTTAACTTTTGTTTCAACTCACTGTTTTCTTTTTGTAATTCAATTTTCTGTGTTAAAAGAATATCATACTTCTTTTTTAAACTTTCAAAGGTGTCAGGTTTAGATCCATTCTCTAATAGTAAATCAGCATTAGGAGATTTTAAGTTGTCCCTGTTAAGACTATCAACAGATTTTTCTGGAGAAACCTTTGTACTATAATTATCTTCTATTTCTAATGCAGAAAGGGGAATTGAGAATGTTATAGCCTCTTCTTTGTCGTTCTTTTCAAAACCACTATCAGTAGAAATTGAAAGAGCACTTTTATTAAAAGGTGTGGTAACTTTTTTCTTTGACTTGGAAGAAAATGGTGTTACATTTTTATCTTCAACAATCCTACTATGCTCTAATATTCTTTCTTCGAGCATTTTGATAATAGCTTCTTTGTCATCTGGGACCAATTTTCCTTCTTTCAACATTGAGCCCAAAGAAGGAGGCATGACAATGGCCGGGGTGTCGTCTACTCTCTCATTCAATTCCTCCAATTCCAACGGATCGAAATCTTCCTCAGCTCTATCATCATACACCTTTCGTTTCCTACCTGAACCTATTTCACTCATTTTTTCCTTTTTGGCACTTATTTTCGAAGGTCTTGATGGCATCCACTTTCCATCGTTATCAACTCCCAAATAGAACTCACCGCTGGAATCGGAAACATCAATCGCCTTGATATCAGAAGCTGAGCTGATTTTACGCTTCCTTGACCTTTTTCGCGGCTGGCTCTCATCTGAGCTCGACTCGCCATCCATCGGAGCAATCCGAACTTTAATCACCTCTTCGTAATCTGAACCTTGTGAAATTTCATCCTCACTGTTTGAAGAGTTGCCTTTGATCCTTTTTTTTCTGTTGACACTATTATTCAACTTTGTTTTAGATAATTTGTTCCCACCGAGATTCAAAGAGGGGACAGCTGAAAAACATGACGTGTAATACATATATACATAGTTATTTGCTTTTTAATTAAACGAAATACCTTCAGGTTTTAATTGCCGCTTTCCTTGAAAAGAGGACAAGTGGAAATCATCATCTTTAAAATGTTCTGAGCATATCCTTGCAGATTTTAAAACATTGCTACTGTTGAGTTTACATCTGTCTTTCCATTTCAATAATAGCTTTTCTTCTACTGGAAATCTGTAGTAAGAAATGTTGAGGCCTTTCTTCCGCGTTTTCAAAAGATTATTTTTACAACTATCAACTATACATGTTGTTCCCAACATAACTTTGCTCTAAAATAAAATTTTTTAAATGAGAGTTAAAAAAACTTCTATGTTGAAGAGTTTTTGTTTAAAAAGAAAAATTTTGAAGTTTCACCTGTCCATTTGAAAAATCTTCATCTTCATTTTCTTCATCTTCCATTTCATCCTCATCATCATATTCTATTCCATCATCATCATCTTCGGACTCATAAACATCTTCTTTTTCTGGGACGATCCTTTTAAATTTGCCGTCGACTTTGGTGTAGCCAAGGTTTAGAGTCGGGACCCAATCTGGATTGTTTTCATCATGGAAACTAGCTGGAGCACCTGAGAGAAAGAATCTTGAAACAACATATGCAAAAATATATATTTTTTTTTTTTTTTTAATAAAAATAAATACCTGAAATAAAGTGATTGGAACAGACCCGTTCATGCTGAATCTTGTTCATAGTAAGATCAGCTCTCCTGAGCGCTTTTATCCACATCGCAAGCCTCTTGGCGCATTTTGGATGGTTGTAGCTTGTACCACGGTTCCGCAATGACGGAAACCTAAAGTAGCTAATGCCACGAGTTTTCTGCGAATTGTTCGAACAGCCAATAACAGCGCAGAATACCATCTTGTTATCTTGTGACAATAGAAATAAACAAAGATTTATTGACAGTACATATTGTCAGAAATGTTTATACAAGCCAATTAAAAGTTTCAATATTTGATATTTTACAGTATATTTGGTCAAAGAGATACAATAACACAGATAAATGAGATATATTTATTGAAAGCAAACAGTAAAAATATCGTTTATAAAGTTAAAAAAACATTCAAATTAACTTTGCCTAATAACAAAAATTCAAAAAGTAATAAATATGTTATATATAATATACTTATATATTATTATATAAACACATAATATATTATTATTATATACTTTAGTATATATAACAAAAATATATAATATATATTTATATAATATATATATTACATAAGTATATTATGTATTTATATTATATAATATAACTAACCCTAACCATCCCTAAAAAGGTAAGCCTTATAATGAAATGTAAAATAATAATAATCCTTTGTTAAACTTATGTCCTTTAAAAATATAGATGCTGATGATGGATTAAATTCCCGAAATAAATGCTTAAAAAAGTAATGAATTTACTTTATTAAAAAAAACCACATGGAATTTTTTTACGCAAAAACCGAAAAATTAAAGAATAAAATTTACTTTTAAAAAATTACATATTAAAAAAATCTAAATATATTACATAAGTACCTATATACAGGGTGGCCCCAATCGATTCAGCCAAACTTCCAGATCTTATAGGAAATTGAACGCTGAGTAGAAAAGGTCCTATGAACCTGTGTCCGCAAACCCTTCAGTTCCGAGCTACAGGCAAAAAACCATGAAAAATCACGTTTTTTGACCTTATTCGTGAAATTGTTAGTAAACCGTTAGCCTGACTATAAAACAGCAAGAAACAACATCTGTAGAGGATTAATTTCTGTGTCGAATGATATTAAAACGAGCCTGATTGGCCGAAAATTTCATTTTTATCAATCAGGAATATCAGGAATTTTTTGATAGGGTGTTCAAGATGTGAATTTTCGATAAAAATGTCAGAAATGGTGGATTTTGTGTACCCCTTCACCTCCTAACTTCGAAAAATCATCAAAAATGAAATTTTCGGCCATCAGGCTGGTTTTAATATCATTCGACACAGAAATTAATCCTCTACAGATGTTGTTTCTTGCTGTTTTACAGTCAGGCTAACGGTTTACTAACAATTTCACGAATAAGGTCAAAAAACGTAGTTTTTCATGGTTTTTTGCCTGTAGCTTGGAACTGAAGGGTTTGCGGACACAGGTTCATAGGACCTTTTCTACTCAGCGTTCAATTTCCTATAAGATCTGGAAGTTTGGCTGAAACGATTGGGGCCTCTGTATACATTTGTATTATCAAAAGAGGAAAGGACACTACTTTAAGTTCCAGAAAATAGGAAGAGGTTCTTGAATATTTATCACCAACGGTGCAAAGCCCATGTGAACTTATAATATCAAGTTCTGTAGCTGTGACAGAAACAATATCATCATGTCAAACAACTTCAGAAAAGCATAATAATAAGCATAACACTAGATTGGGTGTCTAAACACAATGCAAGAAACATAATGGCTGTCAACATACTCAATACCTATCAGCTAATCTAGCAACTCAAACTGCATAACTTTTTAGTGCAGTGAATACAATTATTTAGGAAAATTATTTTAATTTCTAAAAGCAAATGCACTTTGTGCTTGAATATTCTCAAAACACTAAAAGAAATAAAATAAAGGTTGTATTTTCCGATAAAATGGTATTTCACTATCTTCACTGGTGGGTTTGTGCCAGAACAAAAATAATGTCAACACACACCATTCAAAATTTATAAACTATTAAAAGAAAAGATTCACAAAATAGTACAACAATCAATGATGATGGCAAAATATGTTTAACAGAAAACCAAAACAAAACTGATTGAAGACGATGAAAATGGCTAGGGATCATCCCACAAAATCTGACCATCCATTGTTAATTTTTTGTTTTTAGTATTACAGGTAACTAACGGTCATGTCTAGTACTCTAACATCAATTAACTTTTAAGTAATTAATTAAAAGTAATTTATGTACAAAATTCTAATACTGTAAGAATATTGAGTTTACAATTAATTAGGAAAACAATTTTCTATTTTAAATACTAGAAACAAACCAAGTCATTCACACTTTGGTCCAACCTCTGGATCTGATCACCATGATCCAGCTCTCTGATGCTAAAAATCCATTAAAAAACATGATTAATTAATTATCGGCAACATCAGTGGGCCGGATAGGCAGAGTAGCACTCGTGTTTCAAGACTCTGGCCCTCACAGGAACTGAATTCTAGATGAGGGGTCATCTCACCCGATTATGAATATGCCATATGAGGTTGACAGACACTTTTGAGTCGAAGCCCACAATCTGTGCAACATGAAGAGAAAGGTGGTTCAATGTGTCCCACTTAATTGAAGGGTGTCATTCCTTATAGATAGCATGTAGGAATGCCACTCAATATGAGGGATAGAGCACGTCAACAACTTTCTGGGTTCCTTGTTTTGATTTTTAAAGAAACGTGGCTGTTCTACTGTACATAATTCTTTATAGTACCATTTGACCCCCAATTAGATTAATTATATAATATATGTGGAGAAATATTAAGTACTACATCACTTTTTCTTTGCCAGTGCCCTTAATATATGAGAATTTTTCTGCAGCACCCCAAGTCAAAAAAGGGTCTATCTAGCATGAACTATGATAATAGTAGTAATTCATTTCTAATCCAGAAAAGTACTGATATATCTAAACCTCTTATTTTGTCTACAACATTATTTATTAAACAATAAAAAACCTTGCTCTTTCTTGTGATATTTAAAAACTTGCATTTTGAAAAGCAATAACGCACTTAATGGCTAAAATATACAAGCGGGTACTTTTTTTTGGGCAATAATATAAATACTCAACTGCAGCTTTCTTGTAAACATTCACATTGAAACTGGATGGCCACCAGGGTCTTAGTTTTTAGGGTTTTTTTTATAAATACGAAAACAATAATAAAATTTTTTTTACAGAAAATTTTCACAGCGCCCAAGGAGCTGCAGCGCACAGTTTGGAAATCACTGGGATAGAATATATTTAATAGTGAATCAGTTTGGATTGAGATTGATTGCGTTACAGGCTGAAATGACCTAGCTGTAACTCAGGTGGCTGGACAGATATCTGACCTCAGACTGCCAACATCCGTGGCGGGTGATTCTCAAGCAGGATATTGAAAATTACACGAAAGCTGGAATTCCTGGTGGACTGAGAGAAGTGATAGGTTCAACCCCGTACTCATGCGTGTACATATTTGAGGTTCATTTCTTCATGAGTAATCTTTCATCATTCAAGCATTTTCAAAAATTGTATTTTCTGATAAAATGGTTTTTTCAATATTTTGTGGGTCTGTTTCACTGACATGACAAAAAAATTTGTTGACACACTTCGTACAAAATTTATAAAAGGGAACTATTTATAAAACTGACACACATAATAAAACACTTTAAGTGAGTACAAATACTTTGATTGAATCTAAAATTTCTAGCATTGTATAAATTCATTTTTCACATCCTACATGTATTTGTAAAATTTAAACAATGGTTATAAATCCCAGACCCTGAAGATGATCTCAAAAAAGTTCGAAACGTTGGCACAATAAAGAAAATGTTTTTCTAAAACCTATGTCACACCAGACCGCATATCACGATCTCCAAATAATCTTCGGCTCAATGTGCTGCTGTTCTAACCATTGACGATATCTCAAGTGGTTAGAGCAGTGGAGCCATTGAGCCAAAGGTCGAGAGTTCGAATCTCGCTCGTGACACTAATTTTTCATCTCAACCAAAAACCTTACATAAAAAGAATAATTAATTAGACTAAATGACAATGTTGAGTTGGCAAAGCACGTCTGCCAGAAACAAAAAATCAGTTTTAACAGAATGGTCATAGAAGGTGAAACTGCAGTCTATTTATCTACCATCATGCCAACCAGTGGCTATGTCTAATCATCAAACTTGCATATATTAGATTTCAAGAATTAACTAATATTCAGTTATATGTAAAATTAATAATAACTTATAATATAAGAGTAACAAAGTTTACAATTAATTAGAAAAACAAGTTTCTATGTTACAAACCAAAAATAAACTTATCAATTTGTACTTTAGACATAGGTATTTTCAAAACTTGCTGTAAAGTACATTTTCTGATAATACTTGTGCTTTATCTTAAAAAAGGTTTCCATAGTGAAACTACTATCGTGGACACTAGGATCATTTTTTATAGGGTAACGAGTTCGTTTTAATTTTAATAAAATAATTAACAAGCTTGTCATTTTTCTTTTGTTATTAAGTTTTAGTCGATATTTTATGTAGTACGTAAATAGGGAGCCCGGTGATAAGGAAGGGACGTCAAGTCTGTGTCGTTTGACCTAAGTTTAGCCGCGAACCTTTGCCGCCCCAGAATTTCGCCCTTTCTGCCAAGCACTGACACTCGACAGTAAAGAGCCGAAAAACCAGCCGTGCCGGCATTAAAAACCGGCGAGGTTTTGTGCTATTTGTTAAAATTATAATCGGGACCGATGACGTAAATAAACGGCGAGCGATGCTCGTCGCAAAGGCAAAAGCCAGGGAGAGAATATCGTCTCAGAAACGACAGCCGGGCCACAGGTCACAAGAAATCGGCCCAAAATGAGGAAATAATTGCACGTTTGACAAAATTACTTACAGCGGTGGCATGCAGGGGTTCCGAGGCATTTATTATTTCGGGCACAATGTTATTTAACCAATTTCGAAACGGCTTTTTAGCCAGAACCTCCGCAGGAAAAAGAAGACAGTACCTCTGACGGAGAAAACGGCAAGTGCTTGGAGGCCGTTTACCATTGCGCGCCAATTTCGACCTTGACTTCCATGGTTTCCGCATCCATAAATACATCCAAAAGTTCATGTTAGAAGCATCAGATGAAAAAACCTATTACATTCATATTTATCCAATTTTTAGTAATAATTCTAATAAGAAGTAGACAAAATTAAGAAAGAAAAAGGAATGGCCCAAAAGTTTTTAATAATAATATTCATTATACTTTTTAAGCATAATATATTTTATGCAATTAATCCAATTTATAAAAACGTTTAACTATTGAAATATATAATATAACAATATAAAAGCAAACCAAAGGAAAAAATTGCTTAAGTATTAAACAGTATGTAAAGTAAGAAAATAGTTTAAAAGAATTGTTCATATAAATATACCTAAAAAACATCATTCTTATCATTGCTATTGTAAATTTTTAAATTGTCACTGTTGATGTTGATTAAGTAAGTGAAAATAAGAGAATTTTGTACATATTTATAATAATAATGTATTTTACAAAATTAATCCCATTTACAAAAAATGTTTAATGTTTAAATTAATACAGGAAGACAGAAAAAACATTTATTTTCTTGTCGAGCTTTTGGCAGAATATACACGCCTTCATCAGAACTCTGAAAAAATCGGGTTCTCCTGGTTCTCCGTTTTCCACACATGTGCCATGTTTATAAAGTAAAACAATTTTTTCAAAGTCCTGATGAAGGCGATATATTCTGCCTAAAGCTCAACAAGAAAATGTTGTTTGTGTCTTCCTGGACTCATCCCCAATCTAACTAATGAAAAGAGAAATGTTTAAACTGAGAAGGCTGATCAATCACCAAAGTAAATAGCTAACCAGATTATCATGTTTTTAGCTTGTTTCTGTGTATTTGTGTTTGTTATTTGTCCTATGTTATTCACAGGCAAGGTCCTGAGGTACAAAGAGGTTAGCAATAGGACAAAGGAAAGTCAGAGGGTTGTTCCATAAAATAAGGAAACTCAGCTGGAGAAACAGAAAAAGAAATTAGTAGTATTAATAAGTGAGAAAGATAAAAAAAGAAATGGAAAGCTAAGGAAGAGAGGGCTTCCAATGACCAATATAGTTTGCCGGCCCTAACACTAAAAAATATGTATATTAAGTATTAAATAGTATGTAAAGTAAGAAAATTGCTTAAAAGAATGTTTCATATAAATATACCTAAAAAAATCATATTTATCATTGCAATTGTAAATTTTTAAATTCTCACTGTAAAATAATATATTTTAAAATATTATATAAATAACATTAGAAAACAATTATGTTGTAATAATAACAATATATTTTATGGAATTAATCTAATTTACAAAAAATGTTTAAATATAGAAATATACGATATAAAAATATAACAATATAAAAGAAAAAAATAAGAAAATAAAGGAAAAAATTACTTAAGCATTAAACGGTATGCAAAGTAAGAAAACAGCTTAAAAGAATGTTTCATATAAATACACCTAAAAAAGATCGCATTTATTATTGTTATTTTAAATTGTAAAATAACGTAACATTGTAAAATAATATAACATTTTTTAAAATATTATATAAATAATATTAGAAAACAATCACCTACAATTATGTAAATTAATTAAATAAAAATGAGAGTATTTTGTGCACATTTAAAGGAATTATATTCAGTAAATATTTTAATTAGAAATAATATAAGTTAAAAATGGAAATTGGGTTTCGTAAATGTTATATGGCAATGGAGTTTTTACATGGGAAAAGTTGGTTTATTTTGTATAGATATATTGTAGATGCACTAGTGTATGGAGATAATTTTACATTAAATTTATAATTTATATGTAAATTATATTTATAGTATAAATATGCAAGAGAAAACTGGCAGATGACTAATTCATGCCTTCGTACAAACTTATTTAAAAAAAATCCTGCATAGAAATGTTATCTGAAAGTAACCAACAAATTTGAATAATACGGATTAATCTTAATAATTCTATGCTTTAAATAAAACAGCAGTATTTCATGCAAACTGTTAATTTACAAATGTTTGACAGATGTGGTAAAATCATTATAATCACCCAAACAAATTCATGTAGAAATTAAGATAATAAAGTAATTTTTTAATATTACAATTTAATTATATTAAAAATCCCTACTCCTCACAAACGTATGCCAAAAAATGATGCAATAAAAAGAATGTAAAATAAACATAAATAAATGGACATAAAATAATTAAGACCATAATTGCAAGTAATGCATATATGACAACTCCTGTGATGATAGTCACACTGGGTTGCCATTCAGCGAATAACACCATATTTTACAAAAATAATTGCAGCTGTATTTTAATTCTAGTTGGAATTGTTAGTCTTTATGTTTCTATTGTTTGGGCTAATAAAAGAACTTCAGGAAAATTGTATTAATTTAAGCCTGAGATAAAAATTTAACAAGATTCATGTGTTTACAAGTTTTTGTATTTTTCCCAGCCATTGTCTTCAGCCACCCTTTCGCAGTGGCATAAGTCTTTTCCAGGGCACATAAAAGGTTTTTCCACTGGTGGACGCCAATTCATATAAACTTTCCTGTTTAAGTTCTTTGTTTCCCTCCTACACGACAGTAATTGTTCACCGTGAATTGTCTTTAACTGTCTGAACAGATCAAGCTAAAAAAAAAAGAAAAACAAAAGAAGCCAAATGATAAAATAATTGTATGCATTTGTATTTAATATTTTCTTTATAGATTACTTGGTGTTTTCGTATGGGTAGTGTATCCTTCATCACGATCCAGAGTATGCCTGGGTTTTCACTCTGGGGTTGGATGCTGTGGTACGCAAAATAATTTGGTGATACCAGGACACTTTTAAACTCAGTGAGCAAATTGGTATCCACAATTACTTCTGAAAATGGTTCCTCGACCAAGGAAAGAGTTGAAAAAGTCCTGTAAAATGGAGCTTGTTCATCGATCTGAAAAAGCAATGCCAATAATTGTAATATATGAAACTGTAAAGAAAAAGTAGATTTTTACAAGGAAATCAGGTTAAAATAAAAAAATCATTACTCCAAAATATTAAAAATTTTCCAAATAGTTCAGTAAATTTAGCATATTTTAGGAATCCTCTCTGTTTTCTAATAAAATTTATACAAGATCATGATGATATTTTTTAGTATACTGACAGATCCATTTACCATCTTACAGTGGTACTAAAATTAATATTACCTTCAATTCTTTAAAATATTTTAAAACAGTATCAATTATTGTAATGACAGTTTCATTAAATTACGAGCGGGCTGTTATTGGTCATATTTAAAAATAATAATTTTAGTAAAAAACATTAAATATGTTACATGAAATAAAACAGCAATGTTGCATAACAGCTCTATCCCTCTTTTCTGTATTTTTTGTAGTTCACTCTTTCTTCTTTTCACTAAATTTTCATCGAAATTCTTATTGGCCTCATCTCTTTTCATTTGTTCCCTGTAAAGATCAGCAACTTTCTCTTTTCTTTTTCTCTTCTCCGATACGTCCATATTGTTCATCTTTCCCAATTCAATTTCATTTGCCTTATCCTTTTCCTCTTCGGCTTCTCTTTCTTTTTTTATTTTTGCATCAAGTTCTTCCTCTTTGGCTTTCCATTTAATATATTCCTTTTTAGCATTGTTGTGCGCCTGTCTTTCAGCACATTTTCTCGCAGCTTGTTGCATTTTAAGCATGTCTTTGTATTTTGAGTAGTCTTCTTGATTCATCTCATGCTTTCTCTCCTCTTCTTCGTCCTTATAGCCTATGTCAACGGAATGATCTATTTCTTTGTTGTCCGGAAGTGTGCCAAACTCAAACCTTGTCGGTCTCCTACTATGTACAGCTTTCTTGGACTTTTCTTTCTGCCATCGGTCATGTATCATTTGCTCCTCAATTTCTTCTACCTTGTTTACTATCATTCTTATAGATGATGAGGACTTTAAACGATTTTGAGATGCTTTTTTTATCGGTTTGTGCAATTTATCCGGTCCTCTTTCAGCTATTCTCTCATCATATTTTTTGGCTGTTTCCAACCATTCCTCTTCGGTGAAAATTGTGTACCTCCGTCTAAAGACAAAATGTGCTTCCAAGCAACCACTGTAAATTGATAAACATTGATTAGAAAAACTATATATGATTCTATATAAACCAAGTCATTACAAGTTGTTATTAATCGAGTGCTCACTTCCTTCATCATCCTCATGATTCCAATGAAAGTGCAATTCTTTAAATCTGTAACTCTCTCCAAGTGGGCCGTTTGTGACTGTACCTGGCCTCTGTAAAGTCAGTGAGACTGGAACGATAACATTTAAATGAAACTAGTTTGGATCACATAAATTGAATAAAATATTTCTCCCATAACTTTATTCACCTCCTCTTTTCCCATCATTCTCAATGGATGTGCAAGACCTTCGGTACATTCTCTCAGACTGAATAATTCCCATGTTGACAGGTATGACATCCTCCATTAATACATTTATTGGTGAGTTCTCGTCTACAAACTCCTTCTCTGTTTCAGTTTCGTACTTGGGAATTTTGAAACTCTTCATTGTAGGAAGGTATGTTGTGTAAAGTGTATTGCTGGTGAATAAGTTGGAAAAGTTTTTATTTAGAGAAACTGTTTAAAAATTGACATATGAGTTTGTTTTTGTAATGTTTTTGTTTTTATTAAGATACTTTGACAGTTTTGTAGAAAAGAAAGGATGCCTTCTATCTATATATAGGAAATAATTTTTATTAATCAGAATTATACTTAGCAGCAATAATCTCATGATATTAAGAAAATGTTTAGTTTTCTTGCAAGAATGGACTGTATGTTTAGTTTAAGCCCTTTCACAAATTGTAAAGTTTAAAAAAGTATTTCTAAAAATTTGGCAATAGTGAGATGAAATGCTGGAATATGCTAAAATAAATTGGTCCAGTTTTCATCAGATCAAGTGTCAATGGTTTACCTAAAAATAAATAAATGTTTATTGGTTTAAAAAGGAAATTGTTAAGCATTGGTTGGCAACAGCAGGCTTCTTTTAAATGCGGGAAAAACATGAAATCTGAAATTCTGAATATTGAATTTATGAGTTTCCACTCTTCTAATTACAACAGAAAATCCAATGTTTCTTATAATAGTTTTTTGATTTTTTATGGAAAAACTGGATCTTAACCATATTTATTTTGTGTATTATAAGATACTTTAGGCTTAATAAACCTAACGATTCAAAATCTCTTATTCTTTAATAACTTCATGGTAATGGATCTTGATTACAGGGAAGAAGAGTACGAATGTCAGTTTTATTGTTTTTCAACAAGCGATGTAGTCTTATTAAGTAAGCTACTTTTTTTCTTTTTAAATTTATACTTTATTTATTTTATGTTATGAGTACATTTGTCTTTAGTTACAAAGTCTATCAGGATAGAACTTATGAAGAGCATTTCGAACAAGTGACCAATATCCTGAAACGGGAGGAAATTGAAATCGCCGAGATAACATTTCTTGCATCATAAATGAATCGCTCGTACAGCACCAGTCCCAACTCAGGGTGAGCGTGTGCAATGCATTTTGTAAAATTAAAAAAAAAATTTTTTTTGCATTTGGTTGCTACTCTTTCCTTATCATACTTTCTCTTGGAATTTCAATAACGTCAAAAAATATTTTTGCAATATAATTTCCACCTTAAAAAAAAGAAACTTGTATTTATTTGTTTATTTGTCCTAATAACTAGGCATGAAAATTAATAATTGACTTAAAACATAAACACAGCATTAATAACTTGTTGTTTCCCTTTATTGAGGGTTACTAATCCTTTTACACTCTTTACATTAAAAATAAAGAAAATCAGTTCAATTTCATCCTTATCAGAGTTGAGTGGTTTTTCAAATCGCTTTCTTTGACGAAACAATAAATTTGAGGAAAAAGGTTTTTTTTTAAAGGCATAGTCTTAAACTGAGATCTTCCCTGGGCAGATGCTTTGTTACATAGCCCAAGTCCTAAGTGTGTTGCACTCAGTCATCCATGATGGTCTATAGCAGTTTAAAGCCACTGGGAGGCTTGATCGAAGAGAATAGTGGTTGATCACATTAGATGATAGCTAGATGATCATTTTACTGCTCTTACTGCACTACGTCACCGTCATTTAACACCTTCCTTGATAGGTAGTCAAAACTGACTATAATGCTTTAAAATGGTCATCAGAATTCTTTGTGGGAGTAGCCTAGTCTCTAGATGTCCCGCATCAGGTTTTCTATTACTGGAAAATGATCGAGTAGAAAGGCGACTTCGCAAATCAACTCGCTTGGACATTTTTTAGGGCTGTTATCTTTGCAGATGAGTGCCGGTTTAGTTGCAGTTGGTGGCAGGCAGATCACCGGAACCATGTGTCAAGATATGGAAAACACTTTGTTTCATGTGCCACATGAGTCACTGCCATTTCAAGTCAGTTATGGCATGGGGTTGAATCAACATCCTTGACCATGCTGAAATGATTATAATGGATCTTTGATTACACTAAGGTTTACTCGGTCATCCTAAAAAGGACAATGAGGATCTTTAACATCCACACCTAGCCTATTCGCCCTTATTGGATGTTTTGATTCTCAAGATGAGAGCTGATGCACCTCCACATACAACAGAATGGTGTTACTGCCGCAACATTGGTGTAGAGGCAGCTCAGCCTCTAGGGGTCAAGACAACCTCGCTCCCCGCTTGCCCATTCCGAGTGGTCGGGTCCACATTAAGCATCAGACCGTATGCCGCGTGCATAGGGCTACCTAAGCCAAAATACATCAGCCTGGTCTACCGCGCACTCCCTAGGTAGAGAAGGCGACTCTATCTCCCAAAGTATTGGGGCTTCTCTTGCGTCAAAACTTCTGGATCCACTCTGGCCGCGGTTTTGTTTAAAGTGGAATTTCTAACCACCCCCTAGAGGAGTACCGCCTCCTATCGAGCTCAGCCTACACCTACGAGCGTAAAGGTACAGTTAAGTAGTTCTTCTGGAAGCTGTGATCCTATTTGCTACATTTATTGAGGATAACTTTGGGTTAATGCATAATTATGCTCGACCGCATGTAGCTCAAGTAGTTGGTCATCACTCTGAGAATGTAGGGATTACAATAATGAATTGGTCAGCACTTTCTCCTGACATGAATCTTATAGAACACGATAAAGAGATGGGTTGACATTGTTTGCCACAATGAGCATTGAGCAGCTTCAAACCACTCTTATAGAAGGGTTTCTGTTTCATAAGATAAAATCTGGTTGCTCATGTACCAGGAGGAAGGCACCTAGGAGACTTAAAGCCCTCCACAAGCCCATAGGAGGTAACATGCATTATTAAAAGCAAAATCAAGTAATGAATTGTTAGTTAAATTTTAATCCATCGCTAAATGTTTTTCTGGAGGTAAAGTATGTGCATATGCTTCTTTTATCTGGTGAATGGCTCATTCGTTGCCTTTATGGGTATCATAATAACTGTAAAACAATTTTATGTTTGTAATTATGACAGTTTTATTAGAATTCCTTTAGAACCACTAGGAATTAATCGCTGCTGGCCAAGTAACGCAGTTCGTTTTGGATCCAGAAAGAAGAATGTGCGGGAAAAGATCTGCTAAGAGAAAATCAATCGGCCCCGGTTGTCCAGCGACGCTTCCTTGGCTTGCTTAGATTGTTTCCTTGCACGACGCGGTCCACCAAAACGTCTTTTTTCGGATAACGGAACCAACTTCGTGGGTGCCCACCGACAACTTAAAGAACTTCATACATGGTGGAATAGTCAACAAGACTAGGATCGCTGCGTCAACCATCTCAACAAAAGAGAAATCCAATGGTCATTTACTCCCCCACATGCACCTCATTTCGGCGGACTTTGGGAAGCCGATATAAAGTCATTTAAAAGTCATCTTACGCGAGTTTTAGATCAAAATCCGCTTACATTGTACATTAATTCATGGTTATGTTATCATTACAGTTGATCGTCAAGAAGTACTTGGGCATAAAAAGTAATGTTCTGTTAGAATAAGGCAAGTGCTAGTCAGTCCAATACACCCCGGAATATGAGAAACAGGTTGAACAAGAAATTGAGAACAACAATGCCAGTTGAGGGCTGTGGGTGTTCCTTTTAATACTTTTATACAATACATTTTCAAATTAGAGAAAAATTATCTTTGTTTTTCTAGCTGATTTTTTTTTTACAATGAATACCAGGGACTGGAGGAGTTCCCTCCTGAGCACTGCAGCTGAGCTGTACAGCTTATTGTACTTTATCCCTGGCTCCATATTTTTTTTTTGGGGGGGGGGGGCTCACAACACAAATGTGTACTTGAGCCGCCCCCGTTGTGCCGGTGTTCTTCCACCGAAGAAACTCATTTTTGAAGGGTCGCTGAGAGAAGGACCAAATTCAGGGTCGCTGAGATCCGATCCCGCCCCTTCCATTGATGAGTGCCGTGTCAATTTCTTTCAATTACGGTCACCGGTCCCCTTAGGCGTCAGAAAAAGTCCAGAGGCGACGGTGGGGATCGAACCCATGGCCATGGGATCTACTAGCTGACAGTCTGACGCCTTAACCACTCAGCTACCGCGGGCCCAGCTGGTGATATTAGATAGCAAGTTGAAACAGTGTCTGAAGAATATTTTCGATGAAGAAACCTTGTGGAACAGCCTCAAATCACATATTGTCAAATTAAGAGGTGGTATTGAATCATTAAAAAAATCCATGGCAAAGTTATCAGAGATGGATAAATTGTGTGAGACATTGAAATAAAAACTGGGTTTCCGAAAGAAAGAAGTTCGTTTGTATTTAATTAAAAACAAAATGTATTTTTTTCTTGTGAAGAATATTTACAACTGTCTTAAAAGTGCAAGAAAATACTGTTTTATATTAAAAAAAGTAATGCAATTTTTAATAAATCACAAAAAATATGTTGATTAAATATATATTATTCTTTTTGTTTGTTTATGGGTTTGACAATTTTTGGTGAGTTGTGGAGGAAATGGAATCGGTAGGTTTAATTTTCCTCATAACCGGCATCGACCTCATCAGCGTTGTCGAACTGCCCTTCTACTTCCATCTCAAGATTTCTTGCACCATTTGCTCTGTTAAGACACTCTAAAACAAAAGATTCTCACATTGAGTAACTTAACATCTAATTTTCAAATTAATAAATAAACCTACCATCATCGGCGTCCATAAATGCTTCATCATCATCATCATCATCTTCATTATTATCGCCACCTGGACCTACAGGACCACCTGCTTCTTCCTCTGAAATTGTATTACATATGGTTATTTTTTTAATCATATATAATAAAAAAATGTCAACTGACCAGATAGGCTGTCCTGTTGCGGGTCTGGGTGAAGGGCCTGGCAGACATTCATTGCTGAATACATACTGTCGAGGGAAGTCTTATCGTCGGGAATAAATCTTATCTCTGTCATTTTATCTTCAGCGTCTTCTTCTTCTTCATCTGAACCCTGTTCCTCTCCTAATAATATATATATTTTTGTAATTTATATTTTTTGAACAGTACCATTTAAAATCCCTTGCTCTAAAAGAATGGACACTTTATTATTATTTTTTTTTTTTTGAGACCGCGGTGACTGAGTAGTTAGACTGTGCAATTCATATTTGCCACATTAACAGTTCTGGGTTTGAATCTCTGCATATAACTTTTTAATATAGTGATGGTAAAAAAAAGTGTTGTAAAGTGATTTGACCCCTCGTCAACATGACTGTTCCTTTTCAACCGATGTAAGATTATTACCTATTAATTTACCAAATATTTTTATGAAATAATGTAATGATATAATTTTTATTGCATCAGCCTTTTAGGATTTACAAAGATTGTCTTTCTGACAATTCTCTGTTAGGAAATCTTAATTTTTCACTCAGTCAATTGTAATCAAAGCTTGAAAATTTAAAAAAACATATTCTAAAGAAAATTTTTTGAGTTATAAAAACATTAACCTGAATGGGCAAATATCAAAAATTAATATTATTTTTTTAAACTGAACAACTCACCAGAAAAGTCAATGTTTGCATCGATCATGAGGTAAAGGCATTCTTTTGGATAAGTGCTGGTGTCTCTGGACACAGCATGGACGCATATGTGCGGATACTGGAGGCTAAAACCTCTTCCAGTTGCTTCATTCACCCAAGATAAACAACTGCAATCAACAAAATTTCCAGTTTAACGAGTTTGACATAGACCAAAATAAATGAAATATTCTCAATCATATATAAATGTGAAGCCTGTATTCTGAACAAAAAATTAATAGACCAGCTTCTAAAGAAGGTGAACTGTTCCTGCCAGACAAAACCAGCAGCAAGCAGACCAGGATGATCACAGATGATCAAACTATAATTTGATTATTACAAATAAAACTTCTACCCTTATTTCAGATGGTAGTTAAAACAACATAAAAATTATATAAGAATTAAACAATATATTTAGATTAACTCTTCCCACCAAAATCAGGTTGAACAACATATCCTTGTAAAAAGACAGTTCCTATTCACCATAAATTGTTTTCAATGACCGGATTTCAAGCTTATAGCTCATCATCAGGTTGAAAGAGTTCTACAATCTGATAATGAACTTTAAGCTCGAAATCCGGTCGTTGAAAACAACTTGCTGTGAGTAGGAACTATCTTTTTAAAAGAATTGACAACCATACTCTCTCCACCATTCATCATTTCTATGAACAACATATCGACATCTAAGACATTTTTTCAATCAAAATTGACCAATAGATTATAAAAAAACATTCATGTTTCTAGTTTTTTAAAAGGGTATTATCATGTAACAGGACATTGATTGGGATGTCATGTACAGAATCCAGTTTGGGCAGCCTGCTCCTGACAATACCCATGGTGGATTAATAACAATACCTACAAAATACTTATGTTTCGTGTGTTTTTGCTAAAGGCTATTAAAAAGAAACAAATCACAGAAAAGGGCTTATTAAAAGCAAAGTTAAAGTATATAAATTATATAATCTCTGTACAAGCCTTTCTTTTTTCCACAACAATCAACTTGTTTCGTTCGGATAACAATACTAATTCTTTTGGGAAAATTAAAACAAGTCAACTTTATTTAATAACAGCATGAACTGACTGTTTTAAAAATCAAGACAAGATTTTACAGCCATCACAGAATTAATACAAATGCAAGCAGATGTAGGAAAACATACCCACATTTCTACTTTTATTTGAGCCATACATTTTAAATAAAATTACTATCAGGGTTGAAATCAGCAGACGTGTTAATTAATATAATACTACTAAACATCTAAATACTAGAAAACATCAGAAGAGGAGCTCTACTGCCAGACTGACAGGCCTGTTTACAGAGCACTGCAGCAACAGTAGGGATATGCAAGAATGAAATTATCTGCAGATTATGTTAGAAAGAGGAAAAACGACTATCAATTTATGCACTACTGGATGTTTTTAAAACTAAAGATTTGGGAGCACTATGAAAACAACAAGTCTAAAAATTTACATTGTTTTTGTTGGTAATATTGCATTGTGAAGTATTATACATATTGATTAAATTATACAGGACACGAAACCACTTGCTAACCCTTGCATGCTTTGTCAATATGTCAGAAAAAGTTGAATTATTAAAATATTGTTGAAGTGTTTTGACAATATTTCTTTTGACTTTAGCTAGCGTTTGTGTGAATTATATTTTTGGCTTTACCTAGTGTTTGTGTGTATTGTTATTTTTGGCTTTACATTGTGTTTGTGTGTACTGTTACTTTTGGCTTTACACAGTGTTTGTGAGAATTATTATTTTTGGCTTTACATAGTGTTTGTGTGTATTGTTACTTTTGGCTTTACATAGTGTTTGTGTGTATTGTTACTTTTGGCTTTACATAGAGTTTGTGTGTATTGTTAATTTTGGCTTTACACAGTGTTTGTATGAATTATTATTTTTGGGTTTACCTAGTGTTTGTGTGAATTTTATTTTTGGGTTTACCTAGTGTTTGTGTGAATTATTAATTTTGCGTTTACCTAGTATCTATGTGAATTATTAATTTTGCGTTTACCTAGTGTTTGTGGGTATTTTTGGCTTTACCTAATGTTTGTGTGAATTATTAATTTTGTGTTTACCTAGTGTCTGTGCGAATTATTATTTTTGGCTTCACAATGTTTGTGTGAATTATTATTTTTGGGTTTACCTAGTGTTTGTGTGAATTATTATTTTTGGCTTTACCTAGTGTTTGTGGGTATTATTATTTTTGGCTTCACAATGTTTGTGTGAATTATTATTTTTGCGTTTACCTAGTGTCTGTGTGAATTATTAATTTTGCATTTACCTAGTGTTTGGGTATTATTATTTTTGGCTTTACCTAATGTTTGTGTGAATTATTAATTTTGTGTTTACCTAGTCTCTGTGTGAATTATTATTTTTGGCCTTACCTAGTGTTTGTGGGTATTATTATTTTTGGCCTTACCTAGTGTTTGTGGGTATTATTATTTTTTGCCTTACCTAGTGTTTGTGGGTATTATTATTTTTGGCTTTACCTAGTGTGTGTGTGAATTATTATTTTTGGCTTTACCTGTGTTTGTGTGTATTGTTCATTTTGGCTTTACCTAGTGTTTGTGTGTATTGTTCATTGTGGTTTTACATAGTGTTTGTGTGTATTGTTACTTTTGGCTTTACACAGTGTTTGTGAGAATTATTATTTTTGGCTTTACATAGTGTTTGTGTGTATTGTTACTTTTGGCTTTCCACAGTGTTTGTGTGAATTATTATTTTTGGCTTTACATAGTGTTTGTGTGCATTATTATTTTTGGGTTTACTTAGTGTTTGTGTGAATTATTAATTTTGGGTTTACCTAGTGTTTGTGTGAATTATTATTTTTGGCTTTACCTAGTGTTTGTGTGTATTTAAAAAAAAAATGCTGAATGGTGTCTGACAGGCACAACCAGTGAGGGAACAGTGTGTATCTAGGCCGATGAGATTTAATAAAGTAATGAACTTTGATCTAGCCTCCTGACTTTCACCGTCATACTCCTTCCAGTACTTCATCATCTTCAGTGGTTGGACTTATTTATTATTATGCTGAACTGGTACAGGGTCATACTGGGTCTGTCTCCAGTCACAGATTTCTTGAATTATACAAACGCGTTTTGGCACTGCTGTTACTTGTTATTATTATTATAAAGTACATGGCAGGGAGAATCTTCATAAAAGTACAGACATAAAAACTATTAAAATTAAGAAGTACATCTCTTTAAAACTCATTATTTATGTACATATTTGATTTTTACATTGAGCACATTGCAGACTTCATTATAAGTCTTTTGTACACATGTCATTGGGTACAAATCTTATGAAATTTGGCATGAAAACTACGAGGTTGATGACTAGTGTGTTTAGTGACATGCAGGTTTGTTTGGCCGATTATCGCCTTTCATAAGAGGCATCCTTATTACCAAGGTGCTATCCTGCTGAAGCCTGGCCATTTTCTGAGCAGTGGTAAGAAGAGGTCCACGAGCTGGGTGCTGAGGTTATTTTCATTCAGCCTTCTTCTTACAACAGTTCTGGAGGAAATCAAAACATTTTGGACTTGTCTTATCATTAGATTTCTTATATAACTTCTTGTAACACTGCATTTTGTAGAGCCAGAATAAATGATGACTGTAAGAAGGACAGTGATTGTTGTCAACAACAATGATCAACTCGCTAGCTTATACAACCAAAATAGCCATATTACAACTGAGAAGAAGAAATTATGGACTTGGGATCACAGATTTTAACGAAACTTTTTTGGTGATACTAGGTAGAAAAGCATTAGGCACATGTCCGAGCATTCTTGCCAATGGGCCCTAGTACCAAAGAAAAAATACGCTGATAGACAAAATTTACACACCACCTTTTTTGTCCCCTTTAATATTGAGCATTTCCATCTCTGGCACCAATCATGTCCGTTCTCAACATCTTTGCATTCCATGGAAAAGATTTCTGATAAAATCCTGATGTTCTGATCTAACTCTTCTAGGGGTTAGGACCTAGGATTTGTTGTCGTACCCATCACTTAAGTTGGTTCCAAATGTGCGTGATTGAGCTCAAATCTGTACTTCTAAATGGTACTACTTACTATACTCTTCTATATATATTAGGTCTTGTAAGTACCCCTGTAAAGTTAGAAATCTTCCTCGCATAACAGCTAAGTCTGTGTGGGCGTCCAAGGAAATGGCACCCCAGAACATCCCCACTGTGGCCACCTGAGGAGCCATACAGCATGGGGAATACCTTTCTTGATACAAAATTATGCACATCTGAAGATTTGAGGTCAACTCTCACCTCATCAGTAAAGATAATACGTTCCTAATTTTCCAATGTCCAATTCGCATGTTCCCTTGCGAAATGATGTCAGGCCATTTGCTGCTTTTCATTGAGTCTTCTACTTAAAGCCCTGGAGGAAATTGAAACATTTCGGACTTGTCTTATCTAATTTCTCATAATGCTGCAGTTTCGTAAAGCCTGATGACGGATGAATCTATCGTCTCTCTCATCGTAGACTTACACTGACCCTATCTTGGCCTTCTAGTGTGAAGCCCTGATTCTCTGAAACGCTGAAGAACTCTTCCTTGTATAGTGATTTACACTGTCTTCTGGTGACTTCGTGCTGGCTGTGTTCATTCTCTAATAATGTTAAGACCTTGTCACTGCCCTACTGTCAAATGAAATCAATGAAGGAAAAATATTAACTGAAAGCCATCATTAGGCAGAAAAGAATGGTAGGGCATAATGCTACTTTTTGTGCAAATGGGAATACTACGATAGCTCCTAATTACTGTAATTTATGTGGAAAGATGATTTTAGTTTTAAATGAAATAAATGAGTGGTGTGGTAATTTGTCCATCAGTGTACTTGATCACTCACAGACCTCAACAGGAAATTTCACGATAAATTACACATATCTGGTTAGGGACAAGGTTGTTAAGGACTAAGGATTCCTACAAAAAAATCTGAAAAATGTTTAATGCTGGATAGTGTAGTATTATGTATTTGATCTAAACAACAGGATGGAAAACAAATAACGGTTTACGCTAATTAGTATAATAAAGGGTTTATAAATGTTTGATATGTGATGTTAATTTTAAATAAAAATTATATAATTTTGTGTGTAAATAATAGCCGGCATTTTTGGCCATTTTTGCGTGTTTGACGCACTGACAGCTAGCTAAGACGACATCCGTAGAATTTACGGATGTCGGGCCTATTGGATAAATTGATCACCTTTCTGCAATGTAGATCGTCCCTTTTCCGAGATCTTTTTTGTTCATGACGGCAACCGTCGCCGGCTGCTCGTGTCGAACGCCCTCGGTCGGCGGCGTGCAATTCGTGACGACGACCATCTCCTGACAGATAATAAAAGTTACAATATTTTAAAATACAATTTCCTCGACGCGGATGCCGGCGTAGATCAAATCGTTTACTACGCTGTTTACGGCCCGGTTACAATTCACGCAACTGACCAGGGTCAAGTAACCCTATCCGTTCCGTAGAAAGTAATCGATTGATGTTCTTCAATTCAACAAATCACTATTCGGAAAATTTTCCGTTTCTGCACATTACATTTTTACTTTATGCGAATTTTCAACTGTTTGATTTTTTGAAAGGAAAAAAATCGTATTTGAAAGTTGCCGTGTCAAATCGATACGGTCAACGATGGTAACTGTCAAGAAACCTCTTGTAAATATTACACGCTCGTAAATTTACGACTTGAGTGTTTTCTTGTCTTTTCTTCCCTTACGACTTACGAGATGGACGAAGAAACTCCAAAACTGGAATGGATGTATAAAAACAACGCCAATAACGTCGACACCGAGGAGTACCTTCTGGGAAAGAAGATCGACAAAGCTTTCGAAAACCAAAACGGATTTAACGATGTGGATAAAGGTGAACTCATCTTTTAGCTATTATTTGATACCACGAGTCTTTTTGAATATAGATACAAAGCTTTACTATCATTAATAAAATTACTGATGTCCCTACGAAGTGATTTGTATACCTAGTGTACCTAACTGTATAGGGTAAACGAACCAGTAACTGACATACTGAAAAAAAAAATTCACTGAATTTTGAGGTGTATAAACTTTAGTAGTGGTATTATTGCAATTTGCTTGTGTTCATTTTATAGCCCAAATTTCCTTCTTGCCAGCTAGCCTTAAAATCTAAGAAACCTCTACGTAAAGTAAAAATAATTGGAAATTTCGACATTAATTCCATTGCTCCAAAAGCTGACACTGTAAGTTCGCGAATGTTCCTAGGGATGACAGGCAATGAGTTAAATAAGCAAAATAAATGGACGAAAAAGGCCAAGGGTTGAAGTAAGTGGGCAGTGTTAGGGTAAAGTGCAATTAAAATAATCCCATTATCATGTGATAACCAACCTCAGAACCCATGAGTAAATACACCAATATCTTCCAAGCTGAGGTTCATGCAATCGAGAGATGTACTCAATTCAACTTGACTACAAAAACAAGAACATAGCTACAATGTCTGATAGCTAAACAGCCATCAAAGCACTAAGTTCTAATATCATTAGTTCAAAGATGGTGTTGAACTACAAAACCAAATTAAACTTATTAGTTACGAAGAACAAAGCCAGCTTCTGTTGAGTCCCAGGGCACATGGGAGTAGAAGGCAACGAGAAAGCAGACACCCTCGCAAGGAGAGGGGCTGCTATACTGCTGATAGGAACCCACACTATCAATGAGTACCTCAGACAGAAGGGCCAAAAGAAAATGAAGGAATTCACTCATTGGACACAGACAATCCAAGAATCTCTTAACAAATTTCGGAAGGATAGCAGTTACAGAATGTGCCAAAGGAAGCTGGATTAAACCGCAAATCCAGGACACTGCTAAATGGACACTTAAAGAAAATTGGAATAATACAAGATGGCACATGCAGATTCTGCAAAGAGGCAGAGGAGACATACCTACTACAAACTGTGGTGCAGGAGGAAGTGCTTTGGGATGTACAATGTGACCATAGAAGAGATTCAACCACTAAAAACCAGGCATACTAATCAAGTTCCTTGATGAAGTAGGACTTCGATGTGCTATAGACATAGAATGGGGGCTACAATAGCTCTTAAATGGCGCAGTATCAACCTCATGATTCATCCTAACCTTACTGCCCAAACTATCTCTTCAAATTTCCATCCCGAGAACCCTCCATGTCACCTTAATCGACAGTGGCCTCGCGACCTCCTTGCCCCTTAATCCGTCACACTAAGTGCCATTATTGGCTGGTTTCTCAGGGCATGTATCCTCCTGGTGCAGTGCTTGCATTAGTATTAGTGTTGTGACCGTGTGAAAAAAATTCTAATCACATTTGTAATATGTATGAATATGTATAGGGTACAAATAAAATAATTTAAAAAATCCTGTGTGATTGACGATCAGGATTTTTAATATAGGTGTGATTGTAATGCAATCTTTTCTAAGGTAAACACCAATGTTTTTTTACACTTTGTTGTATTAAACTCTAATTAGTTAGCTGTGAGATTTCCTTTTGAGGTCTGCAGGATGATGAATCTGTAGTTTCTGATCATTTTGGTCTGCCTATCTCTAGGGGGGTTTATCGAATGCCTTTTGACAACCCAAAAGTAAATGATATACACACAACATTATATTAAAAACACTAAACATCAAAATAAAACATAATTCGGAATTCCTATGAAACATGCTGAGATAGCTTTCCACCTCAAATTCTCTTAATTAACCGTCCAGTATTATCTGCAGCAATGGGAAAAATAAAGCTAGACAATTTTCTACTGCAAGTTTAACTGATGCCATCAAGCTTTACATGTAGCCCCTAAAAACAGATCGATTTTTTTCAATAGGAAATGTCACTCATGATGGAAAATGGGCCCCAAGGGGGGAAAATTTTATGTGGTCGAATCAATGTTTTCCCAAGATGAATAATCTAGAATATTTCCTAAACCTTACCTTCATCTGAAAAAAGCTTCGTTCAATGTTTTTTGCACTGCCAAAGGTATTATGCACTAAGAGCTGCTTTGCCAAACCATCACTAGAGAGAGATGTACTATGATTACGGGACCAGTGCTATTGAAAAAGTAGAAACTTTGATTAATGTTTAATTAATCAAATAGGCCTATTACAACTTCAGGCAATGCTTGCCTGCACAACCTAAAAAAAATAAAGGAGCAAAATTAATGGATCTTGGATGACAGACTTTGCCTCATTCTCCATACTCTACCGACATGTCACCAATTGGCATTTTCAGAGCTGTTGACATAGCTTGATTTTTCAAAAAGATATATTTTTGACTTTGGTTCTCTTTAGAAAGATGTTGAAAGCAATGGGGTATATTTCAATGAACATATCATTTTCTTTTAGTTATTATCCCATTGTTGCCTTTGTCCAATTCAACTTGTATGTTCGGGAATACAAACTATGGAATTTCTAACTTAAATATATATCTGACAGTTATTTCAGCCATTACGACCACATTAAGCTTGCAACCATCTCTGGCATTTGATTTTGTAGACCATTTGTATTTCCTTAACTTCAAGGTTTTGATTTTGGCCCCTTCACTTACCATTTACAAATATGCCTTTAGCTGAGTCTTTTGTGAGCTATTCGATATTATTCTACTTATTTCATTTGTGCCTTTACCTGTCAGTCACAATCATTGTTCTTTTTTATTCAAATTTGTAGCTTTCACAATTGGTAGTGTTTCAGTTTAATATGTGAGGTTTTTGTTTTTCAGATATTCTCCCAGTATCAATTTTTGCCAATGCTAATAGCAATATTCAAGTGGATGTTATAAGAAAGGTGAAAGAAGATCCACTTGAGCAAATAAAGCAAAAAGAACTTGAGATGAGGAGGCAGCTTTTGAAGAATCCCGTCAAGTTGAAGAAGTTGCAAAATTTGGTAGGTTATTATTTAACGAAGCAATTTTTTTTTTTATATCATTGATTGTTTGAAATTTGCAGTTAAAAGCTCGTCAAGAAGCTACTATGAGAAAGCAGAAAAAGAAGAAGAAAAAGCACAAGAGAGAAAACATCGACGATCTGATCACAGAGAAATATTCAAAAATGTTGAAGAAATATGGCGTCAAAACATTGGAAGAGCTTGTTGAGAAATTGGACGATGATGGTGAAGACAGTGATGATAAAGGTAAACGTAAAAACAAAAGAAAAAGCGATTCAGATAGTTCTGATGATACCACACTGAAAAAGAAGAAAAAACAAGTCTCCAGTTCAGATTCTGACAGTTCTGATGATGACGACCCTAAAGATAAAAAGGAAACGGTGAGAAGGAAAAAGCGTTCTTCCTATGAAAGATCACCTGATAGACATAAACATAGTAACGACCGTTATTCTAGCAGAAGAAGAGAACTATCCCAAGATAGAGATAGGTATAAGAAAAAAGAAAAACGAAGTACACCAGAACGATATAGCAGGCATAGAAAGACCTCTCCAAACGAAGTTAAAAGGGAAAAATCATATAGAGGCAGGACACCTGAAAAAAATAAGAGGGCCAAATCGAAATCTCCTGAACAAAGAAAAGAAAGATATGACTCTTCAGATGATGATAGACCAAGATTAAAGAAAAGCTACGGTTTAGTCGTAAGTGATTTTGTTTCTGCCCCATTTAATTTTTTTATTGAAAGGAAATTTTTTTTATAGATGCCAGGAGGCAAGTCAGTTCCTGTAAAAAAACAAGAACAAAAACATGCAGGTGACCATGGGAAAAAACCTCAAGCCAAACTTCCGCAAAAACCGATCCACAAACCCGTCAAGTTGAGCGAGAAGGAAAAAGAAGACAAGCTAAGAGAAATGATGATCAACGCCAAGTGGAGAGAAGAAGCAAGAAAGAAGAATGTTCAGATTTACAAAGAAGTGGAAAAACGAGAGAGCAAGAAGAATGATAAAGAATATGACACAGAATTTATGAAGTAAGTTTAGATCAGGAAGAAATCTGTCTTTGCCACAAGTAAATCGATTATAACAAATAATTTAAGGTATAAAAGAAGATATTTTTAATATATTTTTAATTTAGGAAACAAATGAGTCTGGCTACTTCTGACGCATCAGTGGAGCAAAGGATTAAAGCCAACATCAACAACATACAAAGATCAGGTTTTGCCATGGATAAGAACTTTGCACGGAGGTAATGTAAAAATTTCTTTTAGTTCAATATTTTTATTTATGCTTGTTCATAATTTATAAATAATTAGGGAGGTTTATTATAAAAATAACTTAAGTATTTATTTATAATATAAACATTTATTCAAATACATATTTAATTTAGTTTTTTGGAGGGTAATTTGTGAGGTGTATTATTAACAAGTGAGGTCATAAAACATCATAGCTTGTTCACCCTTAAATAATAAATGTAACTTTGAGCTAGAATAATAACCTAATTATTCAACCAATCAAAATTGGCTTGATTTATAGCAAGTTTTCGTATGTGAAAATAATCAGAATTAAAATTGCAAAATCTACTGGCCTTGGTGCTAGAATGCTTACTGAATTATAGTATGGGCAATATGGGCATTGATAAGAGCCGCAGACTTCACAGATGCTCAGCGTGTAAAGGGGTGTCGAGTTAAACAAAACTTGGACGAAATTTTCTGTAATTAAATAACAAATTATTATTTTTCAAATTTTAAACTAAGCAAAGTGGACAATACCTCTTTTATTCTCTTCAAATAATAAGGCTTGTCTGTGAAGTGTCATATTGGCAACTGGGAACCACCGCCTTACCGTGTGGTTAAAACAATATTTCTCTTTTGGTATCTAAAAAGGATCAATAATATTTGAGATGTTTCAAAATAAGTTTTTAAAGGAAGGTCAACACAAACAGTTAATCTCGTGTAAAAATGTGTGGTGATTAGTGACCGTTAATCGATATTTATTTAGAAATCGTGAGATGCGGTCTGGTCTGATGCAGTGTGGCACTCCCGACACGACACGCAAGAATGGCACAATTACACAGAAGACAAACACTTTGAGCCCTGAAGATGATCTCAATAAAGATCGAAACGTTGGCACGATAAAGAAAATGTTCTGAAACCTACATCACACCAGACCACATCTCACGATTTCTAAATAAACAAACAGTTAATTATACTTTATCGTATCCTGATTTTTTTAGGTACTAACATAATCAAAAAACCATATTGTTTTTGAGGGAAGAATCCGAGCATCCTTCAGTGTAGGATGAGAACTGTACAGGGCTAGCCGTTCTGCTTCAGACTCGACTAATTGATAGCCCGATGGGATGTCAATCTCTAAAACAGCTGCTCCAGAAGAGTTAGGCCATGCGCGGAGCCATCTACATTAATAATTTTTATTGTACATTTTTTAAATTGTAATATATTGTATATTAAAGAAATGTATTTACCTAGTGCAGGCTTCAATTATTATTGCAGACTTGTTCCTTTCTTCCATATAATATTCATTTATGCTAAGACTGAAGCTGTCTATGGTAGGTTTGTCAAGAAAAGTGTCAACGTCAACACCGTACGACAGATCCATTTGTACAAGAGCCAATCCAGCACCTTGGCCCAGGATGTTTAAATGACCCCAGATACTTCTAAGCTGTAAAAATTACAAACTGTTGTAATATACATATATAATTTAGATTTAGAAAAGTATACATACTTCTATTTCTTTATTCATTAGAGATTTATTTCCAATGTGTAGAATATGTGTCAACTCTGAATCGGCAGAGCTGTCAATTGAAATGGCCATTTTAGTTATATCCATGAGCCTTGCTCTGTTCGCATACTCAGTCAGTGCTTCTAAAGCGATTATCGTATCCTGAAAGGAGATATAAATTATTTAAAAAAATACATTTGTCTGTTTTAAACTTACTGTTTTGGAAATGAAACTATTGTCCGACATCCTCATCGTGTTCAACCATAACACAGTTTTGTCTACCATAGGCGTTATACCTTCCAAGCTGATGAGTATCAGCAAAAAATACGCTGTAGTTTCTACAGCAATGGAGTCACCTTCTGAATACAGCCTTGGCTGGATGAACGGCCTCTGGTTTTCTATTTTTACTGGATTCCCCATAACTGGCTGACGTGCCCAGTATGGGTTGTTGTCTTAAAATAATAAATAATTTTGACAGACATTAATTATTTATTGAAAAATATTAAATTTTACCATTATCGTAAAGTGTTAGATTTAATATTCTTATAAAAAGAAGTGATGTATCGCTTTGGGCTAATGTTAATGCATAGCAAGCAATAGTTAAACTATAAGGATCATTTTCTTCCAACACTGCGATATCAAGATAAGTAACAGCATTGTTTATCGCCTTGATTACATCCCTTCTTACAGGTCCATCAACGAATTGTGAACATTTGTTCAAGGAAATTAATACATGAGCTGTTAAAGCTACATCACTTTGCTAAAATTAAAAAAAAACAGAAAACAAACAAAAAATGTTAGAATTATTATAGGTGTGATTTAACTGACTGTTTTCTTATTGTGCAATTGGTTGTAGTAAGCAATATCAGAATAGCTTCCATTTGGGGACTGCATACGGGCAAGCCATTGTAAGGAGAGCATAAATATGTTCCTGTCGATGTATAGGATATTTTCCCAATCTGCGTATATAGCGCTCTGAAGTATCCTCACGACCCAAGCTGTTAACCTTTAACACGGGCCACGCTAAAATAAAATAAATTTTCTGATGGGAGAAAATATAAGTGGTTTGTCTGAGTCTGAACCCTGAACCCTTTCCGATGTTTGTGTATAGAAATTTAAAGGGATAAAATTAATGTTTACCATACGTTCGACTGCCCAGAATCCCAATTTGTAAAGTAGCCATCCGGATGGAATCTTTTCATTATTCCGGCATAAAGCACGGTTGCATGATTTAACCGCTTTTTAAATTCGTCTAGCTCAAGTTGTAGGTTGGTCAATCTGAAATAGTGGACAGTGAGGATGCTGAATGCAAACTCAAACGCAAGTGCTTCTGTTCCTTTCCCGTGATGTCCCAGTAATGAAAATGTATTCAGACTTTCCACTTCTTTCATAGGGCCTATGATATCTCCTAAAAACGGCATTTTATAACAATCATTATGCTTTAATCAAACAATATACTTGCCAGTAACAGAAACATGGCCCTGGGGACTCCCATAAATAAATCTTCTCCACTCAGAATAAGGAATGATTGGAGTCTCTTCTACAGGAATGTCGAAGTATGTTTTAACAAGAGCTCTGTTTTTTAGATCAATTACATTGGAAGTATGCCTTCTAATACGAGCTCCTTCAGGCTGCAAAAAACAATTTTCAATTATATTTATTTTACAGAACAACCATCATCAATAAAACAAGAATTATGCATAAAGATGTTTTTGTATTAAAATAGTAAGCAAGTTAAGAAATATAGTTGGGAATGCAGACACAAGTTCATATAATGATTTTAATAAAATAAATTAGAACAAAAAATTAGAGGAGCTTCCTTTTTAAAAAGATAGTTCCTACTCACAGTAAGTTGTTTTGCAACGATCCGGATTTCAAGCCCTTAGTTCATCATCAGGTTGAAGGATTTCCTATGTTTTTTAATTTCCTAATAGAAATCCTTCAACCTGATGAGCTAAGGGCTCAAAATCTGGATCTTTGCAAAACAACTTACTGTGAGTAGGAACTTTCATTTTAAAAAGGAATGAACTGCACTCACTCATCATTCATCATTTCTATTAGAGGAGTACATTTCACTGTTTTATTTCCAAGTTTGATACTTTAGTACTTTGATCATAAAAACAAATGACATTAAAATCATTTTAAACAAATAATTTTTTTAAACTTACGAGTACTTTTATTGTATGTGAAACTGAACTTAGAGTGGCATGGGCAGTTGCAGTTATTTGCACTTCAATTTCACCAATTTCGATTGTCGGTGATATCGGAACATCAATTCTCACTTGCTCTGATGCAGGAATCTTGAAAAAAATAAATAACATAATCATCATACGATTTGGTTTTCTGGTCTGTGAGATGATCTCTTTGATCATCAGATCTGCCTGTTCTTTCTGGTTTTTTTCAGTCATATACAATTGGGCTATTTTCAGTGATTTGTTATCAATGCCTTTAATTTATTGTAGAATAATTCTACATTTTATTTATGCCTGATAGACAAAACAGCGAGAATAGGCAAAGCATGACGATAGGAGGTAATAAAACATGTTCTTACATAAATGAGAATATGGTGATCGCCACCAAGTAGCTGGGCGTTATAACTTGTTACAATTCCTCCATTAGGTACATATACAAACTTATAGCTTGAGGAATGAATTAATCTAACAAATGCAAGAGTTCTTAAGTTTTCATGATTGTAAAGAAGAAGCCTGAGTCCAACTTGCTCACCCCTCCTGCACTCACTCGGCCCAGTTAGATGAGCTGAGAATTTTCGAGTTGAGGAATACTAGAAGCAGGAACATGTTTTTACATTACAATTCACAATATTTACGATTCTGTGGCATACTTTGACTGGGCTTTCTATAATACTAAACCCTAGTCGGGAACTGATGCTGAATGCGTTGATGTACCAATCGTCTGCAACTACAGGTGCATTTACAAGTTCGTATTCATCACCTTCATGGTCGTTTTTTTTTATCTCTCTCCAACCCCAGTCTCCGTAGTCAGAATCGAATAGAAACTGTACAAAGCACAATATAAATTTCCAACTTGTTTTCAAAATGTTAGCACCACTTACTTGTGATGGGCTTAGCCTTGTTATAGAAAATAAATAGTCATCATACACCAATTTTGGATTGCCTATAGAAATATTTATTAGCATGGCTTAATGAACTAATTTAAAAACTTACAGTTTAGCTCATCAGATCCATCACGACAATCCTTTTTCCCATCACAAAGTTGAGTCTCATTGAAGCATCCTCCTCTATAGCATTGGAAAATACCAATACATTCTATTTCACGACCTTTATCATTTTGTACTAAATTTGAAAATAAAACGAGTCCCGCTAAAGTGAAAGTGTGTGTGGTGTTTATTCCGTAGTCCCAAGTTTGATAATAAGTGATCTCTTTTGGGCTTTCACCATTTCTTGAATTTCTCTCAACCTTGTTCAAATGACTGAAAATTAAAACAAGACATAAAAACAATATTGAATATTGTAGCTTATACTACCTTTTGAATCTTTCAAAAGCCATCAGGCTTTCTGTCATTCTTGACATAGAAAGCTCATTTCCTGCTTGTAGTTTGTAGGCAATAGCCCTCACTGAATTCACTGATATGTAAGCACCTTCATCTCCGCTTACAATTATCTCCACAATGTCTCCTTTATGGTCTTTGCCTTGGTTGAGGACGAGGTCCATCTTTTATATAAGTAAAACAAAATTTTTTGGCATTTTTGATAATTATAAAACCTTTTATAAAATTGGTACCTGATAACGATTGAATCCATTCATAGGTAGGTAAAGGCTGTCAGAAATTAAAATCTGGCCAAGCCTTGAAAATACAATAATTCTGAAACCCGGTGCCATATTAGCACTCATTGGTATGCTGAATGATGTGATTGTGGGCAATACATCATTAACAATTTTTTCACCAGCTAATAATATGCTGTTTTTGGATACAATCTATAAAAAATAAATATTCAACTTAATTTTTCCCTTGAAATAAAACATTAAAATGCAGATATAAAAAACTGTTTCTCCAGGTGTATATAATATATGAAGAATTTTGAAGAGAAAGGCTTGAAACCATGAATAAATGGGAAGGAATACAAGCTGCAAAAGTAGCTATCATACTGATTTGATAAATTAAATGGGTATATTGTGCAAAGAAATGGGCGGAGGATGCTTCCTTGAGAAACAACTGCTCTGATACACTATAAAGTAATAATTTTGTTTTTTAATAAGGGTGAGTGAATCTGTGTGCCAAGTACAATAACTTATATTATAAAGTACTACAGAGGGTGTTACTGATTGTCTGTAGCAAGCCAATTGCTAATTCAAAAAAGAGAACCAATAATGTTGTTTTTGATTATTTGAAGATCGTGAGATGCAGTCTGGCGTGATGTCGGTTTTAGAAAAACATTTTCTTTATCTTGTCAACATTTTGATCTTTATTGAGATCATCTTCAGAGCCTGGGATTTATAAACATTGTTTAAATTTTACAAATACAAGGAGGATGAGGAAAAAAAAAAGAATTTATACAATGCTAGAAATTTTAGATTCAGTCAAAGTATTTGTACTCACTCAAAGTTTGTTTTCTGCGTTCTTTGAATGAGTCTAAAATTTCTAGCATTGTATAAATTCATTTTTTTCACATCCTCCGTGTATTTGTAAAATTTAAACAATGTTTATAAATCCCAGGCCCTGAAGATGATCTCAATAAAGATCAAAACGTTGGCACGATAAATAAAATGTTTTTCTTAAACCTACGTCACACTAGACCGCATCTCACAATCTTAAATAATCATAATAATAATTAACTAAGTCACTAAACATGCTGAAGTGACAATAGGGCTGAGTTTATTAAGAAAAATGAGCACAACTCAAATTGAATTATGAAATACTATTGGGTTGTCCGGAAAATAATGCAGGATTTTGGTATTAAACAAAAAAAAAGAAACTAGTTACTTTAAAGCAATGTTCTTTAATCAAAATAATTTCCCATACTCTCAATACATTTCTCCCAACGTGTTGGTAACTTATTAATTCCGTCTGAGTAGAATTCAGAATTTTTAGAATTGATAAAGTCAATAAATGCATTTTCCAGTTCCGTTTGATTTTTGAATATTATGTGTTGTAAGTAGTGGTCCAGGTGTCTAAAAAAATGGTAGTCAGTAGGCGAGAGGTCCGGAGAGTAGGGTGGGTGAGGCAAAGTTTCATAGCCAAGCTCCAATAATTTTTGTGACGTTACACGTGACACATGTGGTCGAGCGTTGTCATGCAACAAAATGGGCCCTTTCCGATTGACCAAAGAGGGCTTCATTACTGCCAATTTCTGATGCATGGTATTAATTTGGTTACAGTATGATTCAGCATTGATGGTTTCGCCAGGATTTAAGAAGCTGTAGTGTATTAAACCAAATGAAGCCCACCATACCGTAACCATTACCTTTTTTTGATGAGTTGGGGGCTTTGGAGCTTCTCCTTTGTCGAGCCACTGTCCAGAACGTCTAGTGTTATCGTAGAGAATCCACTTTTCGTCACATGTAACAATTCTGGCCAGAAATGGGTCATTTTTGTTTCGACAAAGAAGTGATGCACAAACATCAAAGCGCTGATTTTTTGGCGATCGTTTAATGAGTGTGGAACCCAATTTTCGAGTTTTTTCACTTTTCCAATCGCCTTGAGGTGGTCAGCGACGGTCGTTTTACTGACTTTGAGTTGCTCTGCAAGTTCTCGAACAGTTGTTTTGGGGTTTTCTTCCACCACTGATCGCAGAACATCATCATTAAGAGAGGAAGGCCTTCCACGACCTTCTTCATCTTCAAGGCTGAAATCTCCCTCCCGAAATTTTTTAAACCACCTTTGCACAGTGCACTCACTAACACAACCCTCGCCCCAGACTTGGTTAATGTTTCTAGCCGTTTGGGCTCCGCTTCGGCCGAGTTTAAACTCGTAAAAGAAAATCGTACGAAATTCTCGCTTTGACATTATAAGGATGACTGAATTATTTCCAAGTAGCGGAATGCTACAGAGGTAAACAAACAATATCATTTGGAAGAGGATTAATAAGTGTTGACATTCATACAAATAAGTAATCCTGTAAACGTAAACAGAATATTTTATATAGATTTTTTTTAATGAAAACTTAAAATCCTGCATTATTTTCCGGACAACCCGATATAATAATAAACCATCAAAAGCAAAAAAACAATGAAGTTACACATTCTGTGTCTCTTAGTGTAATATTGTGTCAAGAACATCCTGACTCCCTATGTTTTATGATTTCATCTGCCAAACATGTGCATATCCAGTGGCTAGTATATGTGCTATTTTGTCACTCATGTCTCTTTTAAATATTTGTAAAAAGAAAAACCGGTAAATTTTTAACCCGATCATCAGATAGTTTGTTTATTGTTGAGCCACGAAGATCTATTCTTAGATTTTCACATGCTGATTTTCTATGATTTCATCTGCCAAACAAATGTGCAGATTCAGTGGTTGGAGTATGTGTTATTTTGTCACTCATATCTCCTTTAAATATTTGTAAAAAGAAAAACAGGTAATTTTTAACCTGATCATCAGATATTTTATTTATTATTGCTGCACAAAGATTTATTTTTAGATTTTTCACAATGAACAATTGTTGGCATATCAAATTCTGTCTGTTTATCTATGCTTTATGTTCAGCAGAAAAAGAATTAATTTCTAAAGTGTCTACAAATTAAAATTAGAATAAACAAGATTTTGACAACGTTCCACCAATTATGAAACCACCACTCAAACAGTTAGGAAACAAATGTTAACAGATAAGCAATAAAAAAAGTCTGAACTCACTCACTAAGTACTGGAAACTGTGAATAACGACATCTGTACTGACATGGAAAACTGAATATTCGCCTACCACGGGTGTGGTAGTAGTTGTTGACACCTTTATATTTCCGTGTTTTTCTCTGTTGGATTTACAAAAAACTACTGCTTCTGCTATGGAACTTTCATTCCTGGAAAAACTAGCTTGGATTTTTATTGTTTCAGTTTCAGGTTCTGGTATCACTTTCATGCCCAAGACTCCCTTTTGGGTGAAAGTTTCCAAAGAATCAATATCTGGGATGAGGTAATCGGAAGTGCTGATAAAATCAAAAGGATATAATTGCAATTTGATGTTACTAAGTGGCCTTTCCTCATTTTGAAACTGGATGGTTATTTTGATCTCTGATTCATTTAATGTTTCAGGCTCGATCAAACTTCCGTCACTGTATTCGATAGAAAGCTAAAAAAAATAATTGATAAAAAGTATGACTTTTTATTTTATGTCTTCCTTGTACTTACATAAAGCATAAAAGGAAAAGGGGCTTTGAATAACACTGCTCCTTTTGACAAAAATCTCATTTTAACATCTAAAGGTACGATTTTCGAAACAGAATATCCTGATGAGGTTGAGCCGTAGAGGAAATCAGTCATTTCTACATCTAATTTCAATTCTCCTCCATCTTTAGCCCAATGATTAATGTAATCTTTTATTGGCAAATTGAGTTTGAAAGTTTTATGTTTCTACAATTTAATGTATTTTTACATTTATATTTGAAGAAAAAGAAATAATCATTTGAAATCATACAATAAATATTTTCTGCGACCAGACGAGTTCTTCATGTTTTGAGTTATGCATCCTTCGAGAAAGACGCAATGTCGCATTCCCCTTTATATACTCTTGAGTCGGAAACATCCCGTAAATATCAGCACTGAACTCTCCATCGTTTAGGGAAATATATTTAGGTGTATCAACAAATACCTACAAACAATCTTTAAGTAGATTTATTTTATGATGTAAATCAAGCCAGCTGAATCAACACAGAATGTTCTTTAATTGTTTATTTAAAATTATCATCTTACCTCAAAGAAGGGAGGAAAGTAATTGATTACTTTAATCAATTGATCTTCTATTTGTTCATGTACTTTAGTTCTAATTTTCCAAAATCCTTCCTTGGCCAAAACTGGTAGGTCAAATTCTAAACTTGCAATGCCTAAAAATAAAAATAAAAATAAAATTATCTCTATTTCAACAACTTTTGAATATTTGCATATCTAATACCATTATTTGTGAACACAGATAGCCATCTTTTCATCACAAAACCATCAGGGTCCTATGTTTTAACCATTGAAAACATATATAATAAAGGAATACAATATATAAAAGCATGTTAAATTACTCACAAGAATTGTAATTTCCAAAGCATCGTCAAATGCTGACAATTCAGTGTCAAGAGCAATTACACGAAAACGGACTATTGAATTAAAAGTATTGAGTCAGATTACAATGAAACAGGCAATACAATTGTTACATGGATACATACCTGTTTGTAAACAAGTATATATTGGACGACTTGTCTGGATCACCAAAGAAACGTGATCAGGGCTAAAGTCAAGTTCTGTTATATTATGGAAAACTCGGTGTGAATGATGAACCATTCCAGATATCACCAACTTGTAATTGCCTTTTGATATACTAGCTGGAATCTATAGACAAAAAACAACAACATCAACACATTAATTTTATTGTCACTATTGATTGTTTGATTATATAAATTCAATTGCACATATGTGTATACATGTAGCATACATGAGGAATCAAACCTTTGCCTTCTTAGAGCAAGCTATTTCACATCAATCACCCACTTCAGTTTTTGGTCCAGAGACAACTTGATCTTATCTGTACCACCATGAAATTTAGTCTGTAGGGGCTGACAACAAGATCATTTCAGTCCCTAACATGTAGTTTTAACCTAAACACACTCTTTCATTTATTCTTATTTACATACTTTCTTTCAAGTAAGATGATTCCATATTCCTCCGATATTACACATATAAACTAATTGGGGGTCGATGAAGTAGTTAATATTCTACCATCGATGCTGTTGTGCTATATCCATATTCATGCTTATAAATACATTATCACAAAATATTTAACACATAATCATATGTGTTAACACATCTATCACCCAACTTTTTATATATATGTTGCAGTCAATCAGTCAAATGCCTGGTAATTTATTTAAATTTTAAATTACTGGTATGAGTAGACCCTTTATTAAGTTTTCATCAAGAGTCTAGGCACTTCACTAAGTTTCAATTTGGCATTTGGCAGTTAGTCAAAATGAAAAAATAAAAATGAAATTGTCCCTGCCTGACTTTATGGCCAATGGCACTGTGTACTTCGGCCAATTTATCAAACAACATTTTATACAGCACCATTTAAGTAATATCATCAGATTCAAGTTCCGGCTTATAATCACACTCAATTTCCCACCAACCTCTATCAGACAGAACGTGTGCAACAGAAACCTGGGAATTTGAAGTGTTGGTTGTTTCGACATTGGGGGGAGTCAAAAGAAAACAGCTATGTTGTGTTGTTTGACCAACTGACTAAACAGGGTCTGATATTTAATCAAAGGCGTTTGAGCAAGTGTTTAGTTATATAGACAAATTATTGTATTTTAACTATCTGCCTAGTCATTTCATCAAATAACTAAACTTGACTATCTGCCTGCAACATATACAATAAGCACAGTAGAAAAAATCTACATTTACAAAAATATCACCTTAGAGGACTTAAATTTTTACTTCTGTATTTGAGCATAAACCTTCGAGAGTACTGCTGTATAGAGCAAAGGAGTGACACGCTCCATTTAGAGATACATTGAGCAACCTTTCTCTGTATGCCAGACACATATGCAGGCTTTGGCCCAAAAAAGTGTCCAAGTGTCAACCGTGATGCTGAGTTGAGTTAGGATAATTCTTCTTCTGTGGTTTAGTCTCTCTTGGGGCCATATTTACCTAATTTTTTCTTGGTCCACCCAGTCCACTGATGCTGCCACATTTTCTTTGCCATGTTCTTTATTGCTCATTTAGCATCAATGAGTTGGATTGCATTTATAAGGTCGGGAGGGTGGGCCATATTTTCACTATTTTTTTTTTTGGGGGGGGGGCTACCGACATCTAGGTCATTTCAGCCCCCCACTAAGTCTATATTCTATATTCTATACCTGTTCAAACACAACATTCATACAAATAAATACATTCATACACTTAAATACATCCATACAGCACACTCATTCCGTTTGGTCGGTGGAGTACTTGATATTCCTCCACCGACCTACACATAAACAAAACTAAATTGGGGTCGATGGGGTACTTTTATAAATATTCCGCCATCGACCCCGAACACACACTCACTCGCTTTCATCGTTCGAGGGGTGATGATGACGTTATATTCACCCACACCCCTCGCCATTCACGCTAATAAATAGATGCACACAGACAAAACATATAGACACATAACACATAAGACATACTATATACAATAGAAAAACTCCAATTTCCCCTAAAAAGCGGAACAGGGGACTCTGAAACTCGCTACCGTGCTCGAGGACTCTTCTTAAATCTGGCGGCATGCCTACACGCTCTCTGTATGGAGCCAAGGCATGACACGCCTCTATTATGTGGGACACATCGAGCAACCTTTCTCTGCATAAAGGGCACCTGCGCGGGCTTTGGCCCAAAAGCAGGTGCCCATGTGTCAACCGAGTTATTTTCTCTATTGTTCTTCCTTATGTTAACTAATGGCTTTAATTTGGTTAAACTTGATTTTGTTTAACTTTGTTATTTTATCTACCAATATTTTATAATCTTTTTCAAACTTAAATTCCAATTACAACATTACAAAATTAAATTCACATGGCAGTTTCTACTTTTATTTCTTGGATTTAAGTAGATGAAAGTCCATCTGTGAAAGTTCATGAGCCTTCATAGTTCAAATTTCAATAGAACAACTCAAGCTGTAAACTATTAAGAATTTTTCTTTGTGTGACTTCCTTTTTCAAATGAACACATTTATTATTATGACAATTGGACATACCTTCAGTGGTATTGTTTGCACACCGCCAGGATATATTGTAATTTTAGCCGATGCAATTAATTCTGTCTCTTTATGAATGCTACACGATACAGTCACGTCTTCTTCTGAGCAAATGTGTACTCCGATTGTGTATATCTGGTCTGGCCGTATGGTCCTGCTGGCTGTTATTATATGACACCTGGAAAAAAAAAGTAACAGTGTGATGTGTAATCAGATGTGTTGAGGTCTTCGAGGTGATGAATAGTTATGAAGCTTGACCATCTTCGATCATTCCAGTTTGTCAGACACGAAAGAATGTATGAAGAATATGCTGATCAGTATGAAGATGATCAAACTTCAAACTCTGGAATTTAATTGTCAACAGTTTTAGAAAGGTATTTTATGAAATTATCAAAAACTGACAAAGCCTTCATCAGAATTACATCTAATCATTATTATTATTAGTGAAATAGTTTTGTTGGTTGCTGCAATTAACTTAACTCTAATTTGCAAGAGTGAAACAATAGTTAACTAAATAATCAAAAGAGACTAATTTTGCATATTGAATAATGATAATATTGAATGGTAATTCATACTTTTCCCAATATGTAAATCAAGTGAGTGGGCTTTTAATTATTTCTAAAGCAATTTTTTTGTCAGTAGTAACTAATTAATACTGCGTGGTGAAGAATTGTACTCTGCTGGCACCGGGCCTTAATCACGGATATTTGAACGTGCTATCAAATTAATAATTAACATAAATTGTTGAAAATTCAGGAGGGCAAAGTTACTGCAGTTCTCTTTGATCATAGACGTATCGGAAAAGCGTGAAAACCGACAATTAAACCCCAACCAATTAGATGATAATTATCAAACAACAAAAAGTATCGCTTATTCAACGTTTTAATAGGAAAAACACAGTTGAATTGAATAACAATGAATAGCAGAGGTAATGAGTTCACCGTCTGCGTTTGCAAAATGGTACATAAACGGTTATTTAATTGTTTTAAACTATTACTAATGTACTTTGAAAGAATGAGACTTTTTATTTAATCCTAGAAGGTTTCTTAAAAAAATAAGTTTACCACGAGAAAATAAGAGAGTTTTAAGATTAAATATATTCTTAAAATCAAGATAAAACAACATATACATGTGAACAACGAAATTATAAACAAAGAAATCAAAAAAAGATTTATAAACAAACAGTAGGAAAGTATAAGTTTTTACTGAAAATCGGCCATATTTCTTTGACATTCTTCAAGATATATCTGATTTTTGAAATTAAAAAAAAAATCCCTACATATTGTTTACTTATACCACTGACTTTGATTTAAAAATTTATTATTATTTCACCTTTATTCACAATCAAAATATTGGTCTCGGTGAAATTAACCATTTTATTTAACCACCAACTCTTAAATATGGAGAAGTCCTCCAGGATGAATCATTGTAAATAATCGATCGATGTATTGTCACTAATAATAGGACAGTGACATTTCGAGTTCTGTAAAGTTTTAATTTTAATTAAGCGTGTTGACAAAAATATCGCTTTTGTCTGCCATTTCTAGAGAGAGACTCACCCATACAATCGAAATGTGTTTTTCATTTACAACCCTTAAATCTATTGTTTTAGGTTTAACAAGTTTGTACATTTGACAATGTTAAATTTGGTCAATCCGTCTGCAAGGTTGCTTATTCCATTCTTGCTTCCTGTACAGTTTGGGTTTTTCTTGAAAGGCCGATTAGGTAATTTATCCTTCGGTTTGAAGTTTTGACATCGGCCGACTCTAGCGTATTACAGATGGACCTATCATGCTAATAGATTCTTTCCATGTGGCCCGTCCTTGTATTAATCGGGCCCGGCTTCAGTTACGAATCGTGATGTCCTCATTAAGCCGTTACGAAAAGGGAAGTGTCCATACTAGAGGAAGGGGGAAACGATTTTAATTACGGATGCAACTCACACATGCTCAATTTAGCAGATGCTATTTTTAAAAAAGCCAAGTGCTTATTTGTTAATGGCAGGGAATTGAACTGAATTACTGCCGAGTGAAGTTTGTTTTATTTAAGACGGACTTGCGATTTATAAACATAATGGGTATTGTGTAAACGTTTTTCGTTTTTTACACGTATATTGGAAAACTGCGTTTTATGGTATACTTTAGGGTTGGACTGTTTTCAAAAATTCAATTCATTCTTTCCAATCAAAAGCCTTCAGACAAATACTCAGGACTATACCTACACAACATACTGACATGAAACACAAGAGAAAACAACAGAATACTTGGACATCTACAAAGATGTCCAGTACCGCCTACACTAAACTAACTTTATTCAAGACTTTACTGCGTTCACTTTGGACTTAAGGAATTGAACTGTGTGGTTCCGACAAGTCATCCAAAATCCAGCGCATCCTCCAATCAAAAGTCATCCGAAAATCCTTACCATGTTACCTCACTATCCACAACGTCCTTAACATTCCTTTTGTACATGAATTGATCCTATCTAAAAGTGCCATACCAAGCTTTCCATCCATCCTAAATTACTTTTCGATCCCCTACCACTTCGCCGTAACGACAGAAAAAAGTTAAAGGGGAATATTTTGGTATGGGTAAAAGAGTTTCAAGGAGCACGTGCTCATCAAATAAAGAATGAGAGTCATTCCTTAACGATATGCCGATGATCATTGTCAAGCAGCAATCCTGCTTTGTATGTACACTATGATGGAAATGATGGTCCTTGAAAAATATTATCTCAAGATAGCTACTTTCCAAATAATAACAAATTGCTTTTCGCTTTGGGTGACAAAAGGCTGTCGACGCTCTTATTAGGTACCAAAGTAGAATCTGATTTAAAAGAAAAGAAAAGTGTTCCTAATTTCCCTAGATGTACAAGGTGCGCTTGACACAGCTTCGTGTCCAGCAATACTTTACTAGCTTAAAAACAAAAAATATTCAATGAATCTCAATAGTTCTGTGCAATCTATGAAAAACCTTATCCTACAACCTTAGTTGAATGCTTTTATATTTCATACTGTACAAAATTATTACAATTTATTTCATTTACTGGTTCAACTAATTCTCGCACTCTAGTCTTATTATATATTTACAAAGAGCATTATTTTCATTAAATATGTACCNAAAGAAAATGTTTTTCTGAAACCTACATCACTCCCGACCGCATCTCACGATATCTGAATAACTATCGATTAACGGTCACTAATCTCTACACATTATTTATATTTTTTGTTATTGTAAAATGTCTTTTTTTATAGTGGATTTTGATCCGTAAATAAATAAATAAATGAATCTTTATAATTTAACCGAAAACTACTTCAATGGCCGTAAAGCTGCTTAGTTCACCTAAAGTATTCACGGCAAGTCAAAAAAGGGTGTGCCCAAGGGTCACTCTGTGACCCTAGTTTCGAAAATGTGCTATACGACTCATTAATCGAGCTAATTTTCGCTAAATAGTGAAATAAAATTCGTAGCTTGTACAGATGATTTACCGGTTATCGTCTCGACCTCCTGTAAACTGCAACTTCAAAACGAAGCAATGAGAGGATAAAGACGTGGTCTTAGCAAAACAAATGCGTGTTTAATCCCAATAAATCACAAATGCTTTACATTACAATGAGAAAGCGAGGAAATATCTTTTTAGAAGCACAATAGGTACTTTAACTTGGCGTGCTTAGATGATGGAATAAAAATTAATCTACGGCGGATTTTTTAACGCAAAACTTAAAAAACCGCGAATCGGTTGGCCCAATTCAAAGGCTGACAGTTTAAAGTGAAGCCTGTCAGCCTTTGTTCCACTAATTCTTGACAGGTGGTCTGACAATTGTGATGACCTCTCGATTACACCAGTACAGCGTGCTCGCCTCAAAACGGACAAATTGCCGTTTTGAGCGATTTATGGTAAATGGCCAGTAAAAACCCAAACATTTCTAAGGCGAGGTGTGACATTAGACTTTAATTATATTTAATTAGACTTTAATTAAAAGTACTATTAGACTTAACTGTAAAAATGTGTGGTGATTAGTGACCGTTAATCGATAATTATTCAGAAATCGTGAGATGCGGTCTGGTTCACAGTCTAATATCGCACAATTTATTTGTATCCCATATCGAACAACCCTTTGGTGAAACAAATAACTTTTTTTAAGGGTATTATAGAAATTGGTGACTTGTTTGTATTGTTATCTAAGAAATTTGTGGTGATTAGTGAGCGTTAGTCGATTTTTCAAGAAACCATTTTCTTTATCGTGCCAACGTTTCGATCTTTATTGAAATCATCTTCAGGGCCTGGGATTTACAAACAGTGTTTACATTTAACAAATACATGTAGGATGAGGAAAAAAGTGAATTTATACATTGCAAAATATATATATTTTTTAATATTCAATCAAAGTATTTCTACTCACTCAAAGTGTTTGTCTTCTGTGTAATTGTGCCATTCTTGCGTGTCGTGTTGAGAGTGCCAGTGGGATTTTGCGGTTTTATGTTTATATATGTTGGATTTTGAAGGGGTGGGGAAGGAAGTCGGTATAGAATAAAAATCAAAATCCAACTTATATAAATATAAAACAGCAATATCTCGCTGGCACTCTCAACACGACACGCAAGAATGGCACAATTACCCAGAAGACAAACACTTTGAGTGAGTAGAAATACTTTGAATATAAAAAAAATATATTTTGCATTGTATAAATTCACTTTTTTCCAAATCCTACATGTATTTGTTAAATGTAAACAATGTTTGTAAATCCCAGGCCCTGAAGATGATTTCAATAAAGATCGAAACGTTGGCACGATAAAGAAAATGGTTTTCTGAAACCTAAATCACACCAGACCGCATCTCACGATTTCTGAATAATTACTTAACTATAAATTTAAACCTGCGCTCATTGTATTTTAAATTTTTTTTACAGCTATATTTTTATATTTTGTAATTAATTCTAATTGCTCGTTAATTCTAAGACCAGTTTTAATAAATAAATTAAATAAAAAAATGAAAATGTAGTTTTAGCACAAAAGAAAAAAAAAAGGCATATTTGAATGGAACGTTCTAGCAAACGACCTAGCCATCCATGGCTGACTCTCGAAGAAAAAGTAACAAAAATGGAAAACACAAATCCGAGGAAATAAAAAATGAACTATAGTAAGCTTGATTATGTTATGCTAAGCAGTCTTGGATCTGAAGGAAAAAATCTATACAAGATTGATTACTATGTTGCGACTGTTATTTTTGTAAAATTATTGATTCTCGTTACGATTTATTGCAAATTATATTAAAAAGGGGTTTAGTTTTAGCATTTTCCATACATTGGTATGCCTTGTATACCGAATACTCAGTACTGTGAAACATTGTAAGCAAACTAACGTTTTTAGTCAATATTATTTTTTTAAACATACACGCTCTACTATAATAAGTATTATAAAAATGTCTAGTCAGAAATTGTGGGGTATATATGTACCATTAGAATTTGACTAATTAAGAAATTTTGAACGACCAGATTGCAATTTAAAATTGAAAGAAATCGTTACTATTTTTGCTAATTGAATAAATATACCAGATGTTTAATTTATTCTTCCAAATGGTACCAAGTAATATTTCTATTGTGATAAACTTACGTAACTAATGTCTCTTTCGGAATATGTTTCATGTCCGTATTCATTTTAGCGTACCTAGTACTTTTTCCAAATTAAGTTTGAACTTTGAGGAGGACGCCTTTATGTACAGGACAAAGGCACCCGTTCTGTTTAATATTCAAATGTCCAACAACGTCTCATTTATTGGGGGTTTTCCATACCCGTTTATGGAACTGAGCTTTCCCAATTATAAGCTATTTGTGTAACGGTTCCGTTATTGAAAATTTAGATTTGAATTTATATGCGAAAGTAAGTGATTATACCTCTACTTTCAAAATTGGACTCACAAACATTTGCATGATTGATCGATCCTTTTTTAAAAAAGGATTGAACACCGCACTCACTCCATCATTCATCATTTCTATGATTGATCGAGTATAAAAAAAAGTAAAATAATATGCAACAAAATGGCCATGTGAAAAATAGAAAACTAAATTGGGAATGATAATATCAGCTTTCAATATTATAATTTTATACTGAAACTCAAGGATAAAGCCAAATTGAAAGAAAATACAGTTTTTTTCTCGAAAGCTTGATGAAGGAACCAATTGATTGATTTAAACTTCCATTGTAATGATAAGTCTCTCCTTAAGATGATCGATGGCACCTAAAGGAGTTTTGTACACTACAGTTTTTAAATGACCCCAAAAGAAAGAGTGGAATGAAAAATCCTGGATGTGGATAAAATAAAGGAGTAAACTCAACAATGACAGTACATTTTTTTTCTTGCTTTTATCCACATCCATGATTTGCTAGGCAGAAAATTGTCATTCTTCACTAAATAGGTAACTCAAGTTTCCTGTAGTGGTTTTTATTGTAATTGGCCGATGTGTGTGTGTGTTAATACCTAGTAAAAATCTCATTTCAATTAACTTCTACAAAAATTAAGATATCGACCCCGGGCAACGGAAATTTTTAAAAATGGTTCTTTTGAAATCCGAAATAAAACAAGGGGTCTCATTTGAAAATAGTTAAGCAGGACATATTTTATGTCAAAAAGAATGAACCAAAAACTTATTTTTGGAACCAATGGAATATCTAAAAACGACTTCACAACGAAAAGAAATAAATCAAAATCGGACCAAAATTAAGGATGTTATAGAGTGGACATATTTCGTGATATACTCTGTACAATAATATTAAGCTAATAATTCTGCACTCTGCAATATAAATGTATGAAACAATTTATCCCTTGGTAGTCAATCGTCCTACCTCAAAAATTTTATTCAGAGCGATTACCTTGATATCTGTCATGAATTTAGACAAAAATAGGTTTTTTCGTCAGATTGGTCGGTACATTTCAGTTTAATTCTATTATTTCAGCAATATTTAATTTTTTATACCTGCATTTACGTAAAAGTAATTAACGAAGTAATTAATTTACGTGATCGTTATAGTAGTAGTTATTGAATGAATACTTTTTTGCCTTCGATTGCGGGTTGCAGAAATGCCCAAAAATCGTTTTAAAAGGCAAACCTTTTGAGCTTTAATTTCCATCACGTATTTGGCAATTGACTCTCTCATCTTAAGACTTTTTTTGGCTATATTGTTTTTTAGAATCTGAATGAAAGTTTATAAAGCCATAAAATTAAGATTAAATACAAAACTGATGAAATATGATCAACCAGAGAAGATGAGTTTGGTCATGAAACAACAAATTAAAGAACAATTTCAAGAGAAGCAAAATATCTTCTCCTGATGATCTCATTCCTTAAGATCTTAAGGGGGTATTTGCCACCCTTATAAACTTTTTCATCCCTTTACGAAGGATAAGACAAAATATTTTTCCAATCTAATTTTTTTTACAGGCTTTTAACTCACGGAATTTGGGAAGATGTTGCAGGTACTGTGATGACCGCAAAGGAGAGCAGGACGAAGAGGACCCGCGACATGGCTGGCCTGTTTCCTGGAAGACGGTCGGCCGAACAATGAAGTATGAACACGCCACAGGCAGTTCCTGGCTCCCCTCTCTTCCGATTTTTCAGTTCCTGACCTGTTTAATAATTTAATCAGATCGAAATGAAATAGACGAAATTAATTAGTCTTTTGCACTTTTTGTTTGGATAGAATTGGCGTTTTTCTACCGTGAAATCAACTACTTTGAAATGTATGTGATTCAACTGATTAACTGTTTTTTTTTAATAATCACAGCATATATTGTTTTTTTCTCTGCATCAGTACATTTCACCGTAATCATTCTACCAAATTTATTTGCATTTTATCTTTATTAGCTTTGTACTTTCCTCATTAGGTAAAGTTCAGTGGTTTTTGAAGAATCAGAAAATCTCAAGTTCCTCCCCGTTCAAAGCGGGGATTCAGACAAATTGTCAATACAGTGATCTGTCACAAAATATTCTTAATACATTAAATCATAAAAAATGATTTTTTAAAAGTTTGCAATATTTTACCAACTTGCATTTTATGATTATTTTTATTAAACATCTTCAATTTATTATACTTGGTTTTGCAAAATGAACCATGTTTGAATTCTGCCTATGACACAGTTTTCATTTTGATGATATACATATAATAAATTGAATTTTCTATGAATATTTTAACTTGATTGGAAATTGATTTCAATCTAAACCACAAAATACAGACCTTAACATCATTTAGTAAGATAGTGAAAAACGTTTTAAAATGATTCTTTTTCAAAATGGACTTTGATTAGGTATGTATGCTGTTATTATAAACTCTCAAGGCCTTGTTTGTGAAGGGGAAAATGCAAATATTCTTGTTTAAGATAATAGAAACTAGATTCCTGCATCTGCTACAGTATTATAGTAGTGTTAGATTTTACATAATACAAACACACACTTCTGTTTCTTTTCACACCAATCATCTTATATGCAAATACAGTAGTAAGAATTTGAACACGTACAGACAGAAAGATTAATTATTGTAAGTATTAACTCGGTTAGTTAAAATAAATAAAATAATTTATGTAGCAATCTTTTTTGCACGTGCCAGATCAGTATGGTCCTCTGAACTTTGCTATACACAACCACATCAGTTCTGGACCCATCTGTATAGATGAGGTGAAAGCCAGAGGATCCTGATCTGGAATACAGCTGATGGGGCATCGGTGGCTGCAAGGCATTTCTTAATTAGAGATGAGGGATATTTGTAGTAATCCACAAGTAGCTGGATTACTTTTGCAGCCTCTTTAGTCAGTTGATTTTCATCATTATTTTGGATGCCGACAAGCCCTTCATCCTACACAAAGTCGATTGTCCATGATTTTTAATTGTCTTAATCGCTACCTTGCTGTTCATATAAATAACTTTTTTGGATGCCAGCCAAATTCCAGCTGACCATGTATATCCAAGATGCCCTTGAAATTGCAATTTCCTCAGCCTTGTCATTCGAGAAAAAAAGAAATGTTTACTGGATTTTCATCCCGCTTACTTCTATCAGTATATACACGAATAACATTTTTGCCTTCCAGCCGAGAATCAATACATCGGTCTATCATATTCTACATAGATAATCTCTTGAATCTGATTCCATGTATCAGAATTGCTTTTGGTGAGCTGCTGGTCCTTGAGATCAATGGGGATGATATTTGCCCCCTAAGGGTGCCTCACTTTTTAGGTTGAAAAAGAAGCAAAAAATTATTTGTGATTGGGGTAAAAAAGATAAATGTACATTTATTAAACGTTAACAAATCAACAATCTACATCACATTTCCAGGCCTGGCAATAGATTTACTAGATTTATTTTTAATGTAACCAAGTTGAAGAATGTGCCAAATGAAAAGCAATTTCCTCCACCGCCCAATATATAAATTGTGTTGTCCTCATGTAGCTCACTTGTGTGATTATGAAACATGTAAGGTTTGTCAAAATCGACCTGTTACAAAAGAAAATTAATCGTCACTTCAAAACTAAAATTATTTGGGCTTACATACACATAGCGATATTTCCTGAAAGATTAAAGTTTCCAAATGGAGCAATGTGCAAACCGGTTGTGCAACAGTTGTACTAACACCTCCGAAAAAGAGCAGGGTATTTGAAACCAAATGCATAGTGTGACCGTATCTTGGTTTGATTTCCACTGTGAGCTTAGACCAATGAGCAAATGTTCCCTCTTGCAATGCCTAAAAGTTTATTAATTGGAAAAAAAAAGTGCTTTATATAATAAACAAAATAACCTTTAAATATATTATAAAAAAACAAAATAACCTTTAATTCCATTTTCCAGACATCTCCAAGAGGTTTGAATTCATTGCTTAAACCACCGCTTAAGTACATGCAATTGTTGTTTGATGCTGTTGCATGTGAAAACCGATCGGCTGGTTGGATGTCAATCGGAAGCAATTCCTCCCATAAACCTTCATCTGTGCCTACAATATTTAATTTCCAGCAGTCTCCAAGAACCTTAAACAATTTATGTTCTGTAAACTTTAATTACACTCATTAAATTCACTAGTTTCGTGGTCCACTTGACCAATTAATATCTTTCAATTAATTAAGGTTTTTAGTTGAGATAAAAAAGTCAGTGTCACGAGCGGGATTCGAACCCCGAATTAATTACACTAATGAAATACATAATTTACACTTAGGATTTAGGATCAAGTTTCACAACAGACCGAAAATTGGAACATAGTCAAATACTCTCCACATATATCTCGATAAGGAAAAAATCAAATAGATGCTCAACAAACCAAGGTTATCCACCTGCTCAATGACTATCATCTCTGTATCAAATATGTGAAGCTGCATTTATTTTGTTAATGCAAAAATGGGGACCTTGCTAAATCAAAAATAATGAGGAAATAGAAATTATCAATGAATTGCTCACTCTGAGGGACAGTTTTGCTAAGAACACAAAAAAACGAGCAGAATTGGCATTTGGGAGTTGTACCTTGAAGTACCAAGATGATCATATTAAAGGCAGTCATTCGAGCTATTTTACCTCATGTAGCTTAGGTGTGAGATTATGAGGAGTCTGTGCCAGTGGAACGTGTGTTGTATATGTTTGTTAGAAATTTTTTTTTTGCCAAGTTACATGCCACATTAGAGTGCCATATCAACCTACATGTTGGACTCTACCTTACCTAGTAAATGTGGCCTGGCAAATGCCTTCTAAAAAATGTTGGCAGTAGAATGCATAAAAGAAGATGAGTTTTGGGAAGGCAGTTTCTTATAGTATGATATCCTGGTTCACCTTCCTCGGTACTTGAAAAAGATGTAACAATTATTTAAAAAATTTGCCAATGAAAAACTAACAAATTTCAAGATATGAGCCCAACAGACGAACAAATTTAAGCTGTAATGGAGGATGACTATTAGGTGTACAAACCTAGAAAATGATGTAGGAGAGGATCTCAATGTGGCCAGGTGGATCATTGGTTTGAGAACAGCCTATCCCTAAATCTTAACATCAAACCCTATGATGAAGATAGACATGCAGGCAAAGTGCTCGAGATGCAGCACGGATGCTGAGGAAGACACACCACATTTTTTGCCTGTACCCGGCCCTTAATGAAGTTAGAAAGGTAGTAAATTCTGCCCAGACATGGCGAATGGATTAATAAACAAAAATGTCTCAACCATGCATGCTTTGAAAATTTCAATTATTTTAAGTACCTGAAGATCTGACGTTCTTCCCCCGAATACAATTAATGAGCCATTAAGGCTGGAGCCAGAATGCCTCCATCTTGCTCTTGGTGAATTATGCTTAACATTTAATTCCTTTATTTTTACTTCATCGCCTTGGAAAAATATTAAATGTGGTTTTTCATTAATGGCCCTAGAAATTAGTCATGCATTAGGATTATTTTTAGATGAGTTAGTTTATGCCCAGTTTACTTCAATGGTGAAGTTCTTCCTCCATAAAACACTACACAGTCATTATTAATTACAGTACATGTTGAAAATAATGAATCCGTTACTGCTGTGCACTCAAGTGTAACATTTTGATATGTTTCTGTTTCTAAGTTTATAATTAGCAGTTCTTTTATTCTCCCATGACGAGTTTCTTGACAGCCGAATCCTCCCAGTACAAAAAGTTTTTTTTTGTTTACAAAAGAACAATGTGCAAATCTGTTAATTTGTATTTTTGTCGAAGTTTCTACATTTAAATGTTTCTCTGCTCCTTCTATAACAATGAGTCACACCATTAAATTTGGTATTTTTTGGTATTTATTAACTCACTTTTTGTCTGCGATTTTGTTAAAAATTGAGGATAATTACAGCATCCGTTGATCGCAATTGATAACGTATAGTGAGAACACTTCAGGTGCCATTCTTCCCATTCATCAAAAGGCTCCAAGTTAAAAATTTGCCTTTGTTTTTCATGATGTAGTAGTCTGTTGAAAATGACCATTGCAGTGACGCTTCTAGAGTGCTCCCAACCCTTTAAATTTACATTATACAGTTAACTGAAAAAATGAAAAGTAAAACATAATTACCAACACATTTCAAATAACGTTCTTCTTGGCTTTCAGGAGTTTTATAAGTGTCTAGGGATTTAAGAGGGTTTTGAATTTTTATGAAATGCCTCTTCATCACCTGCCCAAAGCCATCATCAGGATTTATCTGCTCATAGTTTAGAAAGACAACGTTTTTAAATTTATGTGCTGACCATCTGATCAGTTCTGTCGACCTGAAACAAAATTGATTTACTTCATAATATTAATTATTTTACTAGTATAAATTAAATTTAAAAAACCTGTTTTCTTCCATGTAAGTAATAGCACATTCTGAAAATATTATAGTCGGCTTTTCAAAATCAAAACCGCATTTCATCAAATGTCTCTCAACCATTTGAACATCACTAAGATCCTGGGCAAAAATGTTATACCGATCACTTGTAACACCTACAGGATCTGCGATTTCTGTAACAATTTTTAAAAATAACCAACATGTAAGAAATATCATTTAAATTACATAAATTGACAACTGACCTTGTATATTTGTCAACATTTGCTTCAACTTATCACATGCTTGAACGCAGGATATTTTGTTCTTTACCACATCGACGAAATCAATCTCGAAATGTGTAACGCCTTCGTAGTTATGAACAATTCGGAAATAAGTCGTATCAAAACCAGCTCCGAGGGAGAGTACCTAGATCGAAAATTTCACGAATTGAAGGAGAGTAATATTTAAATTGATTTTAACAACCTGTTTGTAATTTGAATCGAGGTAATACTTGACAGCCGTTTGGACGACAAGCGATCGTACAAAGTAGCCAATGTTGATCAACGGTGCTCTCCTTGTCGGTTTCATGACAAAATATTGAAGGAATTCATCCTCAAAATAGCCCCTTTGCACCATCGAAAGTTTTGAGACGATACTCGAATCATTTGTACCTTGAACCTAAATATAATATGAAATTTGATTTATAACATTAAATCAATTTGCTTACCAATGATTCCATTTTATATAATCAGCTTGTTCGGTTATTGAAATTTTATAAATTTGTCTTAGTGATTTGACAATATTTATGGTTTTTTGACATATTTGCAACTTTGTTTTCTTTCTGCTGTGGCCCACGTGGGGAAGGTTTCAGATAATAAGTTGCTTAGTAGAGGGGAGGGCTTAGGAGATGCTTAAAATCTTTTCATTTATAACAAGTTTTGTTATATTTTCGATTCATGTATAATAATGTACGTTGTGATGTTACTTTTATTTTCTTTTTTTCATCATGGGGAGTCTTTATCTTGTATCTAGTCATTAGATGTTGTTCATTATAATGTTAATATTGTGAAAAAATACAACATAACCATGATGTTATATATTACATTTAATACAAAATATTTATATGGTATACAGTATGATATCGAAATGATGTACATATGAAATTCAAATTATTATTTTATTATTATTTATTGTAATTTTTGGTACAATTTACAGGAGGTCTAGCCTTAAATAGCTTTTGTCTTTACATACCAACTTTTGCTTCTATATATATATAGCAAGTATCAAAAGTAAAAGAACATAATAAACTAAAGTTCAGCTATCAATTCAGTGTTTCTTTTTTTAATAACTATCAGTGCAATTATTATGTTCTTATGTTCATTATACTTTAGTATATTGCCTCTGTAACTAAAAAATTAAATCAACAATTCCTTTGCTAAAAAGAAAAGAAAGATTAAGCTGTTTCTTTACATTTCTATGCTAATGTATATGCATCACATATGTTATATTCATACTACCACATACCTTCTACTTACATGCTCTTAATCCTCATGATCTTAATTTTAATGCTTCCTTAAAAAAATTACAGCCTTTACTGATTTGTTTCTGGAGAATGAGAAAATTAGTAAGAGGCATAGCTGATCTTTTAAGGATACTACTAAATTCGAGAGATGCCGGCTTAGGTAATGATCCTTTACTCCAATATATATTGGACATTTAGAAACATATGCAATAACTTTTCGTTTTCTTACAAATTGCACATACTACAATGTTGCTATTTATTTCAAAAGTATTTCTATAAAAAAACTCCAATTACATGATTATTCCTTGTTTTTATATACCAATATAGTTTGTCAGATAAAATTCTACTAAAATCCAAAACTATGGTCTGTTGGTGGGGTGGTGGAAGACTTAAGAAAATGTTCTTAAAAGGTAAAATAGTGGACTGCGTGAATTACTACAAAAACCTTGTTATCAACTTCACTACTTCCTTGACGATGAAGCATCAGTGCGGAGAGAAGTCCAGCATCGCTAAGTACACTGTTAATATTCTGTGATGCAAAATAATGACAAACAGGAAGAAAAACACCAGAGAAAAAGACAGTGATATTTAACCGCACCCTGTGGCCTGCAGTATGTTACAGTGTGCAGGTCTGGGGTTATGGAGGAATTAGAAAAAGTTCAGAAATAATTTATTAAGAAACTTCTCTGCCAATTAGCACTCCAGACTACATCTTATATATTGAGAGCTCGGTCACACTGCTCTCCAGCTACACTCTGAGCCTGTATCTGAAATATATTAAAAAAGTACTGAACCACACATGTGACAGACTTATACAGTTTTTGACTGATGTATAGCCGAATGTATAGCCGAAATAAAGGCATATTGTGGCATAAGCAGCTGTCAGAGTTAGGGAGGCTGTACGGGGTAAGAGTAAGTATGGAGAAACCTGAATACCACTGACCTGTTTACAAAGTGGGAGGCAAGAAAAAGGATCGATCTAGCAATCAATGTAGTATATCATTGAAAGGTTAGTTAGAGCAAGGATATTAAGTAAATAATATTAAAATAATAAATTGAATTGTGTATATCTAATGATGTATTTGAAGGTGGTAATTGATAACCAACTATCTTGAAAGATGGGAATATAAGAACCTGTGGCATACTAGGCTAGGTCAAACTGGTAAAAGAGAGATACAAAATTATAATAAATTGTGATACATTGTTTCAATTACTTGCAGATCCAAAATAAAAAAAAGGTTGATTCGTACGACATTAATGATGGTGAAGGATGATGATGAACTGTGTGTCCGAGAAAAATATGATTTTGACTAATGACACCAAATGAAATCAATTTTTCATTGAGGGTGTTTTTTTTTTAATTTATTTTTTTTATTTGGTATTTAATGAGTAAGCTTTCTAAATAATTTTTAAATGAAATAATTTTACAAATGAAGAAAGGGTGAAGGAAAATTCCTTAGGTATATTAGGCATAGTAAAACTGATCAATATCAGAATTCCACTCTTAAAAAAATTAAATGTAATGTTCCATTTTTGGCAAGATTTGGTGATCAACCATCTGGATGAAATTGGAATTAATCCTTACATAATTCCAACACCTTGATATTAAGACAAGTCATCCATTTAAAAAACAGTCATGACTCAACCATTGCTTTTAGCAAATAACTCGAAAACGGTTGTGAAATCGGGCAAAATGGAAGGTGAATTTCCTATTGATTGCTAAAGGGCATCGCTCCAGGATGATTTCCTGGTTCCACAGCTCAATTTGAAATTTTCGTAAAAAGTGTACAAATTGACATATTCCAGAATTTTTGAATTTAGTCATGGGGCTTGGAAAACATTTAAAAAAGCCATCTTGTTCAGAGTAAAATTTTCTGAAAAATGAGACGTTGTGCAGGTCTGTGACTTAAACGTCTTTGAATATATGCTTTTCCAAAGTTAGCCATTTTTTTCGTGCAAAAACAAGGTGGTGGTTTTTTTGATGGGCAGTGTATATTTATGTGTATGTGTGATTATTAATTATTTATTTCTTATTTACAAATTAGATGTATAGTGAATGAATTGATCTGAATTAATATTTATTTGTGTGCATATGGTTCAACTTTGAATTTGTTGGAAAAAAAAGGCGTTAAATAGTACAATAGAAGTTTTTTAAAAATCGATTTTATTGACAATTCATTATGCAACTTCACATTACAAATTGGCTAGACCGAAGAAAACATAAAAATAAAAAATTTACATTAAATATATTATAAATATATCCTTTATACAGCCTTTGAGAACTCATTGAGTTGAACGCCCTGTAAAATTTTGATTGGTAGGGCGAATTGAGTGCAACGACCTGCACTGTTAACTTAGCACCTTAACGATATACTAAACAAATCACACCATTAGGTCATGAGGTCTTAAACCCCTTTGTAGATAACAGAAAATTTCAATGAGTGTACAATTCTAAAGGTACTACAATGCAGGAGATATCTATTTCTAGGTTATGATGCTTTAGGAACCCCAAAACAAGTAATAAGGGGTAGAAGGAAAGGGTGGTTTGGGCATTTATTTGGAAGAGAATCCATCTCCTGTAGGGTCCAGAATCCATGGATAGTTGTTGGGACATTCAAGGCATGTGAACAGTCTGATGGTCTGCCCTGGCAGTTCTCTGGTTGTAAGAGGACATGGGTTGGGCAACGAGCAGTAGGGTTGCCCTTTGACATCACACTTTTCCTTCCACTCTTGGAAATCTCGGAGGGAGGACAGTTCAGTTGGATTCTGCATCCATTGGATTACCTGATAACACAAGATAATTATCGGTTAAAAATTCTTTTTATGAAATGTTGATTTTAATTCAAAAATCGAATTATTTGTAGTGGATTATTACCTGAAGCATAGTGACGAAATATACATCATTCTTGTCCAACATTTCTTCAATGAATTTGATAAGTTCTTCCTTGAATTCTTTCTTCGATTTTAGCCAAGATGCGTGGAAGTGAAGACCGAGGGGAGCCCTGTTGGTAGAGTAGTGGCGGTTGAAGTTATGCCTCAGAAGTCTTGCGAATTGTTCTCCGGTCTGAATGTTTGAGCAAGAATCAACCATGTGACAACCGGGTAGAGATTCATCAAAAGTCGGGTCGTCTCTCCTGTCGAGTTCGTTCATGACCATTTCCCAGATGGGATGACTCCTTGAAGGGCAGTTCTGAGCATTACCATTACACTTGTGAGGCATTCTGAAGTAGAGAGTGTACGGCCAGATTGGCACACGTCCAAGAGGAGCAGTGATGGATGCATCATAGACAAAGTATTGGTCAGCCATCATTTCGAATTGTTTGTTTCCTCCGACTCTCAAGTAAGGTGCTCTCACACCGATGATGGAACCGTCGGTGATATTGGCAAACCTTTCAACAATAAGCCTAGAGCCTGCCATTTCAGCTAGCCAATCGTCGTAGGAACCACCGGTCCAGTATTTCGGGTCGTCCTTGTGGGTGAGAGAAAATACTGAAATCTCGTGTCCTTTTCTGTGCAATTCCTGGACGGCGGCGTAGTTGGTGTATTTGTGGGAGACGAAGAACGTTCCCCTGACTTGGCAACCGTTGGGGTTTTGCCTCTGACCGTTAAAGATTTCATCGTACAGATCGATGTTGTCTACGTTGACGGCGCCGTTGAATGTGATCGTGATCATTTGAGGTACTTGATTGGGCTCAATAGCTCCAGGAATACGAGTACCGTCTGCGGAACAGAAGCAATCGGGAAGAGCGCACTGGGTAGGGTCGCAATCGGGTGCTCTGTTAGGATCAAGTTCAACAGCTGCAAGACAAATAAAACATTACCTAACCATCGAATTATATAAATAGTTAAGAGAATGATTAAATAGGATCCGGAAAATTTGGGATTTAGTTACTACATATTAAGAGAAAAGTGAAATATTAGAAAATTTGATTCTACTTTTTTAAATTTATATTAAATCGTGATTTGTACTTACTGCAGGCGTTTTCATCTGATTCGTCTTTACAGTCAGGCTTGTCATTGCAGAAAAGCTCTTTCTCAATACATTCGCCGTTTCCGCACGACAGTTTGCCTTCGGGACAGACGGGCTCGTCGGTCTTAAGGATCGGCATGACTTTCCTTGGTTCTGATAACAAAATTCTAATAAGCGAGACAATAGGGGAATAACAAAATACAAAGAATCGTAAAAACTAATATTCTAAGCTTTTAAAATTGAACACTTCTCGTCTGAATAATGTCGAGTCCAGTCAAGGAAATGGGTTCATTGTTAACAGACTCGTTAACGTGTACAAACGAAACAGAAGAGGAAAATGTGCAGAGTTAAAAATAGAAGTTAATATCATTAAAACACAGATTGAAAAAGAAGAGAAGAAGACAGGGCTTCACAGTCCCATGCCATTGAGATAGTTGAAACTTTTAAGTCGTAAATGGAAACACATATTGTTAAGGGAACAAAACATGTATTGCAAAACATGCTTTGTTAAAAACATCACAATAAAAATAGACTTACGTACTAACCGTTACCAGATCATTCTTCATGCCAATACAGAAAGGAAACTCATTCATCAACTTCTTTTATTTGATTTAAAAAGGTGAAAAGGTTCAAATTGTTTCTTTGGGTATTTTTTTTAAATGGAAAAGAGTTCCAGAGAGAATTCAAGTGAATTATATAATTTATTTCATGCATTCTAAATATGTGGGTACTACGGTTGCAATGTTATTAGTAAAAATCAATCAACTGTTAATAACCCCATGACCAGAGATATTAGTTATAAAAAAATTCATACTGTTAAAGCACACAAATAAGCGTAAGGAGGAAGGAAGGGGATAAAGTGTACAAAGGAATTGACATGTAGTGCGTCAATTCTACTGTTCGGCTTCAAAAAATACCATTACGCAGTCATTCTATAGTAATAAGGGGTTTTCAACAAGCAGTCTACCGCGGATCAAACAACTACAATTTTTCCCATTTTACGGCTGGATTTTGAGTGATTTTTTTGTTCTCCGGTGCCCAAGGACTTACTATCGAGGCGGTCACAGTTGGATACCTTCCCGCGCCAGTCGCATGTCTGTTTGTCAATATCGAAGGCAAGGCCAGAGGGGCAACTTATCTGTTTCATACCAGCCTTGGTGCACCTGATCGGACAAAAAATTGATCCTTAAATATAAAAAGCATAAAAAAGGAAAAGGCGAGGGCGGTGTGCGAGAACAAGCCGTTTCCGCCTTCTGGCGCTTTTGTTTATGCTAAACCTGCCAGGCGGAGCCGTCGTGCCGGTTTAGCATACTCCAAGTGGTCGAAGAATGCCTATTTCGTTCAACTGTGCGATTCTCGTTCAGAAATTTCCTTTTAGCATTTCATTTTTTAAAGCCACCTGATGCTTGATGCTGACGATCAGGCCAAAACTGAATTTTTTTGGCATCATGATCATATTAATAAAAGACAAATACTAAGCAACACAATTTAGGTTAATTTAATGAATTATCAAACGTGGATGATGTAAAAATATCCAAATAATTTGATATTTTGTTACTTCGTAACAAACAAAAATCAGGTTTAACCCTTATAAACGTGTAAAGGGAAAATTTATAATAATTTCACACAGTTTAATTTTGAGAAGTTCAAACTTCAAATAGAACAAAACTAATGATAGTCATATTCTTTATTTGAAAATTTGAAAAATGTCAAATATTGAGATTTTTGTAGAAACATCGCATACAGTTTTATAAATGTGACCTCTGAAGAAAGATGATAAATCTTGACTTTGGGTATAAAGTACTGTTTTTTTTTTTAATTTTTTGAACATAAAGATCATAAATTAATCGAGTCGTGTTGCGTAAGTGGCTTTGACTCTAAGAATTGATTGAACGATGATGTTCAAATGAAAAAAGAAAAAAAAGACCACACTAAAAGCATCAGATTTAGGCCGAGAAAGGCGCAGCTGACTCAAGTCTATCGCGATTAAACAATTTTCAGACGGGGATATTTGTAGTTTTGAGTTAGTTGTACACGCATATTAGTTAGATTTGTTCTCACTGACCGTTCCTCTTAAATTTTACTTACTTTCTAGATCGTTACAATTCTTAACATTAGTTTTCCAGTCACACGTCTGCCGATCGATGTCGAAGGCGAGCGAGTTGGGGCACCTGACCCCGGCCAACCTCGTCTTCCCGTTCTCGGCCCCTTTGTCACACCTAAAGGCAAGAGCTTCTTTTCATCCCTGTTAGGTTCCAAACTGGACCTTGCGGTTCTTTTTTTTTACAATAACAATTCTCACTTCTTGCCGGGTTGGTTTTGGGAAATTCCGGCACAATTCAGACACTTTTCGACGTTGGTATCAAAAGATTTGATCAAATATTTGATACCTGATGTTATCAAGCGCTAGGCTAACAAGCAATGCTACATAAAGTTATTTACAGTTACAATTTGTTTTTCAAACAACTCAATTTGTATATATTTTAAATAAATAAATTATGAAAGAGTTTGAATAGTTTTTTTGAAACACTTTTTAGATTTGCTGAAAGTAAAATAAATGAATTGATAGATATAAGTAAAATATAATGTAATATTATATGTATACATATTTCTATTGTTTTATAAATAACATCAATGGTTCTACTATTATTATAAATACAAATATTTTGCCTAGTCTGTTAAATCATGTTATTTATTATAAAGAAAAAATAAGGTGGTGAAACTTTATCTTATTTTCAATGTTCAATATGTTTATTTAAATTAGTATTGCTGTTGTGTAAACATGTTTCCTTGAATTTAAAGAAAATTTATACTTAGAAACCTACTTGTTTTTAAGTTATAAAAGTCATTTATTAAATTATTTATAAATAGACAATTCCACAGATCATAGAAATAAAATTTATTATAATGTATTGTGTCTGAGTTCAACCAGATTGACCATTTTACGTTATTGTTTCAGTGAATTACAAATTATTCCTTTCAAATAAAGGTGTGACCTGGCCTATTGCCCTGAAACGCTAAAAAAAACCACACCCAGACCAGATATGGCGACATTCTTGTTTTTATAAAACCAGCTACGAAATTCTTATATATTTCTCGTCGATATTTTTCATTGGTTTTATTTAATTTTTCATTTGTTTTTTACCTTACGACATCCCTACAGTCTCCGCTCGTGGTGAGCCTGAAGTACTCGTCCGGCGGTCTGTCCCTGCAGAGTTCGTCGATGGACTGTCCTTCGTCTTCTCCATCGCCGTCGTCCTGCCGTTTCACTCTGGCTCCACATTCCACTCCGGCTGCGAGCAGAGTCACATATTAGAGATTTTTTATCGGTACAACAAATAACAAATAAAATATTTACGGGGTGGGGTAAATATTTTTAACCCATTGTTTACAAGTGAAAGCTGTTTACGCTACAGTCAGTGTGGGCAAGTGTGGGCTACGCCATTGTCTAGTGTTTCCTTTTTGACGAAATATTTAACATCTAAGTTAGATAACAGGGTGAAAGCCCATTGAGACTGGGCGTCAGTTTGTGACAAATTGGGTTGCGTCAGGGCATTACATGCAGAGTTATAAAGGCATCTTTTAAAAGTTTTCAATATTGATAAGAACTGAAAGCTCTTGTCAGAGAAACAGTCTTATAAAGACAAATTAATTTTAATTACAAACTGCTTTATGTACTTTGTTTTGTTGTTGAAAGAGTATTACTTTTAAATAAAAATGTACACGGATAATATCTTGGCTTCACCTTCTGAATAATTAGTATAACGAATGAATAGGAAAACAGAAATATATCGCCAATCTTAACATTCTTTAAACAGCTTTTTGCCTAAACGGTACCATGTTTTAGAACAAAGCTCAAAAAAAGAAAGTAAAACTATCCGACTGGTAACGATTTGATTATACTAAAGGTTTTTTCTTCAAGAGATTATTTGGTGGATTTAGTTGAATGACAGGGAAAATTGCTTTTTCCAAAGAAGCAGTTTTATATCGGTTGGAAGTACTTTCTAACATCGTGAAAGCTTGACGACCCTTTTTTTACAGATGAATGACACCATCAATTTGGCAATAAGAAGAGTAAAAACGTAGTGCCAGTTGTATTGTTTTCAAATATCAAGAATATTATAAGACTATTATTATCAAAGATTTATATAGTCTTAAACAACAAAAAAACACTAAGGGTTACATGAATTTTGTGTTTGTGCAAAATAAAGCTTGATTGAGATTATATAAGCAAATTTATTACATACAATTAACCAACAGTTTGTGCTAAATATTTTCGATGTCATAATTCAAATGAAAGATTATAAAAGAGTTACCGGTTTTGATCATTTTCAACGGGAATTAAATTAAACCAGGCGCATGTAACAACTTGAATTACTCCAGAATGTTAAGATTTCTTAAGAACTGACACTGGCCGTATAGATATTATAAATATAGTTTAAATGTTTTTTAGTGAAAGTAATATTAATTGGCTTTGACGTTAAGGAAAAGTAAGAACGTTATGACATAACAATAAAAAATATCTTAAACACATTAAAATTAATGATTTTCTTGTTGGTTCAAGGTTTTAAATTAGCTTAAAATGTCTTTATCTAGTATAAATTAATGCTGCGCTGAAACTCTCATTCCCCACTCTTTTTCTGACAAGTCTTTCACTCACTTTCTCCCTCAGAGGCTAACTTTTAAATCTTAAATTATCTAAATCTGAAGCCTCTTATTATCATATCATCTATCAGAATCTTTAAAATTTCTTTAGGTCAATTGTACCGGATCAAATAAATTGGATTTTCTTCTTTGGGAATTTCTAACTAATCCCCAAACTTGTGACCTTTTTAAATCAACGGTATTAATATTATTATTACTTATGACTGATATTTCGGGTTCATCTCTAATCTTATATTTTTTTAAGTTTTAATTAAAATTTCATAGCGTTTCACTAGAATTTACAGTACAAACAGTGATAAATAGTTATTAATGTTACTGTAGAAAAAAGAAAATAATTGTAAATAATTATTGCAACTATTTATTACACTAAATAATATACCATTTATTACTAAATGCATATACAATATTGATCGTTTATGAGAATTAGGATTGTTTTTTTATTAGCCGTACTTTTCAGGAATTGGATATTTATAATAATAGGTTTTGAAGAAGAAAATACATTAAACTGTAACGGTTATAGAAGAAAAATGTTAAAAATTATAATTACATAAAAAAATTGGACGTGGGAATAAATTCCCTTTCTACATCGGTCATTAAAACGGTATTCGTAGTAGACGTCCTTCTCTCTGCATCCTGGTCGAATAAGTAATGACTTTGACCAACTGGTTGTGTAACCGGTAAAACCATTAGGCATAAATAAAAAGGACAAAAAGACTTTTTGATTTTTGTGCTGAGGATGACTGCTCATGTCGAAGAAGTTGTCGAGCCGGTTTTAGTAATGTTTTTTATATATTTTTGTAGGACGGATATGGGAAGAACGGTGTGATCACGGTGTGATCACGGGGTGGTGGGGAGTTTTTGGACCAAGGACGGTAAATTTGGGGGAAAAAATTGAAGATTTATCTAACGTTCATAATCTCGAGGTCTTAAATAGTTAGAAAACTGTTTTAGTCAGTGGCAAAATGAATTTTTGAAACGAGGGAGATTTCGATGTTCAAAACGATTTTTTTTAAGAGACAAGGAGGAAGATTTGCACAATTTGCAATGTGCTTAAGAAAAAGGACACGCGAGTTTCCAAAGATTGTTGCGTAAGTACACTCAGCCAGACCGGCACAGAGACCTTTTCGAAACCGGTCAATCGCTAAAACGCCGTGGTGAAAAATAATGAGAAAAAATATACCTTCTGATTTTGACAAGGGGGGTGGGGAAGCTGGTTTATAATTTCTCTTTTCGACCCGTTCTTAGGGAATTTCATCTTTTCACTTCCGATCCATTCCCCACCACGAGAAACCGATACCGGTACACCCTCGGCGAGATCCTGGGCCGAGAGAAAGTGGTGAAAGACCAGGACATTCAGTACCGAGGGTGGTGGTGTCATTATGCAATTCGGGAGGGGGAATTAGGCCACCCCCTCTCGATGATGTTAATTGACGAATTTTTAAAAAATATTTAATTACACGGCTGAATAGCGGTTTGAATGTGGATGTCTTACCTGATAGTAGGATGAGGAGTAGCCCAGCTGCTGCTAGGAAGTCTCCCCTCGTCATGCTGTCGACTGTTCAGTGGGTCGACTAAGTCTGACTTTCTTAGCCTTCGTCGCCTCGACTTTCAACTCTACTTATACCGGGGGTGGGGACAGTCGAGTGGCACTATCCCTTCTTCTGCTGATCCTCACTTTCACCTCTGCCACAAGAGTGCGAGACGATGTCTTCATCCGATTCCAGAAACCAGAAGAACCAAGGAGATTGGAGTCTTCCGGGCTCTTTTGCCGTTCCGTTCACCATGTATATTGCCAAGCACTTTGCCGGAATTGTTTCTAGATGAAAGGTGTTACCTACTTTTCAACATTATTTTCTATTTTTAATAGTAGTAAACGATTTCGAAATAAAGTCAAATCATCAGGGAAAAGGTGAAATCGATATTAGTTTTAATCTCCTCAAAATCGTAGCATTCTTTTCTTTTCTTTTTATAGCCAGATTCTTCAGTTTATTGTTAAAATTAGGTACGTTAGAACTAGTTATATAATCAAAGTAGCGACTGGCTCTTGCAGATGGTTTTCCACTATTCCCCCATTCTTCCTTGTAATTTCGTCAGCAGATTTGCGGTTATATTTGGTCCAACCAGCACTAAACAAGAAATGATCGTTGATAATTACATATTTCACTTTCTCAGTTCATACTAGTTGATCAATTATTAACTGATTTATTAAAATGTTAAGTAAGAAAATAATATCCAGCAGAGGTAAATATTTAATGAAAACGAAAGTATCCCTGTTCCACTTGGAATAATCAGAATAATTCAATGTTCGTATAATCAAACAGTGTAACAATACAAAACTGAACTACGATATGAATTGCACTATTTTAAACAAAAATGAAGTACGAAAAAATGATTGTAAAGTGTTGTTGGTTGCAAGTGAATGGATTATGACTGATCTGTACATCACTTTTCTGGGTCTGCGTCCTGTTTTATATAACTTAATAATATAACCTTGTTGGGTGTTGCTGGTTGCCCGTTTAGAGGAAGTTGCACAGATTTATTTCAACATTCTTCTTCTAACACGAATGAAAATGTTTTAAGCTATTGACAACAGTGAAAATTGGAATAGAGGTTAGTTTTTGGTTGTAAATTATTCGCTTGCTAAAGTTCTCTTTTATAACGCTTTGTTCCGCAAAGAAAAAAAATTCTGTGAAGACTAAATCAAGATGGCTAACGTGACCTCGTAAAATTTCTTTCTCTAACTCTTTTAGTATGCATTCTAATGAGAATGCATTAAACGTACCTACTCAAAGAAAAAGTAAAATAAAAAATACTGTTTAAATAAATTATTAAAATACAAAGAAAAGTCAAGGAAATTTGCATATATTTTAAAATAGGGATAATTACATAGCGGCTCTTGGACCATTTTGCATTTCCTCGATATTTGCCATTGCCAAAGAAATTACAAACGCGGAAATTTTAAGTTTACATTTTTTTTAATTACCCTCTCAAGGCGTTAAAATAAGACTTTGTCATAAACAAGATTATCGCTATGTCGACTTTCTAAAATCACACGGTATCATTTCATTTTGGACAGGAGAGACATGAAAATCCAAGTTTTGTACGAACGGTCCTGGAATGAATAACTAATAAATCCTTCTCAACATTAAGGCCGGCTCTCTAGGGCTCTTAATACAATAAGAAAACGAAGAAGCCTTTTGTATTTTAATAAGCAGGCAGGAGCGAAAGGTTTAACAACCCCCGGGTGTCCGTATCCCAAGGTTCATTGCCTCCTGCATACACTTCCCACATCCTCCTGACATACTAAAGTTTATGTTGAAGTGTAGTTTATAAAGCTCTAGTTTGGACAGTTCGCGTTTTTGCCGTGTGAAACGTGTAGGAGGGAACTTTCATAAGAACCTCAAGAAAAAAGAATATTAGTTGTATTTAGATTTCATTGTTTTTGAACAAAAAAAAAAATTATTTCAAACATTAAAACAATACATGATTCGTCCATATGGTATCTATAGTGAATTCTTTCTTTTTCAAAAGGGAAAAGAAAGAAGTTTTATTCTTTATTATTGGTATAATTACGCATTTTTAATAATATCTCCTTGAATAATGCAATAAAAAGAATGAATTGTGTAAAAACGATATTTATACATTACTACTCAAATTCTTGTAATATAAAATCATAAGAGCGTTAAATGGAAAGATTTTTTTATTTATTTTTCTTTTGCCTTTTTGTTTTTAGTACAAAATTGTCAGAACTGGTGTTGCCTTGTAAATAAAATTAATGTTTTTGTGCAAAACTGAAATTTTTGACTTAAAAACTAAGACTATTTGTAATTAAAAATAAGTATGAAAAAATGTGTAAACAAGGAGATTCACAATAATAAATCAAAATTAAAGGGGTGTTTCTATATCCAAAATGTAACCAAAAAGCTTTCTCTTGACCCCCCCCCCCGCCTGATTCCCAATAATAAGATTGATATTCTCGGTTTTGTAATTTGGCTATTACCGCTCATTTTGGTCTTCCTACCCTCGCTGTCAGATGTGTTTTGTATTTCGCTATCTTCAGCGCGTCTAGAGAGAACATAGATATTATATGTGATTCTTGGGGACAATGTTCCAGAAACTGAGTAGATGTTTCGTTTCTCTTCTAATTTCATGAATGAATCATAATGTCTGAACGAATGCTAAAATTTGACACTAGTCCAAAGGATCCAAATTTTAAAAGATCATAAATAACTGATTTGAGGGAATGGTGGATTATCAGATTGCTGGTTTATCCAAACCGTCCACGTCCTTTTCCTGATACCCCGCTGTTTTTTCCCATTCTTGCTCAATTTTCTCGCACAATTTAAATCGCAATTGCATACTTGAATAATCCGTTTGGAAGTGTATTAGTAGTGAATTTTTTTCGAAATTTGCTTCCTTTTATCCAAACACAAAAAGCGTGCCATGCATTTCAATTTGTCTATATTTTGCAATTTTAAAATGTCTTAATATTTGCATTAGTTTTGTTTAATTACAAGAATGTTGTAGGGTATTTTTGTTTATGAAAATTTAATCAGTGTTTTGCGGTGTGTTAGATTGTTATAAGGCTGTAGGTTCAAAAGTTATGCTTGTTTTTATGGAGAAGCTCTAGTTTTACCAAAAAACTCACAAAACTAGTAATATCACCCTTATTATAGAAAATCAGGCAGGGATCAAGAAACATCTTTTAATGCATTTTCTTTTGCCAAAAAAAAAAATCAACATAGATAATAAAAAACTATGTTATCCTATATTGATAATATTATTGGTGTTATTTTATTGTGTAGGTTGTTATTAAAATTGATTTTTTATCTTGACCCACTCTATTCCACTGACGTAGACGAGTGATGAAAGTGCGTTATTGGTTGTCTACTCTGTGTAATAGAGTGGATCAAGACAAAAAACATAATAGTTATTCAATAAAGACAACCGTGAAATTTGTCCATGAAATCGTGATGAACCTGTAATTTGGTCGTTACCGATCATTTTTATTTGTCTATCCTCGCTGGTTTCTTGACGGGCTTGGGCGTTTCGCCATTTTCTGACAGGCCAAACGAGTTAGGATAAGCAGAAAATGATCGCTAACGACCAAATTACAGAAGGAAGATTGTTTACTTGTATATCACAATCAATTTTTTGTTTGTGTACGAGAGAAGTATTTTTTCTTTTGATCTAGAGTCGTTTCGAAATCTTTAGATGTGTACTAACAAAAATAAAGAACCAGTTATGCAAAATCGAAATGATTGTTTTTTTTTAAATTTATTTGTAACTAAAATTCTTTCAATATCAAATCGGCACATCGCCCAAGAGAAAGATTTATATCATCATTTTAAGCAAATTGATCATAATTTATCGATTCTTTGATCATTCTTCGCAAAGAGATCGGATCGTTCATTTCATGAACAATTGTAAGCCAGAAGGCTTTTCCTTCGAGCAGCCTTTTATAATTTAATTCATTTTTTTGAATGAACCTTTTCTTGATTATATAATAATCAGGATATGTTAAAGTATAAACCCAAAATTAGTTTAAATTTGCAAATTTTCAATTTACTCTGTAAGTTTTAAATTTGTGGTGCTTATTTCTAAAATATAAAGAGTTAACTTTGAACACTGAATCATTACAATGTGTTTCAGTAATATACAATATTGCGCTTTTTTGTGAACAAATATGTGTTACTAATATGATCTTTAGTTCATTATCACTTTTATTATACAAAAAATTTCAATATATTCCAACTTTCTCATGCCTGAATTCATTATGCTTATTCATATTAATTTTCCGTTGGTTGCAACCATATTTCATTATGTGGTAAATTTTTTTTTTGTTTGATGAGATTTGATATGATAACTCTGCACTAAGGCTTATTTTCCTCTGCAGCCACGAGTGATGGTAGTCTCCCTTTCCTTTCATGCTACCTAAAATAATCTAAAATAATTATTGCGGAATTGACCTTTCTTTATAACCATACCCCTCTTACAATTAGCTTATTTTTCTAGGCATTAGTGTCATCTTCCCGAGGTTCCGTTTTCGGGCTAAAGTTTTTCTGTCAGACATGTTCCAATGTCTCTGCTGTTTTTTTTGTACAGCTGGCAGGTTTTGTTACTTTCTTTTTCATTTTTTTACGTTGGTAATTAACTGAGCAATGGCCAATATAAAAGCCTATTATTGTCCTTAATTTCTATCTCCTGAGTGTGAGGAACATTTTTGTTTTCCAGGTTGATATATTGAGAAAATTTTTTGGTTGCTTAGAACCTGATGGATTCCTCCAGTGTGTGGTCATTTCTTTCTCCATTCATTTTTTCAGTTCCGCTTTTAGCATGCATTGTCGTGTGCTAATTTGCGGTTCCTCCAGTTTCTCTGTTCATTGCCGACAATACTACTGTCAATCACATCAGAGCTGGCCCAGACGTTAAGGTTAGGCATTCCCAGATCAATTTTGAGTTGAAGGACATAGTATTGAGTGTCAGTGCTGCTTGGCTGTCAGAGAATATAATATTTGTGCCACTTTTAGTATGTTTTTGAATATTTCTTGTGCCCAGAGCAAGGATCTCAACATGAAGGTGGCAAGAACAAAATCAAATTTTTTT